AAAATCAACCTATCAACTCTTCCCGGACCTCATCTAAGCAATCGTTGATCTCTAGATAAAAGAGTTTGACGTAGAGTCAATCGCGGAAAATTCATACTACCGTACTACTCGGAAAGAAGCATCGGCGAATGTTATTCGCCGAATCAAGACATCACTCGAATTATGTGAGCTACTATATCCCGATCGAGGGTCATAGTTAGGTTGTTTAATTCGACCCAGTAGGTAGCTAGGGTGGCATGTTGTTGGCGTGTCCTAGCAACGCAGGGTGTACGAAATAAATATGACATCTACAACAATAATAATTACCAATATTAATATTTCTTTACAACATAATTATACCTGCTTAAAAATCACATAATAATAATTATACACATTTTTTAAAAAAAAACCAAGAATCGGATTGTTACTTGTTGAGTAGCATACCGGTCCTCGAGCTCCTCGAAGCTCATGTGACACTTAAGGTTCTACCCGGTTAACTAAACCATAGCTCCGATACCACCCCGTGACATTCCCGCCTCGGTCCACTCCCTATTACCCAAATAGGGGTGGCCGGACGAGGAGCGTATCACGCCGACATTATCAATTTTCGAATTAACCTCGAAACACGTATGTGGTCATACATAAAGGACTTATCATGTGATGAAACGAGTACAAGATAATTTACATAATATTAATAAATAGAACAAAAGAAATTATAAAATTTATTTACAATACCATCAAAATGTTTATCGACACTCCAACCTCAAAAATTACAATCAAAAGAAATTTCGATACACTTGTATCACACGTGACCCTTTTGGAGGATCCAACGACATCCTTATCGGTATTAATGTTGCTTTTACCGTTATGGTATGCAAGAACAAACGGGGTGAGCTAAAGCTCGGTAAGTAGGGTGATGCATGTGTTATGTAATATTTTTTTATCCGTCCCCGTTATTCTCATCAATTTGAAATGTTAAGGGTACCACTAGATATTAGTAAGTCTACTATATTCTCGGTGATTGTCGAATAACCTCGGCAATCATTTACTCGTCGAATAACCTCGGCAATCGATTACTACCGAATAACCTCAACAATCATTTACTGTAAAATAACCTCGGCAATCGGTTACCATCAATTAACCTCGGCAATCATTTACTATCGAATAACCTCGGTAATCGATTCATTGTCGAATAACTTTAGCAATCGGTTCAATCCATCTTCGAATGCATATGATGCACGTGAGGTTACATTTACCTTATTAAACACCCTATAGGTGCCGGACCCTAGACTATCAAATCATTCTCAAGATTCAACCCACATAGGGTTTTTGATATATTCTTATATCACTTTCATAATATTTCTCCCAAGGAAAATCAATTATCGTTGACTTATATTAGTCAAGTCACAAACTTTATGTTGCACGTAGGCACTTCCTCCCGTTAAATTTAGTAATTCTCGTCTTAAAATTCATTCTTCACTTGACGTATGTAATTAATAGCATTTTAAACCAGTTAAAACATACTAAGGTGACATTTTCTCTCCGAACCCAAATTGGGGCATTTTGGGTCGAATTGGGCTTTTAAATGTTTTAGGTCAAAATTTCGATTTACCTAGCAAATTTTTTCTATCTAAATGTCCTCTTATACTTATTAGGGTGTACTCAAATCATTAATTATGGAATTGAAGGATTGGAATTCAAATCCTCACGGTTTAGGGTTTAAGCCGAATAGATCCTTAAAGTGGCCAAATATTACTTTTTCATCCCAACTTACTAATGTATACCTAATTAAATTGTACTTCGAGTTCCATGCCCTTAATTACATAAAATGGGTCCAATCTTACTCATTTTCTTACTTAGGCCGAAAGGGTTCTTAAGTGAAACCCTAGGAATTCATTTCCCCCTCCTTTCCAATTTGTGGTTTATTATAAGGCGACCTCTAATCAAGTAGGCAACATATAAAATTTTGAGAATAATTAATCCTATAATTTTTTTTATTAGAAAGTAGACATATTGATTCATAAAATATCCAAAAATTAGGTTTAAATACCAAACACACAATTCATAACATAATTTTGAAGTTTAAGATTCGATTCATCCAATGAGTAGTTCACCCAAGCACGATCTCGTACTAAAAAGGGCATAAATTTTTCTATATAAAACTAATAATAAAAATATTTTACATGGAGTTATTCAAGACATAGATCAACAACTTTTATTCTTTAAGATTCACCCAGAAATCAACCTAAGGTCCTTGAACAGGCAATACCAAAGTTGGACGAAACTACTCCTTAATAACACTAATTTTGCCATTCATTCCAACCCACATTAATCGTGTTTTAGTCCAATTAAATTTCAGTCCAAGTCCAATCCAACTCATCATCACATACTTAGACATGCACTAGGCATTATAAACATCACAATTCATCACCTACACAACATCCACAAGTAGAGCAAGCCAAGACATCAAATAGCCACCAACACAAACCAAGCTCAACAATACATCAAACAACTCGACCAATACATAACTGAAACACATAAAAATGGACATGTAAAAGCATAAATAAACCTAATTACTTAGCTTAAATGTAGTTGAATTTCCTTATATTTTCTTTCTTTCTTTTCCTTTCCTTTCTTTTTTCTTTCTCTCTTTCTTGTCGTTTTTTTGTTCTCTCCTAATTTGGTGGTTTTGGTTTGCTAAAAAAATTCTCAATAGCTTAACACTTTCTATATATATATATACTTACTTTCCCTTTTAAGTGAATTAAGTTACAATTGTTAAAAAATAATAGGACAAGGTGTAAAAGTTATGATGAGTCATGTAAGAGGTTGCGGGTTTGAGAGAAAAAAATGGGTGAGTTGACTATTAATTCATTTAATGCATTGCTTAGGTGTCTAATTAAAAATTTAGGTTAACTAAACACCCTAATTAACTTGATTCAAGTAACTAAACATAGTTTCCTTCATGAAATTTCAGAAATTTCTTTTTTTAAACTCGGAAATTCCTTGTCCATTCTTTTCTAAAAATTTCAGCGAGTGGTACATCAAAATGGTCCGTACCAAATCGATCATAACTTTATATATATAGGTCTAAAAATCATGAAATTTTACAGAGAGATAGTAGACACATAGATGAACAACTTTTATTCTTTGAGTTTGATGTAGAAATCACTCTAATATCCCTAAATAAATTACATAAAATTTGGATATAATATAGTCCTCGACACTATCGATTTTGCATATTTGATTTCTTAAATAATTAAACCATTAATCTCAAGCACAATAACTTTAATTTAACATAAATGACAAATTTGAAGCATTAATTTCTCATAGTGTAATGAGAATTATACTTACACTTAATATATGCATATATATAAATATTCTAATACGTGTCGCTTTACGGGTAAGGAGTTTATTTTTATTTTTTATGGGGGTTACATGAATTTGGGCCCATGACTCATGTTTATTTTATTTTTCTTTTTACATTTTTATGGAATTATGATTTAATTGACAATGAGCTTTAAACCCTAATTTTTACCTTCTTAAATGAGCTTCAACAACCTAATAACATTTTACGTGAGAGAATGAGTTTTTTTTTTTTAGTTTCCAAATTATTTCTTTCAAGACTAGTTAAAAAAGACTCAAATAATCGAACAAGCAAATCATGATAAAAAAATAATTTACATGAATAAATTCTTTTAAGCTAGAAATAGAAGGTAACCTCATTGTGAGGGCACATTAAGGTGGCTATAATCTTCTTCAGTTATATAATCAATCCTCTTATTTAGAATTTCAAAAATGCTGAATTTTTTTTAATTTTAATTTTTTTAAAATTAAGTGATGATTCTACACATAAACATTTTATATATTTTTTTACGATCATCAAAAGGTCATCATTTGACATACATGATAAAACTGTGGTCTAAGACAAGTTAAAGTTTATTTTGACTTATTAAGTGGAAACATTTAACCGTCATATGCAAATCACATACAAATTCAACGAATTTTTTTAATAGTTAATCTACTACTAACAAAGGTATGTGATATTATCTAATACGATTACGTTTAGAGCAAAACTGATAAGATCAAAAGATTGAGACTGAATTGATAATAAGATAATTGATTGGTAGCTAATTTGAGCTTTCCCCTTTATTGTTTTTCTATCTTGCGTTTGTTGTTGTTGGGGCATAGTACTTGGCGTGAATCTGTTAGAGACAGACAGCCAAGATGAGATGGCCGAGTACAGAGAGGAGGACATACAAAATAAACTCTTAACAACTTGCAGTAGCTAGCAGACAACAATTATACTGCTTTACAGCCTACACAAAAAAATAAACTACTACTACTACTTCTACTGCTACACCGATAATGATAACAAATAATAATAATAATACTTCTTTCTTTCTCTCTCACACCCACATTCTCATTCACACTCTGTCTATTTCTTATACTTGGTCATCATCTTCTTCTTTTTCTTGATATTATTATTTATGTAAAAAATTCAAAGTTTTTGCAGGTTAGGAGTTTTTCATCTTTGACATAAGAATATGAGGTTTTTTTATTGATTTAATTAAAATTTTATTATTTTTTGTATATAATAAAGAAATATTTGTGATTTAGACTTCTTAGAGTAATGGGTTTTTGTTGTTTGAGTTTGGTAGTGAGGGTGAGGGAGTAATAGTAGGAAGTAGCAATAAGCCACCTCTGCCCTGGTCGCGTTGTCGGCGTGAGGTCACTTTCTGTCGACAATGTCTGTACTGTATCCAACGATGATTCTCAACTTTACTATTTATTAATATTAATTTAAAGGGAGAACGTACAGCAAGCTGCTGATTGATTTTGTGTTTTTTTCCTCAATCACTCGCAGTTTGTTTGTTGCAGACCATACCTAGAAGCTGTGCTCTTCATCTTCAACAACTGGGTTTTCTTTTTTTGAGAATTTATTGCTGGGAATGTGGGGTGGATTGATTTGATTTTGGTGATTGCGCTATTGGAACACTGACACAATTTGTCATTGGCAAATGAAGCTGAGGTTTCTGGGGATCTGGCTGCATAATTTTTCTGTGAATACAGGTTTGGAGATTTCAGATTTCCATTTATTTTTAATCTCAAGGAGTGTCAGTTTTGACATATTTCTCATTGCTTTTGCTAGTATGGTAGGTAGAATTTGCTGGTTCTGAATAAATTTGATAGTGTTTTTTATTTAATTGGTTAGGATTTAACCATATGATTAGAATACTGGAGATTTCCTCTCAAAGGTTACTGTTTGTTATTAAGGCATATGTCTTTGTTTCCTTTACCTATTGGGATTCAACTTTTGGCGCAGCTCACTTATTTTAAACAGAAATTGTCTTTCTGGTTGACTTGAAAGAAGATCTTTTTCAGGGACCAGACGGCTATTTGACTAAAAGAATTATCAATTCCTGCACCAATGCCGTCGCCTTTTTTGTTTCTAGCATTCATAGTTATATGGATTATGGAATGCTGCTTCTTTTTGTGGGGGCATTTTCTTTTCTTCATTATTGCTTATCTGCCTTTCTCTTTCCAGGTTCCATGTATATGGTCTCATATTCGGTTAAAACCTTACATCATAGCTGAAGTGGTTCCCATACCAAATGTCAAGGTCTCTTGCAGCCATATTGGGAGGTGCTGCAGGAGTCATGGCATTGGTGGGGGTGGTTATTTTTCTTCTATGGTGCCTTTCTCACAAAAAGAGTGTGTCAAGAACTTCTGAGACAGGATCTTCTGAAACATCGGTTCAAGGTAATGGCTGTATCATACATCTTTCAAGAGCGGTCTGAAAGCAAGTTATTAAATGTTAAATGTGGCTGTTTTTCTGATTACCTGCTGCAGGAAGGCATGCAGGGATTGAGTTGTCATTACGAGACGCAAGGCGTTTTGAGATGGAAGAATTGGCCCTGGCCACGAAAGGTTTTAGCGAGAAAAATTTGATTGGGTTAGGAAAATTTGGGGAGGTATATAAAGGTTTGCTTAATGATGGGATGGTTGTAGCCATCAAAAAGAGACCTGGAGCTCCTAGTCCGGAATTTGTTGATGAGGTAATCATCCCTTGCTGAAAGAATTGGCTTGCAGTCTTTCAGATGAAAATATTCCTAATGAACCAGAACCAATTTCTTTTAAGTGTGGGTTCTCCCCATAATTGCTCCATTTTTTTCATCATTAATGCTGCAATGAACATTGGCAGAGATTGTGTTGCTAGCTTAGCATGCCAAATTTTCTGAGGAATGAATCATAAATGCAAATAATTATTACAGACATCATTTGAGCTTTTTATTCCTACCAATTTTTAAATTAACCTGTGGCATGATAAATTATGTCATAGCATGGTTATTGCCTTTATATAACTCCAAGCTTAATAAAATAAAACCTTTCTTTTCCGATTTACATGGTTCGATCCTTTTTCTGGGAAACTCAGCTTCAATTGTGTAGTATCTTAGTCCTTTTGTTTGAGGAGCCTAAAACTAGCATATGAATTTCATTTGTGCTGTCCTTGATTACTGTTCATGTATCTTTATTATATAATCTCTGTTGTCACATTGTCGAAGTTTTGATCTAACAGGACTGACTTCTCGAATATCAGGTGCGTTACCTTTCACCTATTCAGCATCGGAATCTTGTGACTCTTTTGGGCTACTGCCAGGAAAATAACCTACAGTTTCTTGTATACGAGTATATCCCTAGTGGGAGCGTTTCCAATCACTTGTATGGTAACTCTCTATCCAGTCACCAGTTTTGCTTGTTTGATCTGTGTTGTAGAGCATTTACTGAGTTATTACATCTTCTATATTGTTGTTCTCCGTTTAAGCATCCATGAGACATATACCTAGATATTATTTCACCTGGAGTTTCTTCTGTGCGTGATCGTGAGATGTACAATGCTGCCACTTCAAACAGTTTCCTCATGTATCTTCTTCTAAGTTCAATGTATATAAACCCTGTATCCATGATAGTTGATTCTCATTTATAATTAAGTCCTGATGTTTTCTTCACAGGGGCTGGTCAAACTTCTGATGGGAAGCTAGAATTCAAGCACAGACTTTCAATCGCTCTAGGGGCTGCTAAAGGTGATCCTCTGCAAAATCAGTGAGCATTTTGGCTTTCCTGGTATCAGTTTTCTTTCCTTTAGATACAATGCCACTTTCAGTACAAAAAAATAGAGAGAGGGGGTGGGGTAGGGGGGTGGATGGGGAGGAGAAAAGAAAAGGAATATTGATGTTGGTTTCGCAAAATACTTTTTGAGTTCGGTAAGAATTGATATTTATTACAGGTTCTTCTTTTTGTGTATGAATGGTCTCAAAGTGCATATGCCACCTCATTTATCTCATCCCATGCTGCAGGTTTGGCTCATCTTCACTCTCTATCTCCCCGTTTGGTGCACAAGAATTTCAAAACAGCCAATGTTCTTGTTGATGAAAATTTCATAGCTAAAGTTGCAGATGCAGGACTTCGTAATTTCCTGGGAAAAGTTGATATTGCAGGTCCATCTACCCAAGTGGCATCGGATGAGATATTTCTTGCCCCGGAGTATTACTCGTCAACTTTCCATGTTCTATGCAGCTGTTAACACATTATTGTTTGTCAGTTTACCCATATGACTCTTACAAATGCAGGGTGAGAGAGTTCAGACGATTTTCTGAAAAAAGTGATGTGTTCAGTTTTGGTGTATTCCTTCTAGAGTTGCTAAGTGGCAAGGAAGCAGCTGAACCATGTTCAGGGACGAGCCAAAATCTAGTTGAATGGGTAAGTAAACAGTCTTAGTCACTGTGGATTATGGTGTGATGTATTGGTTTTAAAGCAATTACTTCATCTCACCAGTTCAACTACTTAAATTAGCGAATGTCTATGGATGGGCAGGAATTTTTTTAATTTTTTGAACTGCAGATGGGCAGGATTGAGAATAAAGATTGTTTTCATTACTATATATTGCCATTACAAAATATAATTGCCTCAGATTTTCATCATCTCTCTGCGTATCTGCAATAAATGAATGAAGCAATACAAGTGTCTGTGTTGTATTCCATTAGAACTTTCTAACTATTTCCGTAATTAAAAAACCAATATAGCTGCTGCTAATTTGCCTGTTGCAGCATGTGAGCCATTAGTAAATTGCCACTGGTCTGGAACTAAAATGAATTTCATGTCTGTTTATTCAGGTGCAAAATACTGAGGACTACACGAATTTTTCCAGCATTGTCGACCAAAGATTAGGGAGTAACTTCACTGCTGAAGGAATGGAAGAGTTTATACAGTTGATGCTCCGATGTGTGGAACCATCGAGTGAGAGACGACCAGCCATGAGCTATGTGGTAATGGAACTTGATCGTATACTTGAGAAGGAGATGAACTTGACGACAGTCATGGGGGGAGGAACCCCAACGGTGACCCTTGGAAGCCACTTATTTAGAGCAACCAAATAAAACAAATTTGTTTTCCTTCAAAAATGTTGAGAGTGATTTTTGTGATACTTCAATTGTTCATTTCATGTGTTTATTCCCTTTTTTGAGAGCTCAGTGAAGATAGTCAGCTGTTTGTAAGTGTATAAAAGAACAGCTGTGTTATTATTATTTTTATAATTTTTTTAATCATAAATGTATTGATAATCTTGTTGTAAACCATTATTTGTTGCTAATATCAAGGTGAAAATTGAGATTTGCGTGAATTTTTTCCATCTGCAACACACAAGAGGTTCTGTTTTGTTTCGTTTTATTTTCTTTTATTGTAATGCAACAAGAAGATATTATTACATATTTAGTGTGTGAATTTTTTTTTGAGTGTTCTAATTTTTATTTTTATTTTATTTAAGTGTGTGAATTTTTAAATGTTTTCCAATCAATTGTTTCTATTGGATTCACGGTAACGTTGGCATGCTGATTTGTCGGACATTTCACTTTATTTATAATGGGTTGTTTGTAATTTTCTTTTTCTTCTATTTGAGCGTATGTATTTCTATTTTTTTCTATATATTTATTTATTTTTTTCTCTATTTGACTGTTTGTACATTCAATTTTGTTTTCAATGAATGCTATTAATTTTAAAATCTAACAAATATTCACTTTGTAATTCTATGTAGGTTATACTTTGATTAAGTTAACTAAAATTAAACATTAAAATAATAAAACAAATAAAAATTTATTCAAATGAAATGAAGATAAGGCATTAAAAAAAAGTTTGTGTTGGCCGTAACTGATTATGCGAGAAAAGAAAAAAATATGTAAATCAATAAAATAACTTCAAATATTGTAGGGTTTTGATGGAGACTAGCATGAAAACATATATGTATATATGTGTGTGCGCGCGTGCGCATGTGTTAGAGTTTAAAGATTTTATTGAGAAAATATATAAAAAAGATCAGCTTTGTTACATGGTGAATTTGCTATTTTTTTTATCTATTAAAATAATAATGGAAATTTATTTGATTTGTGAGAAAGTGGAATAATTTGACTTTTTTTTTTACAAGTAATATTTTATTCTTATTGTTTACTATTTTAATTTTTAATTTTATTTAACTTTTTTTTTATATAAGATTGCAAGGTGGATATTCACTGGATTTCAAAATTAATAACAATCATCCATAAATTTTTAAAAATGCATACACTTAAATGGAGAAAAAAATAAAAAATATAAATATAAACATTTGATTAGACATAAAATGAAATATTCATGTTCATATGGCAAAAATATCAGTATGCTGATGTGTTAATTTTTATGTCATTAAGAGTGTGAAAAAATACTTGATTAAAAAATTTACATATTCAAATAAAAAAAAAAATTAGAACATTTGAATAAAAAAATTAAAAAATTCACACACCAAATGTACAATAATCTCTTAAAAGAATGCTTGTTGAGGAGGAAAGGAAAAAACAACGGTTAAACAACTTGTCAAGCTTGGTATTAGCGTTTAACAATACACAATTAAAAAAAAAGGGTAAATTTTAATTTGCTCTCCTGATGGTGTCTTAATTTTATCCTAAAAGGTTAGTTTCAATTAATTAACCCTCTCATCTTTCATTTTGGTTTTAAATCTCGCTATTTTCATTCATTTCTATTCATAAAACTAACGAAAAATATATAAAAATCTTAATTTCTTCTAAAAAATTTATGAAATATCTCGTTGTCAACTAAAAAAAAAAAAGGGGACATTAACAAAATGCGAGTAAATATTAAATAAATAACATGTTGATCAGAAATCCAAAATAAGGAGATAAATGTGAAAACAGAAGGGAAACCTACAGATTAAAGTGAGCTAAATTGGCTTCACATTATCACTCTAGGTCAATGAGAACTTTATCCAACTCCTCGATGTGAGTTTGGTGACAAATAATCCTAAATGGTCATCCACCTTCAAGGTTATCAACAACAAAAAATGGTCACTTATGCATAGGATAGGAATGGCCATCCCGCTCCCATCCTGCCCTTGCTCAGGAGAGGGGATGGGGATCCCCACGGAATACCAAGATCCCTCTTTAAAAATACAATTAAGAAAGATAATAATTTAACATAGTATTCAATCACAAGTTTACGACACAACTTATAATATATTAAATTGTTTTCAATCAAATAAATAATATACTTAATTAAGGTGACGAAGTATCATAAATGTAATTAAAAAATACAAATTCCTATATGTCTTTATTGCTTAAAGATTATTAAAACTAACTCATTATATTAGAGACTAGTTTATAGCCTCGGAATTTATATATATATTGGGCATAGTTGTAATTTTTTTTAAAAAAATTGGTAAGTAAGTATCGATTTGTAGACTATGATCGAGTTCGATATTTATAAACAGTATTTTTTAAAATGTGTTTTTAGAATATTCGAACTATCTATTAAAAAGTGTTTTTTTGGTTATATTTTTAAAAAAATTAATCTTGAGACATACGAAAGCTAATCCGCAAACATTTTTACTAGTGAACCTAAAAATTTTTAATAAGCCCTCACATAGTAATCAAAACTGGACCAAATATTTGTATTATTCGGTAGATTTTACAAATCTATCTTTTTCATATTTTTAAGAAAAAGCTAAAAGAAATTGGAACTTTTATTTTGATCCAGTCAGAGTTTTGATCAAAGTCAATGACTTGTCGAGTTCAATTAGAAATCCAACTTAACCAAGATGTCATCACAGGATTTCTAAATCAATCTATCGTTTTAAAACTTTAGTTTTCACCAACCAATAGACAACCATAACGAAAAAAAAAAAACCCAGTCACGCGGGATCCACCATTAATCAAAGAAAGCTTTAAAAATTGGGTTACTAGAATCGGATTGGGTGAAAGAGACAGCACGCGTTCCCAACGCGTGACGATATTCTCTGAACCCAAACCAAACAAACACTTAAAAAATGGCCGTCCGTTGAGATCATCAGATAAGTCCATGATCGAGTTTTCGAACATAAAATAATAATATTCCTCCCATTATAATTTTCTGGTTTACTTAATTAACAATAATAATTAGTCCTAGTTGTGTTTTGTTTCTTCATGGATGAGCTCAACTAAAGTAGAAACCCACACTCTGAGTGCTCCTTAAGGTTGGCGTCTGCTTTGCCAATGGAACCAGAATCTAGAATTCACCGATCTCCTAATCCTTCCCAGGTTAGTCCTCTCCTCTTTCTCTGTCTTTCTTTTACGTGTTTTTTTTTAAAAAATATATATATCGAAATTTGTTGTTTTGCTCATTTTCGGGATTTATGAAACCGATACTTGTTGATTAACTTTATACATGCTTCGAAGTTTGCTAAATCATCGTCAGATATGAAAAGAGAGGAAATGGGAAGTGATTTTATTGCAGTTTTTAGATGGAAATTAGTTTGTAATCTTTTAAATATTTAGCAGTGAATTGGATTAGATGCGTTAAACAGCTTCGGTTGGATCTTATTTGAATGAATGAATTCAGTGATTTTGAATGTCGTAAATCGAACAGCTTCAAGAAGATTAGTGTCAGATGACTCCTTTCTTGCGGCACTTTATTTTATTTAATGAAATAAGATAAACCAAGTAATTATATCAACTAGTTAGTTTTAGTTTTAGTGATTTGTTATTTTTTTACGTTAGTTAACTTCTTGTGTGTTTTGTTGGCCGCTTGATTAGTTTTCTTTATTCATTTTGTCGACGTTAGCTTCTCTTTCCAATATGGTTTTTAACTCTTGGCTACAAAAAAGAGTGAATTCCTCGCCGATAAAGCCAAGAATCAAACGTTTATTATTATTTTTTATGTGATATTTTAATCTTTGCTCTTATTCTAAAGCATTATCTGAATGGTTACGTAGGTTGATGTCTGGATTGTTGCTGTTGTGTGCATCTGTGTTAAGTTAACTATTGTCATGGCGAGAATGAAATTTTTTGCTGCCAAAGTCAATAATTGATTTTTTTTTTTCCTGATGTGATAATTTAATGTTTGTTCTTATTCTAAAGCATTATCTGCATGGTTATGTTTGGATTATTGCTGTTGTGTGCATCTGTGTTAAGTTATATGCTGGACAATAAGAACCCAAGCAATTGAGGTCAAGTTCTTAATCGAATGACAATCATCAATAAACATTTATTTTAAACATGTACGAATAAAGAAACTAAAAAATTTCTAGGCAATGATTTCAGCATAAATAGTTCAAATCAATGGCAAAGTCAGGTGTGTACCATGATGGATTAAGTTGAAAACATAGAGATTCCTCACCGGAAATAAAAAAGTTTGGTTTGAATTTTTTTTTTTTAATGTCCAATCATGTGTGCCACCCATGCTTTCTACCAAGTCTTGTCGCCTCCTTGTAGTTCTCAATCCAGGCTGGCTGTAATTCTTTGCGTCAGATGTAAACTAAGCAGGAATGCTGTTTTTTATGGAACTAAAACTCGAACAATTTCCTTAAGCCATAGCTGGACTCGTGTGTTTTTGCAGCTTTCATGGCTAACTCTCTCCAGGAATCTACTATTGGCATATCAAAGCTTTGGAGTAGTGTATGGAGACCTAAGTACTTCACCTCTGTACGTTTATACAAACACATTTGCTGGGAAGTTGCAGAAACATCTGACCGAGGAAGTAATTTTTGGTGCATTTTCCTTGATTTTCTGGACCCTTACATTGATACCTTTGATCAAGTATGTCTGTACCCTATTGAGCGCAGATGATAATGGTGAAGGTGAGACAAAACTTCCCTATCAAATATTTCTCTCACTTTAATTCTAATTCCATGCTCTTTTTCTGATACAATTTAATTTATGTCAGGCGGCACATTTGCTCTTTACTCGTTGCTTTGCAGGCATGCAAAGTTTAGCTTACTTCCCAATCAACAAGCAGCTGATGAGGAGCTCTCATCTTACAAATATGGCCCCCCAACACAGCCTATGGCCTCCTCTCCATTGAAGAGATTTTTGGAAAAGCACAAAAGGCTGCGGACTGCCCTACTTGTTGTCGTCTTGTTTGGTGCTTGCATGGTCATAGGTGATGGCGTGCTTACTCCAGCAATATCTGGTAATGCATTGCTATGAATTACCAATAATTATGTATTTCCCAAACTGCGCAAGTCCTTATCAACTTATAGCAAGAAAATTGTTTGCTTCCACCTTTAGCTGGGTCTTCTATTCTGCAAGGCATGCACAAGCAAGGAAGATCGTTTACAGATCTTGCTATTACAATATACTTGGTTTGTTAATAATTCAATGATTCAGTTTCACAAATTCAAAATAAGGAGTCTAGCACACAGACATTTGTCTTCGATTGATTTATTATGCTGGCATTAATCATCTCATTAGCAACTGTCATTGATGCTGATGGAAGTAGGGGTTTTTAATTTCTGCATTCGAATGAACTATAAGTTTTTTCTTTTCTTTTTTACGGCTTTTCAAATTAGACTTCAGCAGGTTCTTCTTCCTTATTCATTGCTTAACCTTGCAGAAACTTCTCACATAGAAGTAGCATTGTCAACAGTTCTTTTCTCCACTTCAATACTTTGTTCACGGATTAAAGTTATATATCGAATTTGTTTTGTGCTTGCAGTTTTATCAGCGGTATCTGGGCTACAAGTTGCTGACAATAATTTGACTAAGGGTAAATTAATTATTCTTACCAATCTGTCCTTTCAGGATTTCTGTTATGATGCTGTTGATTTGGGAGGGGGAGAGAGAGAGAGAGAGAGAAAGAGAGAGAAGCAATAAGACATTGATCTTATTAATGCTTTCAACAGATGCTTATTAATGCTTTAATATTTCTTTACACTTTAAGGCTTCATAATACTTGGTTTTGATAAAGTATGATATTCTTGGTAGGTGAAATTGTTTTGCTTGCCTGCGTCATTTTGGTCGGCCTCTTTGCTCTGCAGCATTGTGGCACTCGCAAGGTTGCCTTTATATTTGCGCCAATTGTAATCATCTGGTTGGTGTCAATTCTCTCCATTGGACTGTACAACATTGTTCATTGGAACCCAAAGATTGTTCGTGCTTTGTCACCTCATTACATTATAAAATTCTTTAGCCAGACTGGTAAAGATGGTTGGATTTCACTTGGAGGGGTCCTTCTTTCCATAACTGGTACGCTGGATCTGGACATTGATCTTGCATGATTTTGCACTGGCTTGTTGCATGTGATTGTCACCTTTCATTGTGAGTTTGGTTGAGTTAAATTTATAGTTTGGTTGGAAATCGTTTCTCCAAACATGCAATAACTGATTCAGTTTTGTACGTTGCTAATGTTAGTGCACTAATTACCAACAATTTTCCTGTTCTCACCAGGCACTGAAGCAATGTTTGCTGATCTTGGTCATTTCACTGCCTTATCTATTAGGGTGAGTGTAAAATTGGAACTGTGTTATTTGTTACTGAGGTACTACTTATAATTGTATTTCCAAGTGATAATTTTATTGATGCTCTTGCCTGTGCAGCTTGCTTTTGCATTGGTCATTTACCCTTGTTTGGTTGTACAATACATGGGTCAGGCTGCTTTTTTATCTAAAAATCCCAACTCCATTTCAAACAGTTTCTATGACTCGATACCTGGTATTCAATGTGACCTTAAGTAACCATTATTCCAGAAATTTGTAGTCCTGTTGGATTTGGTTTAATTTGATGCCTTATTGCATGTTGCAGACCCTGTATTTTGGCCTGTATGTGTTATTGCCACCCTTGCTGCTATTGTTGCGAGTCAGGCTGTTATTACTGCCACTTTCTCTATTGTTAAACAATGCCATGCCCTTGGATGTTTTCCGCGAGTTAAAGTTGTTCACACCTCGAAACACATATATGGGCAGATCTACATCCCAGAAATAAACTGGATCCTCATGGTCCTTACCCTTGCTATAACTATTGGATTTCAAGACACAACTTTCATTGGAAATGCTTATGGTAAGTCATTCGCCTCCCTCTGTCATGCTGCATCATTCCTTTCCTCTATTATCCTATGTTAGGTGGAAAATGTCCTTTGTGTATGCAATTATGCCCTTTGTTATAGCTTTATGCTGAGCATTTAAGAGATAAGAGTTGCAGTTCAGTTGTGCATCAAAGACTTTATCGCTATTTGTGAATCATTTAGGAGTTCTGCTGCACAAATTAGCTAGAAGTTCTCCTGTCACTGCTTGCTGCCTCTTAATTTTGCTGTCCGGTGATTCCATTCTAAACTTTTATGATAATTTATGCCAATTTTCCTGGGGTGTCATAATGGGGCCCAACGTTGCTGCATAAGTCTATCTGCAGGGTTAGCGACGGAGGCATGACAGACGTTCTTTTCTCCCTTTTCCATACTTTTTTTGGGCCTATGAGTTCTACTTTTTTTATGCATATGAGTATCGTAGTTGAATATCATAGTGATTTTTTCTGTTTGTGTTGGTTCCCAGGACTTGCATGCATGACAGTTATGTTTGTCACAACATTTCTCATGGCACTGGTCATAATCTTCGTTTGGCAGAAGAGTGTCATTCTGGCTGCATGTTTCCTTCTATTCTTTGGGTTTATTGAGGGTGTCTACTTGTCAGCGGCCCTCATTAAAGTTCCCCAGGGAGGATGGGCCCCTCTTGTGCTCTCAGCCATTTTTATGCTTATTATGTACATTTGGCATTATGGGACTCGCAAGAAGTACAACTTTGATCTGCACAACAAAGTTTCATTAAAATGGTTACTAGGCTTGGGCCCCAGCCTTGGCATTGTCCGCGTACCGGGGATAGGTCTCATATACTCTGAATTGGCTACTGGTGTTCCTGCAATCTTCTCCCACTTTGTAACAAATCTCCCTGCATTTCACAAGGTTTTAGTTTTTGTTTGTGTAAAATCAGTCCCTGTTCCGTATGTTTCCCCTGAAGAACGCTTCCTCATTGGCCGAGCATGCCCAAGACCATATCGCATGTATAGGTGCATAGTGAGGTATGGCTACAAGGACATCCAGCGGGATGATGGAGACTTTGAGAACAAGCTTATACAGAGCATAGCAGAGTTCATTCAAATGGAAGCAGTTGGGCCACAATTCTATTCATCTGAGATTCCATCCCTTGATGGCAGGATGGCTGTTATGAGCACCAGACCTGTCCAATCTAGCTTGAGTTTAATAGCATCCGAGCAGGACTTTCTTAGCGTTGATGACTCTATCCGAAGTAGCAGATCTTTAACCCTCCAGAGCCTGCGATCTGCTTATGATGAGGATAATCCTCAGATCAGTAGGCGCCATGTGAGGTTTCAGCTGCCACCAAATCCTGGGATGGATCCTGCAGTCAAGGAAGAGCTGATGGATTTGATCCAGGCAAAGGAAGCAGGGGTAGCCTATATAATGGGGCATTCATATGTGAAGAGTAGGAGAACTTCCTCATTCCTTAAAAAACTAGCTATTGATATTGGGTATTCATTTCTTCGTAAGAATTGCAGGGGCCCTGCTGTGGCACTAAACATTCCCCACATCAGCCTTATTGAAGTTGGCATGATATATTATGTGTAATCATTTGGACTTCATCATCCAGGTGGTCATATTTTGAACCGGTGGAGATGGAGGTGGCTGCGGCCTGCCCATGGTTGTGGAACATACAATATTAAAGGATATGTATGCGTTAGGTTATTTAATGGCAGGTGTTCCATGAAACAGCTTTCCCTTTTTGTACAGATAGCCTTCTGTAGACATCTTTTCATTTGATAAATTACTAGGGTTTTTCCATCAGTAGTTATAACTAAATGATAACAAGGAGAGAAGATCAACTTCAACAATGAACTGTTCACTGTTTTCTTATCAAATTTTCCCGTCTTTAACTACTTCCTCTTTCCTCTTTTTAATTTCTCAAACAAGAAAAAGGAAAATAACATAGAAATGACTAAGTTATGAGCATATATAAAATTACAATGATTAAATATATAGTTTTTAAAACTAAGAGGACTAATAAATTAATTTTATTAAACTACAGGGACTATTTTTTTTAACTCCAATGGATTAAAAATTGACCCGCTGCTCAGTTAATATCTTGGCAAGATAATTCAAATATCGCCCAATTTCGACCAACAGGAATCAAGCATTACATGTATAAATAAATATCAAACGTTTGATGTCTTAAAACCTCCCCAAAACCTCCGGCTGCTGGTTATCCTCTTGTTTTTTTTTTTTTTTTTAAAGTCCTAATTCAAACTGAAAAGCACAGCTTCTCCTCCCTCCTCCCTTTATCTTTGCCCAATGGCTTCTTTGGACATCTCTACGCCTCTTATCTTCAAGCTCAATTCCTCTGCTAAGCTATGGAAGCTTTTCTCTGTAAAATATCCTTATCCCCACAAGCAAAAACCATCATTTTCCCTCACCATCACCAATGCGGTCCACACCCCAACAGCACTTCCCTTTTCCAGCCGTACCGCCACCTCTAAGTACAAGATTGAGACGGAGCAGGACCCCATCTCCCTCCTAAATAAGAGAATTCGCCGCCAACAGCATGGAAAGAGAGAGGGCTCAAAGCCCATAATGGACGCGGAGGAGGCTGATCAATACATACAGATGGTGAAGGAGCAGCAGCAGAGAGGATTGCAGAAGTTGAAAGGCGATAGGGCAACAAAAGAAGGGGATGTTTTCAGTTACAAAGTGGACCCTTATTCGCTGCATTCTGGGGATTATGTTGTGCATAAGAAGGTGGGAATTGGGAGGTTTGTTGGGATTAAGTTTGATGTGCCAAAGGGTTCTTCAGAGGCTATTGAATATGTGTTTATTGAATACGCTGATGGGATGGCTAAGCTTCCTGTTAAGCAGGCTTCCCGCATGCTTTATCGATATAATCTGTAGGTTTTTTCTCCTTTTTTTTTTAAAAAATTGATTTTACATGTGCAGCTTGCTTATTTGTTTTCATGTTTGATGAATTTTATAGGTTGCTTGTTTTATTCAATTTGGTTGGATATTTTGAATTGTTAGTTAAGTACATTGGTTTATTCGGTTGCCAAAACGGTTCGTATGAATTCTCGAATTCACATGTAGAAGTCTTGTTCATAATCTTTTACCCATGTCCTTCCAGCCCGAATGAAACAAAAAAGCCTCGGACATTGAGCAAATTGAGCGACACTGGTGCATGGGAAAGGAGAAAGACGAAAGGAAAGGTTGCGGTACAGAAAATGGTGGTTGACTTGATGGAGCTGTATTTACACAGGCTAAAACAAAGAAGACCTCCCTACCCAAAAATTCCTGCCATGGCTGACTTTGCTGCTCAATTTCCATATGAACCCACACCAGATCAGAAACTGGTAGCCATACAATCTTGCAAATACTTACTTAACTGCATTGGTAAAATTTGTAAACGAGGTTTCTTAGGTATCCTCATTTTTGTTAATGAAATGTTTATATTCTTTGCATAGTGCAAGACAATCTAATTTTGTTTTAATTATTGTTGAGATGATGTTTGCATTTACATTTATTTTTCATTGGTTTGGAGGGGGATAGGAAGCCTCAGCCATAGCTTTCACAATTCAACTCCTTCTTTTCCCTTTTCTCAGATTCAAAATCCATTATTTCATAACAGATGAAAGGATAAACTTCACAAGTGCTATCCTTTTCTGTTTCCTTTTCTTTTCCTGTGCTCACAAATTGGATGCTCATTCCAGGCTTTCGTTGATGTCGAGAGGGATTTGACTGAGAGAGAAACTCCAATGGACCGATTAATCTGCGGAGATGTTGGGTTTGGTAAAACAGAAGTTGCTTTACGTGCTATCTTTTGTGTCGTCTCAGCAGGAAAGCAAGCTATGGTTTTAGCACCAACAATTGTTTTGGCCAAACAACATTTTGACGTTATCTCAGAACGCTTTTCCAAGCATCCTCATGTCAAGGTTGGACTTCTGAGTCGGTTTCAGGTACATGATTTATCATTTTAATCCAATTCAGTGTAGCTTAAGATCTGGCTCGTTTTTCATATTTGTGTTTACATATTGCACACAAAGAGTAAGCATGAAGAAAAATCCAGACAAGATATCTCTTGAAATAGCATTTATTGGTTCATTATATAGGCCTAACAACCATTTCTGGTATCAGGCATGCAGTTCGTTGTCAGTTATATGTTCTTTTAATACACGATTATTACTTTGGTTTTAAGAATGCCAGACCTGTTACTGCATGCAGAGTAAAGCAGAGAAAGAGATGTATTTGGGCATGATTAAACATGGTCATTTGGACATTATCGTGGGGACTCACGCACTTCTTGGAAGTCGCGTTGTGTATAACAATCTAGGCCTCCTTGTAGTGGATGAAGAACAGGTTTGCATCTAAAGCATATTTCTGTTATGTGCAATGATCTTTTCCTCATTGATCTACATTTAGATTTTAAACAAATAATAAGAGAAAAGGTAAAAAGGCAACTTTTCCATCAATGATGATTTTGCTAATTAGAAGGAAAACAAAAAAAATTTGGGTGTGTGGCTGTCTTGGCCATCTAATCACTTTAAATTAATTGAAGAAATTTCTTTCCAGCTAGCTCCTTGTATGGGAACACGCACACATACAGAAATTTCAAATTGGTCATGCAGATGTGTCAAAATGTGATGTATGCGATAGTAGGTTCAAATTGCATCAAGTTTAAAACATAACTACCATACCACCTGTTGGATTTTATCTTTAATCTAATATAAATCATGCATGTCAATTTTCATGTTTATTGGGTGTCAATAGACATTCAGGTCTTATAGCTCTTTAAATTTAATATTTGACTTTATACAACTCCCTATCGAAGTTGTTACGATGTAAGTGAAGAAGCTGTTGTTATGTTAAAAAGGTGTCGCTGGATGTTTAGGCTATACAACACTTTGAATTGCATGTTCTATTTTATCCAACTATTCAATGGAGCTGTACACTTAAACTTCGCATCCAGCATCCATTGCTTATGCATGCAGGCAAAGATTTGTGTGCCTACGCTTTTGGGCATTACACATGATGTACTTGCCACATAAAACAAAAATTGTCTGATGGAATGAACTTATTTTAATAGTTCTAGTTTCCTAATCTCTTCCCATTATTTGCAAATTGCATTGATATAGTTTGTGTTGTGATCTGCATGTGCAATGTTCTCTGCTTTCCAGAGGTTTGGTGTCAAACAGAAGGAGAAAATTGCTTCATTCAAAACTTCAGTTGATGTTCTTACTCTGTCTGCAACACCTATACCTCGAACACTTTATTTAGCATTGACTGGATTTCGGGATGCGAGGTAATATACCTGAGGCAAATGTGTATTAAATTAGGAAAACTTTGCTACCAGAGTAGATCCTGGATCCAGATATCTAGTTTAGTTTTGCCAGGCACTGCTGAGTTTCTAAATGGCCAGTTGCTGAACCATGTAAAATGTAAATTCAAAGTCAGTGCTAGAAAGCCATTTTCCCTTAATATGAAATGTATCACCATGGATGAGCCTGCAATACTGACTTTGGACCTTTACTAAATTAGGAATTGGGGATCTTGTATAGTACAGTTAAAATTCAGAAGTGCGGACCATCTAAAGTCCACTATCAACATACATGTGTAGTCCTTTTAATCAATTCCTTGGGTTTCTAGTTACCATTGTTGATTGGAAACATACAATTTGAAATAGGGTCCTTGTAGATGACACAGGACCAAGGCTTTGTTAAGTTGATTATGTTATTTATTGCCCCTACTACATAATATATGCTTTGTTTGGAAATCTATTGTGGAAATGGAATATATGTTTTTGGAAATCTATTGTGGAAATGAGTTCATACTCCCTGATGCAACCTAAATAATGATCTGAAGATAATAAGAATTATCGTACAAGACATGGCCCTCATCTTCCTTGAACATTTTTTTTGAAATTACTGATTTGCTGGTCTATAATTTGGTAACCTTAAAGATGCACTTACATTTTCAGTTTAATTTCAACTCCACCTCCAGAAAGAGTTCCTATAAAGACCCATCTATCAGCATACAGTAAAGAGAGGCTACTATCGGCAATCAAATATGAGCTGGACCGTGATGGTCAAGTATTTTATGTCTTGCCTCGTATTAAAGGTATTGAATGCCCCTCTGTTTTTTTTTTCTTTTATTTTCCTTTATGTGCAATACTTGAGCAAAAAGTTTTCAATCCTGTTCTGTATACTAAATAGGATTACAGGGTCAAACATGCACAATATCCTACTGGCATTACTAATAAATCATATATAATCACCTGTTTGGTACATAACTCTGTTTGCTTAATCTTGCTTAGGCCATATCGAGGATTATGAATTTTCTTCTTTGCACAAGTTAGTATCAGCTGATTTAAGTTTTCATTTACTACTATCAAAAGAAAGTAAATGCCCAAATTAAATATGGAAAAGTTTGGTAGTTGGCCAAGTTCTGTGGTTTGTTTTCCTAGTGGGATTCTAAAGTTGTTTACTTTTCCCAATTTGGTGATGTGGATATCTGTTTCATTCTTGCCTAACAGGGCTGGAAGAAGTGAAGGATTTCCTTGAACAATCATTTTCAAATGTTGCAATAGCTGTTGCACATGGGCAGGTAATCTTTTATCTGAAAAATATTAAACGTCTAACGGGAAATTATCTCTGTGTGGGTATATACTATAGTACCCCAGACCACCTAAAGTTCCATGTTTAAATGTGTGTTACCAAATCAAGGTGTGGTTTGAAGGGTGTTGCTATTCTAAATTTTGCAAATAGAAAATTAACATCCTCCTGGATTTTTTGTCTTCCTTGAAGTTGCATTCTTTTAGTTTGATTTCAGCCATGTTTTATTGTATTTGGTATTTTCCTTTTTATTCTCATTTTTGTTATATGAAAAATTAGCGTTGCTTGGTATTTCATAAGGTAACAAGCCAAAGCATCAAACCATCTTTTGCACTAATTTGAAAACCCTAATTTTGCCTTTGGGGAGTTAATTTTACGTTCTTTAAGTTAATATTGATTAATTTGCCAAAACCAACTTTTCAAGGACTTGATTGCATAATTATAATCTTTTTGGAGTTAAATTTGCAATTATTGGAAAGGAGGCCACAAGGCATGCTAGAATCGAATATTGAAAGAGGAAATAGAGAGTTGAAGCTCATGGGAATTGAGTGATGAATATGGATATATGAGCATGAATTGATTGATGATAATAATTATGAATATATGAGGATAGAATGCGCTAACCGCCAAGTCCCATGGTGAGACTTGGTGCGCATCTGAGGGTGGAGCTCATTTGCTTTTTACATGACAGGTGCACATGGGTTCCTGCATAGGGGATCAGTGTGCACCACCTCTTGAATGAGTTAGTGAAGGGTGCACTAACTCCTGTTTATGGGGTTGTTGCGTCATCCTCTTAAAAAAGGGGATATGGACTTTTTTTCTCGTCTTTTCATAAAGTAAAGTGACTTTCCCTGGAAAGTCGTGTGTTGATCAAAACTCAGATTCTATACTAATGTAGTTTTAATTCCTCCCATCTTATAAACTTTGTTTTTGTTTTCCCTCACAGTTTGTGGTTTTCTTTTCTTGTTGCGTGTGTCTAGCAATATTCAAAGCAGCTCGAGGACACCATGGAGCAATTTGCACAAGGTGATATTAAGATTCTTATATGCACAAATATAGTAGAAAGCGGGCTTGATATTCAAAATGCAAATACCATCATAATTCAGGATGTTCAACTATTTGGCCTAGCTCAATTGTATCAGGTACTGCCCTTTCCACTTTATCTTGTTAAATAGATTGTTTAAATATTTCTACAAGATGCATACAAAATAGTAAAAAATCTCCATTTCTTGAAAATTATTCTCAAAAGTATGAGATCGCGAGCGTGTTTTTTAACTTTGATTGCAGCTGCTGTCCTCAAGCTAACAAACCATTCTTATATGTTTTGCTCCTTGCTGTTTTTCCTACCTTTTAAAGTTAACATCAGATTTATTCTAAAGAAGTCTCCTGTCTCCTATCAGTGGAAGAAAAATTGGGTTCCCCCTTCCCCCTGTCTCCTTCTAAACTATGCATTTATCTTTGGATCTCTCTAATGCAGAAGTGTTTGTGGAATTAAGTTACTTTCTTCATTCCTTGACCTATTTTATCAATTATGTAAAACCAGTAAATAGCTTCAATGATTTTTCATTTGTAGAACAAAGAAACTGCAATGCATCTAGAATCCCTTATCTTGTTTTTTTTTTGTTGTTGTTAGAAAATATTTTATCTTATTTTCAATCTTTGCTGTTATTGCATATAGTTGCGTGGCAGAGTTGGCAGGGCAGATAAGGAAGCTCATGCACATTTATTTTACCCTGACAAATCCATGTTAACTGATCAAGCGCTGGTATCTTCTGCAATACCACCTTTATTTTTTTATTAGTGCACTTAGTTGATCCTCATATCCCTACTACTTGTTTTCTATGCAACTTCCACAATCTTTTGACTTTTCAGGAGAGGCTAGCAGCCCTAGAAGAATACCGAGAACTTGGCCAAGGTTTCCAGCTTGCAGAGAGAGACATGGGTATAAGAGGCTTTGGTACTATCTTTGGTGAGCAACAGACTGGAGATGTTGGGAATGTTGGAATTGATTTCTTCTTCGAAATGCTTTTCGAAAGTTTGTCCAAGGTCTGGTTCATGATGGATTTTATTATATCTTACTTATATGATAAAAAGAAGAAGCTTTGTTTAAATGTTACATATTTAATTTTTGGATTTCTTTGCATTCTGGTTCCTTTTCTGCTTCCAGTCTTCATCTTGTTGTCTTAGTCTAATTGGACAGGTAAAGTAAACCAACAGTATTGTTTCTGCCATACAAAAAGATGGCTAGTAAATTCAGTATAAGTAATAGTAGCTGGGTTGTATTTCTATCGTCTTTGGATTAAACTTCAAATTTCCATGCACCTACTTTTGCATCCATTAACCCTCTTGAATTTTGATTTCAGGTTGATGAGCACTGTATAATTTCAGTTCCTTACCAGTCAGTACAGGTGACCTCTTTATCCTCTGGTATATTGTCAGTCAGAACATAAATATGTTTGATTAACATGAAAGCAAACTACATACCAAAACTATGAGGATTTAGGTGCCGTGTTCAAAATTTTCATTGGCATCAGTTTGCTTATGTTGAGTTTCTACTGAAAGAATGGGTTTGAAAAATCTGAAATAAGCTTCCTTGTGACAGAAATAAAAGAAGAAGAAGAAATCTCCACTTTATGTGTCTTGAGATGTGTAGGCTCATTTGCCTGAGCTTCTTTAAAACCAATAAATTCCTATGAGCTTTTCGCTCAATGGTGCTCTTACCTAAGGAAGAGGGGTGAGGTATCAGGTTCAAATCTCACCTTTATCAAAACTATAACAAAATCAGAGCACACTCATCAAAAGGGAAAAAGAAAAGAAGAAGAAAAATTATCAGTAAGTTCTCTCTGAGGCACAAAGATTCAGATAGCTTGTTATTAGGGGATAAGAAATTGGCCTTACAGACTATATAGCAGGAAAGCTTCGTTTTGAAGAGAGAAGCATGGTCATGGGTACAAATTTGATGGCATGATATAGTAATAATTGGTTATAAGTGTAAAACGAAAACAGATTTCGAGATGGACATTTCAATTGTCATGACTCTTTAGCTTGCTTGACAAGAATAATTTCTGGTCTCTATATCTTCATTCAGTTCAAAGCTATATGTTAGCTCATAATTGCATCTGAAGAAACTACCAAGTTTCATCGAACCTCCTATTTCCACAGTTCTTAGATGTTTAAAATGCAATGTTGCATTAGATCTAATGAGTTTGTGATTAGCAATGATTTATTACTCAAATCAATCCATTGTTTGCGGTTTTAATGCAGATTGATTTGAATATAAACCCCCATCTCCCTTCTGACTACATAAATTATCTGGAGAACCCCATGGAAATTATTAATGAAGCTGAGAAAGCTGCAGAGGCAGATATATGGAGCTTGATGCAATTTACAGAAAATTTGCGTCGCCAGTATGGAAAAGAGCCTTGCTCTATGGAAATTCTATTGAAGAAGCTTTACGTAAGGAGAATGGCAGCAGATATTGGGATAACGAAAATTTATGCATTTGGAAAGATGGTTGGCATGGAAACAAATATGAGTGAAAAGGTTTTCAAGCTGATGACAGATTCGATGTCATCTGATATTCATAGAAACTCTCTGGTTTTTGATGGAAACCAAATAAAGGTAATTCATACAGTATTTCTTATGGTGGTTACCTTTATGATAGGTGGCATCGTACTAATATTGATTGGTTTCTCTCTTCTTTGTCACACATGCTCTCATTCAATGATGTGATAAATAATAATGCCCTTGGCTCCATAGAGGCGATGAAAGTGAAATGGAAAATTTGACCTAACTTTTATTTTATTGGGAGTTGGATCCAAGAAGATATATATGATCCTCTTCTATTCCTTGCTCACATTCACCATCGCTAATGTAGTTTGAGTTTTCACTCGTCTTCTTTATCACTCTGGATTCAAGATAACTGCTCTGATATGCTCTACCAGTTATATTAAGGGTTGTTTAAAGCTGGCTTCGTAATTTAAACATTGTCTTTTAACATTTTCTTCTCTCTCTCTCTCTCTTTTTTTTCAATTATTTATAGCACTGATATAATCTACCAGTTATATTTATGGTTGCTTAAAGCACTATTTGGAATTTAAACATTGTCTTTTAACATTTATTTATTTATTTATTTTTCTTTGTTAATTATTCACAGGCTGAACTTCTTTTGGAGCTACCTAGAGCACAACTGCTAAATTGGATCTTTCAATGCATAGCAGAACTTCATGCTTGCCTGCCTGCTCTTATAAAATACTAGCACTATTTGCTCCACACAATTAGCCCTTCCATTAACTTTCCCTTTTGCACAGTTTCATCTGTGATTCTTGAAGAGGGAAACAAGAATGCATATCTCCAAGTTTTGTTACCCTCTGGTATAAAGTGCGTGTGAAATCACATGAAGACGTTCCGATCCATATCTGAGCACCAAACTAACAAATATTTAGAAGCATATGGTTGGGATTATACTGAGGAATTATGTAAAGGTGAGTCACAGAAGCTGCTTTTTCTTGTTCAAACCATTACTTCTCTTAACCAGCTTCGATTTTGCAGGCTACATAGGTGTACAGTGGTTGGATCAAGTCATTCTCTTGCTACAAAGAGCAGTTTTCGCTGTGAGAAGACCGAACACATTGGTGATGGCGACATGTCTCCGATCATCCCGTTCAGCATGGGGAGTGGAACACTGCTCATTTTCCGCACCATTGTCACACAGAAGCTTCCCTGTTCCTTTGCTGAACCTGGTTGGAGCATATAGAATCACTAATGGGATCAACTACATCTTAATATTCTTCGCTAGAAAAGAAAAAGAAAAATGAAAATCTACATCTTAGCATGTATTTTTGAGAGATGCAAGATGATGGTCAGAAGTATGGTTTGTATTATTTATAGGTGATCTAGGAAAACGTTAATTTCTTCAGAAATTCATGTCAAATTGGCCCCACTATTTAATATTTTGATAGTTTAGGACAATTTGTAAAGAGAGAATTGAGAAATATCATAATTTTATGCTTTATGCCTGTGTGTGTCGAAAAGTCGACCTCACGGTTGACAGGTGTTTATTGTCGGTGAATCACCCCAATTAATATTGCGTGCATACACAGTACAATTGGGCCCATTGGACTATTTGCCTTATTAATTTTGAAATTGGAGGACCCAATGTGGATTGATGAAAACAGAATACAACCATAATGACAACAGTACATATTATAACTTTTTTTATTATTAAAAAACAATAAAACCAAAGTTCCTGCCCTCGCCACTCATAGTATTTTACAAGTTGGATTACTAGTTGATTTTTTGAGCATGTTAAATAAAATATATTTATTTTAGTTTGATAATATATATTATATTATTGGTTGATTAAAATATTTTATAATTTTTAATTAAAATTATAAAATTTATCTAATTTCATAATTTTTAATCAAAATTTATATTTAATTTATTTTTTTATGTTTTTCATAAATTTTGTAATTAAAAAAATACGACTCTTATATTTAAAAGTAATCTCTTTAATTTTTTATTTCCTATGAAAATTTTCATCAAATTAATTTTTATTTTTATATAATTTTATTTATAAATAAATATGATTGTTTTTTCTATGTACAGATTTTCGAATAAGTTTTTTAAAATAAATAATCAATTAAATATAGAATTTAAAAATTTTATTTGATTATTTTTTATATAATTAAAATATATCTAAATCAATTTTGTAGTTATTTTAATTGCAGTTTATTAACTTCAATAAATTTCTTATAACTTAAATTTTTTAAAATATTTTTTAATTTATGTTGCATATTTTGACCCACTGAATATAGTCATTATATATATAATTGAGATAATTGGTTTTATTTAAAATTAACTATGTATCTACACATATAACACCAACCATTCACTATTAGATTTTTTACTATTATAAAATTAATTTCATAATTTTTAATCAAAAATTTGTATTTAATTTATTTTTTTATATATTTTTCATAAATTTTGTAGTTAAAAAATACAATTCATTCTTTTTTATGCATTTATTCTTAAATAAAAACCTTTGATAATCTAAAAAAATATTAAAAAAAGTCTTAATATTTTTTTATAAGATTGCATTGAAAAAATAAAGTAATAATTAATATAAAAACTTGTATAACTATTAGCAAATGAATCTTTTTTATTCTTGTTTAATGTTGAAGAGAAGGTTAATTTTTTAACAATATGTACATTTGATTTATAAAAGTCTTCATATTTTTTTATAAATGATTCTTCTAAAATATTATTTTAATTATTTTATTTGAAAAAATTAATTCTAGAATATTAAAAAAATAATAGTAAATGGTTGGTGTTATGTATGTAGTAAATGCATAGTTAATTTTCAATAAAACTAATTATTCTAATTTTTTTAATGCACCATGACCATACTCGGTGGATCAAAAATATGTAGCATAAATAAAAAAATATTTTAAAAAAATTAAGTTGTAAGGAATATATTAAAGTTAATAGATTATAATAAAATATATAAAACTCGATTCGATAAATTTTGATTATATAAAAAAAGCAAATAAAACACATGAATTTCAGCTTTCAATTGATTATTTATTTTTTAAAACAACTTATCCAAAAATTCATACATAAAGAAGCATAAATTATATTTATTACCAAATAAAATTATATAAAAAAGAATGAAAAATTAATTTGATGAGACTTTTCATAAGAAATGATAAATTAAAAAGATTAATTTTAAATAATATGAGTAATATAATTTGACATATATGTTCCTTCTAAAAGCTAAAAACTTATGATATATATATATATATATATATATATATATATATATATCACCAGCCTGCATAGGAAAAAAAAAACAATTAGTTTTCATAATTTTTGCACTTAATTCAATAATAAACAAATTAAAATAAATTTATAGCAAAAAAAGAAAAGAAAAAAGAAAACAAGCATGTGTGCTTGGTCCCTCTAGGGACCAAAATATGATCTTTTGAAAATATTAAGAATTAAAATGAAATACAATATCAAATTTACATATTAAAAAAATTAAAAATTACAAAAATACTACTACGTACATAATAAATATAAATAATGCATATGAATATGAGTAAATAGTGTCATGAATAATAACATGCCATCAATCTTTTAGTTTGTTTTATAATAATAGTGTGATGAGGTGGGTTAAGTTTCCTGAGAAGCAGTTCAAGTTCAAACGACTATTAGTTTACTAATGAATCATATTTTATATCTAGACTGAGCTTAATTAGTTTGCTAGATTGAGTTTAATTAGTTTGCAATTTGGAGACATGATGTGATCAATTATTGGGCAACATTTTATTATAACTGTAAGGAATAAATTACCTAATCACTATTATCATTAAGTTTATTTTTTACTTGAAGAGACTAATTATCTTTTAATGCATACACGCAATTTATAATTTGAGCGTGAAATTTTTATTTTTATTTATTTTTTATTTTTACCTTAGTGTCATATTGTCATTTTTATTTTTTATCTTACTGTCAGATTGTTATTGATGAATCGATCATGAATGACGTCATTAATTATTCTCATGAGAAAATCGTTGTTATTAATTCATTCCTCAAATTTTGGTGCTTGTTACGACTTTTCCATTAATGTTTCCTATCTTCTTTTGCTGGTATTAGTCGTTGTCCCTACTTTTTCCTTCTATTTGTAGTCGGATCTAGGAAATTTACTAATTAAGTATCTTTTAAGCATATACTAATTAGGATGTAATTAGAAAATTTAGACAGAAGCATTGAATATGCATTTATAAATATTTGAATTAAATATTTTAACTACCATTAATAATGAATGGATGGAGGAGTATCATCTAATATTCTCTTTTAAGGCAAATTAAGTTTACTAATTAAACAAAAAAGATTTATTTGGTATATAATGAAGTAAGACGTTGTACTAAACAGAATACATGAAATAGTCAAGAATACAAATTTCTTTCTGAGGAGATTGAACCCTACAAAAGATACAAGGAAAATATGGTGTTGTCGGAGGCGGTCTGAAGAGCAAAAGCTTTGATACTAAAAAATTGGACACGCTAATACATAGTAATTATAAATCTTTTATTACAGTACCCTTTACCGCAACCCTTGCATAAGTACTGCCCAGGGCCTGTTCGATCTTCTTCTTTATATTTATGTTTATGTATGGCTCAGTGAGTTGTTGTCTCAACGGGGACACTGTGTAAGACAACCGTCTCAACGGTTAGTCCCGGTCCGAATCCAAACAAAACACCCCACTCAAGCCCTTCACCAGTGGTGGCTTTCCCATCCTCAAGAGACTTGTTTCTCATCTCATCCAAGATAAACAAAACACAAGCACTTGACATATTACCATAATCACTCAGGACGTTTCTTGTGGCTCTCAATTTCTCTTCCTTTAGACCTAGTTTGATCTCAACTTGGTCAAGAATTGCAGGGCCACCAGGGTGTGCAATCCAAAATATGGAGTTCCAGTCATTGATACCAATTGGAGTGAAAGCCTCAACCAGGCTTTTCTCTATGTTCTTTGAGATTAGCCCAGGAACATCCTTTAATAAGTGAAAGGTTAAACCAACCTCACGTAAGTGTCCATCGATGGCACCATCGGAGTCGGGAAGGATGGTTTGTGCAGCTGAAACAAGCTGAAACAACGGACGCTCAATGGAAGTGTCAGGGTCAGCACCTATAATAACTGCTGCTGCACCATCTCCAAAAAGCGCTTGACCTACCATTGAATCCAAGTGAGTGTCAGACGGACCCCGAAAAGTTACAGCAGTGATCTCCGAGCAGACAACAAGAACGCGTGAGCCCTTGTTGTTCTCAGCCAAGTCCTTGGCTAAACGGAGGACGGTGCCACCAGCGAAGCAGCCCTGTTGATACATCATGAATCGCTTAACGGAGGGACGCAGGCCAAGGAGCTTGGTGAGCTGGTAGTCAGCACCTGGCATGTCTACACCAGAGGTTGTACAGAACACAAGGTGGGTGATCTTGGATTTCGGTTGACCCCATTCTTTTATGGCCTTTGTTGCTGCTTCTTTTCCTAGCTTTGGCACCTCCACCACCACCATGTCTTGGCGTGCATCAAGAGATGGAGCCATGTATGCACACATGCTAGGATTCTCATTCAGTATTTCTTCAGTTAGGTGCATGTAGCGCTTCTTGATCATTGATTTGTCACCTGTTAATATCGGAGGTCATATAATTGTTTTCGGTTAGCTATTATCATGATCCCTGTAAAGATCACCTATGAATATATATATATATATATATATATCTTCATGACTTAGAATCACGCGTTACGATCGACAAGAAATAGTGCATGCTAATATAAAACAAAAATTCTCAGTTTCAAACCTCTCATTCCTCCAACAAAAGGTGTTAAAAAAATAGAAAAGAAACAAAAATTCCATGAATATTAATTGTTGGGTTTCTCAGGGTGAGCTAGCTAGGCAAGTGGTAATGAGTTGGAGAAAATGATGAGAAAGGTAATTAATATAACATACACATGCGCTTGAATTTTTCCTTGAGCTCGGTCATGTGTTCACTCTGGGTGATCCGGAAGTAGTAGTCAGCATAGTCAGACTGGGAGACACAGTTGGAAGGGGTGGCCTTGCCAATGGCTAAGATGGTGGCAGGACCAAGGGATCTCTGGGCCTTTCTGATCTCCTCAACGGATGGTGCCATTTGGGACCTTAATTAGTTGACAACTGATCGTAGCTAGCTAGGGAACCGAGGAGAGAATGTGTGCAAAATTAACAGCTAATTATAATTGATGTACTGATGATAAATGCAATAATAAACTGAGGGATAGGAATTGTCAAAGGTATGTATGTGTAAAAGGAAGGAAAGGATCGGGGTATTTATAAATGCTAAGGAGGTTGCCTAAAGGGACAGTTGGTAGGTTAGAGGGACGGGTAGCTGGTTGGCCACGTGGTATGGGGGTTAGGCTGTTTAACGAGTGGTAGATGTGGAACCACATAACTATTTCCTACGTCGACCCATGCACTCCAAAAAACCAAAAGAAAAAAAGTACGAAGAAAATATCCCAAAACTGAAAGAAGAAAGAAATACATATCATATATAATGAGATTTTTTTTGTTATTAAGATATGCCAAAACTCAAAAACTCATATTAATCTCTAATTATTGTATTGTGTTGAATGCATAAGGTAAATACAATTATTTAAAAAATATTTTATATGTGTAAGAATTTGATTTCAAAATCATTTGTTTGCTCTTTTGATCTTGGGTAGTTACGATTTTTTCTTTTTTTTTTAATAAGCCTGCACATCACTATTTTTTAGCTAGCTAGCTATAGTTGATAGTTTATACTACTATTTTAGTAAAGTTAGAAGAAAAGGAAGGAGGATTTACTTCATAACTCATGGATTATTGGGCTTTGGAGGTCAAGATTATAGAATTTTGAGGATGATGGAAGGTTGATGTCAGTGTCAATGCAGCACAGGTGGGAGGGGAGTTTACGTTTTTTCGTTTTCTAACATAAATTTTTTGCTCCCCATTTTATTCGCCGCCTGTTGGTAGTTCGGTCCTGTAAAGCGCCAAGGTTCGTGGGGGCTGGGACTGGTGGTTTGGTGTTACGTCTTCCACCGGAAAACCATGGTTCAAGCATAGGTGCCAACAACAACAAACAAAAAAGGTTGGTGCCAAAAAGCCATGCACGTGATCTCCTCTTAAATGACTGATGTGACCACGTTATAATTTCAATTGAGAAAAATAAGTAGGTTACTATGACAAAAAATTAAGTGAACTTTCAGTGTTTTGTCGACAAATTTCAATATACAATTACTGAAAATTCAATCATAACCAACACTCAATCCTTTAATTGTCGTAAATGTTACTTGCAATTTCACAATAATATAAAAAACATAAAATAATGCTAAAATCCTCCTTGCTTTATTTACTTCGATCTAGTGTGCCAGTACATAAATTGGTTGTGACAATAGCAATTTCCTTAAAAAGAAACTTAATGTTTCAACTTGCTTTCCTAAACTTAAAACGCATAAATGAAAATATCACTAAGTCGTAAGCTACATGTTAGAAATGTCAACATACGTATATAATCATGTAAATCCATCCAATAATCTACATGTTTTCTCATTCAAATTTATAGTATAATTCAATCAAGCAAGCTAGCAGCCTAATTATTTTTATTTCTAATAATAAAATAAAATAAAAATCAAGCAGAAGTAAAAAAAAGAAGCATATTCTTATTCTAAAATCAAGCATATTAAATCATGCATAACAAAACAAAATAAATCCTAAACGTGCAAATTGTAAGCATTCAGAAAATATTAATTAAACAATCCAAAACTAGCATGCGTGATCTGGGTGAAGTTGAAAAGAAACAAACAAATGGAAAAAAAAAATTCTAAAAAGTGATCTTGAACTTATAAAGATTAGTCTACGTACTTATAAAGAAGAATCCAAACATAATTCATATGAAGAGGAGATGAGAGGAAATCATGGTTGTAAACATAGCAAAGAATTCAATGATGCCAAGATCAACAATCAAATCCCATCAACTCTTGAATTTACTTAAAAATAAATTAGGTTTTACGTTGCAATTGCTGTTAGGATATATTTTCTTTACGTAGGATTTAGAAAACCCTAGTGGTCCTTCACCTAACTCCGTTTTTTTTCCTTGACCTTAATTTTGAGTTTGATGTAATTTAATTTGAATGAGAAAGAACAATGAATACCTTTTATTGATGCAAAGAAACAAAACTGAACAACAACAAAGTTTTGGGAAAATTGAATTGATGAGAGATTAACGGTGCGACCTTTGAATGAAAGTTCAAAATTTATGTAAAAATAATAAACTCTAGAAGCGAACATACTCTTCTAACACTAACCGAATATCCATCTCATTACCACCTCCACCTGAAAGTGATGGAGCTAAGCTACTTGAGGACCAAGGAGGGCCATAGCTACCCTTAGGATTTTGAATTTTTTTAATTAATTACATATATATATATATATATATATATATATATATATATATATATATATATATATATATATATATATATATAATTAAAAATTGTTGGATTTTAATTGATACAGATAATTACATGCTGTTATATTTTCTTTGGGATGGTGATGCATTCTTTTGAATTTTAGTTTTTAAAATTAAAGGGACAGTTTAATTCTTTTTAAAAAACTAAAAGGTGAAAAAAAACTAAAATTTATATAAGAAAGGGTAGAAGGGTTTGGCTATGTAAGAGGGAGAGAGATGTGATTGATCGACTCCAGTCGAGATGGTTTCAAGTTAAAAGAAGGGCCAGTGAAGATGTAGATAGTAGAAGGTTGGTAAGTATTACAAGCACAAGCAGCTTGATCTTGTACTTGGTATTTAGCTGTTGTTGATGGCCTTGCGTTTTTTTGGTAATCTTCAACTCCACTTCTCATCTTTCTTTCTTTCTTTCTTTTTTCTCAGATGAGTAAAGAGTTCTGTTGACACTAGTTAAGTTAAATGAAATGAAAGAGGCAGATGCAGAGAAGAACAGAAGAGGAAGAAATTAGGTCCAAAAGTAGATGATTTGTTACCAAGTAATTTCGATATGTACTCTTTATAGAACATGCAAGCTAAATTAAATATATTTGGAAAATGGTCATACCCAGGCTTTTGCATTGATTAGTTGTGTTTTTTAGGGCTTTTGGCCCAATATATATGTAAGTGATTTTATGGACAAAAGATTGATTGTTTTGAATAAAGAAATTGTTTGCTCATTCCTTCTTTGTAAATGGAATTAGTAGGAAATCTTGGAGTTTTCTAATTATCAAGCTCTGTCATAATTTTCACGGTTTATTTCTTCACCGTTAATAAAATTCATATAGCTGGGCCTTTCTCAAAAAAAAAAAACAAACAAACAAAGCGAGTCATTCTACAGCTTCAATCATCCAGCAATTCCTACTCGAAGATGTATCTAATAATGCAATGAAACATTCTAAGTTTACAAAGTATAAATAGCCCTTCCTAGAAAAGAAGAGGCAGGCCTTGTTTAGAGGATTTTCTCATGAACTTAAATATATTTCCTCGTAAAGCCAAACCTTCATCCTCTTTCTGGAAATTTTTTTATTTTGTTTTACCAATACCGTCATCTCTTCTCTTAGAAATCTTCAGCAGAAAATCACTTTCATATTTCAATTCAATATATATCTAAATGCTTTAAATTTTAAATCACTTGTATTTATTTCACTTATGCCTAGGAACGACAATAGTATCTGCTTTCATGGAGCTCTACTTCCATTTATCCTATTGAAGATGGATATAGAAGTATCTTCGAAGGTGGAAGGAGAGGCAAGAAAATAAAATCCCCATCTAATTCGTGTACATAATCGACAACGGTATCTTTTGCCCTCATGGAACTCTACATCCAAATCTGTAGAATCTGAGTAATTTAATGCAATTATCACTAAGCCCTTATATATAAATGTCAAATGAATAACCCTGAACCTAATTTTATCTCAAAGGACCATGTCTTTTATCATTCGACAATATACCAATAAGCGTTTGCGGCGCTGTCCATCTATTATGAGCATGTCAACATTTTGCTAAATTTCACTATACAAACTATCCTTGACAATCACTTTATATAATTCTTTTAGCATTGTCATTTCCACGTTCTTTTTCCCCCTTCAAAAGTTCTTTTCTTTTCCATTTTGTCGTCTCTCTTTCAATCTGCTTCTCTCTTTCTCTGTCTCACGCCAGCAGATTCATGCACATGCTAATTTCAACATCAGAAACAGAACTTGGCAAACCGGAAAACAGCAACTGTGGATTTCTCATATTCTTCGCACTTTTTTTGGGCCGTGGCCCATGGTGTAATTGCATAAGACTGGCCTTCGCATGGGAACTTCAATGCTGGGACGACAAGAGAGTGAAAGCAATCGAGTAATTACTGTACAGAGGGCAGGAGTTCTTTCCGCTGTCTTCAATGGAAAGTATAAAAGTCGTCTGTATTTACCAGCAAATTGCTTTGTTTAGCTTCTCACCATGGTTCTATATTCAAGTTTAAACACCAACTCTAATCCTTGCAATGACATCTCCAATATTCATGTCATTCTTAACAATCTGAAGGTTTCTGTTGGAAAAAGAGAAAGAACTGAGGGAAATTAAACAAATCTTTTAATGATGAAGAAGCAAGCAATTGAATCATAAAGATATTAGACAAGTCAGTCAAACAATTTAAAGTTTCTCCTCATTCTATTGGCTCTGCAGAAGAATAAATTGATATTCCTAAAACACAAGACACCCAGTCCAGCTACTAATGCCAAAAGTGAACTGTTCCCCAGTTGGTGACCTTAAAGACTGATAGTAATGTAGTGATTGAACTTATGAAGATGAGGACGACCCAAAGACCTTCAACAAACTAATGAAGCCTAAAAATAGACAGGCTCAAAGATATCCCAGGAAAGGTATCAGGTGGCCCCAAGGAAGCACAAATAATGAACGTGAAAAGGTAGAAAGTGCAGAGACTGGCACTCATTCAACTCTGACAACAAATGAAGCAACTGCTATCTGGTATTTTTGATGAAATTGAAATAAAAAGGAATAGAAAAGTGAAGAAAAGAGGGAAAGCAAATAACATCGCCGTTAAAACTAATGTTCGCTGTAGAGTGAAACACAGAAAGACAACCAATTCAAGCCCCTTCAACGGTGTGAAGATCCCAAAGAATGCTTGTATACGCTACAAGCTGATTATTATCTATTGCTTTGTATTCAGCATTGAAAATCTTGGCTGATCACAACCTAGAAACCATCACACCAGCGTGAGAATTTTATCACTTTCCTAAATGCATTTTTGATGCACCTAGAGCCTGGGGCAATGAAATTCTCTAGAGATCATATAACAAACCTAGTAGATCCTCTTGACATACCAACAAGTGATTAGTTCTTTTACACCATAGCATCAAAGTTAAGATGCCAGGACAATAGAACATACGAAGGCGGCAGAATCATTATCAATGCTCATCCCTACCATATCTCAATGGATTCGCGTAATTTTCCTACAGTGTTCATTTTGAATTGCCTTGTAAAGTGTCAAGTTACATACAGGAGATACTACATATAGTTAAGAATCAAGCAAACACCAATCTCAAGATCTCGACACTTCGCCTATCAACTTAGTCATTGTCGTACATCCAAATCTCAGGCAGGAAAAAAAATGCAGGAGCAACAACTGGATATCCGGTAACAGATACAAGTTTCGACTTACTGGAAACTTACCATACCAAGTAAAATCTACCGAAGAAGACTTCAGTATAGTCAATGAAAATGCATGCTAACCAAGTAAGAAATCAATAAAGAAACAAAGAAAACGAGAAAACATAGCTGCCAAATAAGAAAGCTAAAGGGTTTGTATGCACAAAAACTCGTTAGCTTCAGGAGGTTACATTGTCTCATTCAATCAAGCAACGTAAAATGTCAAAAACAGTGATACAAAGCAACCTTCTTTCTTCATTGATTCCCAAGTAGCATAACAATCATCATCATCATCATCTCTAACAAAACAAAAGGAAAGAACCAACCAGCCAAAGATCAAGCCTGCGTCCCAGTCAAAGCCTTCATTTGAAAATGATTAGAAGAAGAATCAGCAGCAGAAGAAGCAGTAGTAGGCAAAGCCTCATAAGATCCTCCTAATTTCCTTACCCCAACCCCGAAAGTCTTAGCAACAACACCATAAATAACCATAACAATAAGCACCACAAACATAACATGAACCACAAAAACCAGATCCAAAATAGCCACCGCTCTCAACCTAGAATCCTCCAAATCGCATTTTGTCGACCCCTCCACACCACTCACCACATCCAACAACTTATGGCAACCATCCGGTATAAACGCTTCAGCGTAAAGCGAAAGCCCGGTCTGGAGCATCCAAAGACCCTGCAAGCAAACCGCCCCGCCCAATCCCACATCCGCAACAAACATCCTCGGCTGGCAAGCCAGGATCAAGCAGAGGACGGCGGAAAGGCCAGAGATTTGGGCGGAGATGGAGTCACATTTGGATTGGAGATCGGAGGTCTGGACAGATGCGGAAGACGAGGAGGAGGAGGATTGGAGGAAGAAGACGGCGGAGGCGAGAGCGAAGAAGAGATCTGAAGGGAGAGGAAGGAGGGAAGTGGAGTCAGAGAGGAGGAGAGAGAGGGAGAGGATGAGGAAGAGGAAGAGGACTGCGGCTGATTGGAGAGAAGTGAAGCGGTGGACGGGAGTACTACCTTTAAGGAGAGGGTCGGAGTAGGAAGAAATTAGGGTTTGGTGAACTAAGGCGATGAGGAGGCAGAGGATTAGGAGGTAGAGTTGGAGGTATTTGAAGCGATTTGAAGAAGAGAGAGGGTAGTAGGGTTTGGCGATGTAAGAGTGTGGAGATTTCAAGTAGTTACGCGTTGTGCAGATTAGATGGTAGAGTCCTAGCGATATCAGTGCTGCCGATGAGAATATCTGGAAAAATAATCCCATTTTCTTGTCTCTCTTCTTCTCTTCTATAGATTTTGGGATGGGACATTTGAGGAGAAACAATGACCCATCAGCAAGCTCTTTTTTTTCTGTTTTTTTCCTTCTGCTGCTGCTTCTTCTAATCAGCTAGAAGCAGTCAGCGCTGAAGACTTTAGAGTAAGCTATTTATTTAGTCCTTTTAGTTTTAGTGAAATAATTAGCTAGTCCCCTTAGTTTTAAGAACTGCATATTTAATATTTTTACATCAGTTTATAACTTAATTATTTGGTTTGTTTTCTATTACATTTTAATTTTCATTTCTTAGATTCCTTTATTTTCAAGTCGATTTTTCTTTTTAATTTCACCGACTAAAAATGAAATCAAAATGATACAAAAAAAAATTGACAATAAACTTTGTTTTAGCATCGATGAGTTAAGTGGTGCTTTTATATGAACAAAAGATAAGGTCTCAAAATCAAGTCTTAGTTTTGTCAAAACCCTAAAAAGTTAGAACATACTCATTAAGGCTGTGTTTGTTTGGGAGAAAATAAGTTTTATAGGAAAATCAATTCCTAAGGAAGATATTTTCTAAAAAATTATTTTCCAAAAACATATTTTTTACTATTTAGTAATTACATGAAAAAACAACTGAAAATTATATTTCAACATTTGTTTAATACCAAAAATTAAAATATAAAAACATATGTGATTGTTATATCAACAAGTTTTGAAAAAACTTCAAAAATACATATTCATAATTTTACAATATAATATACATTTAGAAAAATTTAATAAATTTTCATAAATACTAACTTTAAAATTTTAATTCAAAAAATAAAATATTTTTTTTAAAACATCAAACCAATTCATCAAAATTACTTGAGATAAAATCAAATCAATATTCGCATTTAGTAAAAAAAAGATTTTAAGTAATCATAGCATTGTTATTTTGGTAACTCAATTAAGAATTCTTTTTTTCTTTTTAAGAAATTGAACTCATAATTTATTCTGAAAAATAGTTTTATAAATTATTAATTATCATTTATAGATAATTATTCATTTGGTCTCAAAAGATTAGTGTTGGAATAATTTGTAACTAATTATTCATTACAATTACCAACAAAAGTTTACAATTAATTAAAATTATAAATTAAGGATTTAATTGCAAATGAATAATATTGAAAAAATAATGTATTTATTGATGAATTGATTAATTTTAATTTTTTTTACAAAAAATTATAGTCCCGTAATAATAATTTCAATCATTTAAGTATAGTTTAGGTGATATTTGAAATAATAGTAAAAAAAATAGAGATAAATTATTGAAATATTTATTATAAAAATAATTTTAAGGTGTAAAAATGATTTTTAAGAATATTTAATGTATCTATAAATAAAAAAATCAAATATTAATAAAAATAGAGAAAAAATAATTAAATAATTAACAATAATTGATAAGGAATAATTAAAAATTAATCTAATATATTTTAAATAAAAAGAAGATAAAAAAAATTGTTAAAATATATTAAGAGAGAGGTAAGTAACGCAAAAGCGAAATAGCTCATGAGAAGAAAAATATTTTCCTCTTTTGAAACCGAGAAAACATTTTCCCAAAAATACTTTATCATTTTCCGCTTAATGGAAATCATTTTTTGTCAATTTTTTTCCTAAATGCAAAACAAACACTGAAAAATAGGAAAAACAAGTTCCTGAAATTTGTTTTCCCCCAAACAAACACAGCCTTAAAAAAAGTCAACTCTAGGCAAGAGATTAATTTATTATAGTTTTTCAAATTAAAAGGATTAACTTATAAAATCATGAAAAATAGGGACTAAATATAATCTACTGAATGATTTTGGCTGTCCATTTTCATCTATATGTAGATCAGAAGCAGCGAAGACATACGTCCCCATGGCTCTAAATACGAACTCCATGAAGGCAAGCTTACCAGTGACAGTAATTGGTGAGTATAGGCAACCTAATTTTATGGATTGTTTCTGGTCTTCGTGAACTAAACCAAACACTACTCCAGCAGATAACAGCCAAAACAGATACACTGATGCCTTTGTTGTTTTAAGGAAACTACTGGTCTGAATCTGGGATTCCCAGGGTGTGGAATAACATATCCTTCTTTTAACTTTTTTCATCGGTTTACGAACATCTTAAATATTGCGAAGGTCAGCCAACACCCAAGTCCCCTGGCAATGCAATCTGCAACTCTTCCACATTAGTCAGCAAGATTTATTTACGACCGTCGGCAAGAATTTTACGATTGCTTCTACTGCTGTGAAAAAGCATCCATCATTTACAAACTGATTTTGAAATAGAATGGAGAACACATCCCCATATCAATAGGGAAAAAGACCGCTTGAGGGTTGACATTTCTAAAGGAAGAGGGTCTTTCTACCCGCATCGAAGTTGGTGGTCCAACAGCCCAAACAGTCGCATCTTTTCCAAGCCCTCAAATTTGTGGCTATAATTTAAACCTAAAAATTCCATGCCATGGAAGCTGCACTGCAGAAGGTAAAAATCAACTACTCTTGCAAAGACATCTCACAACTGTAGATGATATTCATCTTGACCTTTATAGTTCTTACCACTTGTTAGCGAACCAGAACATGCATTCTCCTTAACGAAAAAAGTTAGGAACAATAAAAGCTGGGTTTATCCTGTAAGTGCAGCATAATAGACAGGGAGGAGTTTTGAATGCCGCAAAACCAAAACAAGTTGACAAAATGGACAAAAATGGAAAAGAGCCACCACTACACTCTATACATGCCAATTAGATGCTGGGAGGAAACTAAGATATACCAAAATTACAACAAGAACTAGATATCATTCCACGCAAAACTTTGTACTGTAAAGGCACACCACAAATGCACACATGTACTCGCACCCTATAAAATGAGGACGATGAGAAAGACGACGAGTGCAACTATAACAATTCCCAGTAGCCACCAACACTGCCAAAAAGAAATAGCAATATCAAGATAAAAAGTCTTACAAAAATGAAATATTTTAAGGGCACAATGCCACAAATAATAGCTAGAATCAGAAGATTATCTCAATTCCAAATTTCCACTTGGATTATAATTTTTTTAATATACAAATAGAGCAATATAGGTAGCACAAATAAATATGATTTTTTTTTTAAAAAAAAGATAAATTATAAAAGGGAACTTCTTGTGTTTTTAAAAATATGATAGAACTTCTTGGTTTTTCGCTTTATAGGAACAAACTTATCTATACTTTTTCCCAATTTTTCCCACATTTCAAAAATGCCAAATTGTGCATGACTTTATAAGTCGCCTTATACATCTGTGCTATTTTTTCTTATCCTGGACCTTGGCCATTAAAGGAACGGGAAATTATATGATGAGAATGTAACCAACCCAATAAAGACACGTTGACTCGTTACCGAAATTTATAGTGATTTAAAGCTATTTCTGCCTGGAATGAATTATTGATTGAAAATTTTGCATTTCTTGAAGGTTATTACATAATTCTCTACAGCACTAAACAAATAATCAGAATCTCTATGTTTTTATCTTTGCACAAACCGTGCTATTACTTTTGTGCTGACGCTAGTATTGAACTGTATTTAATGTTTTCACACGAAAATTCATATAGCAAATTCCAGTTCCTGAATTCGATTAAAAAAAAAAAAAAAACAGTGGTCGACAAGGTGATCGACCATATATCTTTAACACCGTGTGGGATGTTATACCTTCATATTAGTTTATATGTTTCCAATCCTCTGCATATACATGAGAACGAAGTTTGGGAGCCTATCCTGCTTTAATTCAAGTGCATGTGCACACTGTGGGAAAGAGAATATAAATTGAACTTCTTGGATGGTCTAATTGTAACATTTTTCTTCTACTGATTAAGAAATTAATTTTAAAGACTAAGCATCTTATGTCTGAAAAGCCAGTTTGTCCAAGTGCTATGACAAGGCATAACATTGAGTCAACATTATTAGTGCTTGACTTAATAGAAATGACTACTTACCCATGAGCATTTAGATTTCACGCTTTTTGAAGCCTTGGATAGCTTAACCCTTGCTTGAGTTGTTGCAGCAGCAGAAGAATCAATGTTTGAGTGAATATCATCTGTTGTAATGAAACAAATAATTAGTTATTGTAAGAGAAAAGTGAAAAACACCACAAGTGTCAATCAAGAATAAGAATAACCAACACAAAGAAAAAATCTACTTTACAGGGAGTGGGAACTCACCAATAACCACACCTTGGTCATGAACTAGAACAGCAAGATCCTTGAATATTTCATTTGCTTCACCAATTTGTGCTTCTATATCTCTAATACCCTGTTCCCTTTCCTCAAGTATGGCTTCATTAAATGCAATTTCATTATTCATAAGCATGAGCTCCTGCCTGCACGTTTTTGTCCGCAAACATGAATTAACAAAGGCTGCTTGAAGTTTCCAACAAAAGTAACAAACCTGCTATCTCTCTCTCGTTTTTTTTTTTTTTTTTTTTTTGAAGGAAATGAATCAACAAAGAGTTTGGCAAGCTTTCAATGGAAGTAACAACAGGGTTCCAAAGTGGATTAATTGCAAATAGTTTGCATTGGTGTGGTAAGAAACTATCTAAACAAAACACATTACAGGAAAAGATGAACTGCGACAATCCAGTTATGAAAAGCAAAGACAAACAGCAACGTTACTAAACTCTTCTTTCAACCAACGGGTACAAACAAGACCACAACCGATGAAAATTGACAACACTTACTTGCTCAAGCTTTTGCACAGACAGTGAAACTGGTCTGACTTTACGCATCAACAGATTGACGAATTCAACAGTTTTAATATATCCCAACATACTTACAAATGACAACTCAAAAGTCTAAAAAGAAGCACTAGAAACTTCGAGATACAAGTAGTTAAGTAACACAGTTACCTTCTCTGTTCCCGTAGAAAAGGTTGGTTATCTTGATCCATACTAGCCACCAGATGTTCACCAGAGCCAGAGCTGTATCCAAAAAAAATAAAAAAAACCACCAAGTCACCAAATAAAAAATTAAAAAGAAGAAACAAGCAGGTGATTAAAAGTTAGTGTACACACGAAGAAGGCAAAGAAGACTGAGGAGGAAGAGAAGGAGAGTAAGCAGATTCGCGCTCAGAGGCAAGCTGTTGAACTTTCTGGAACTCTTGCAATGTGGTTTGAAAATCTCTTGCTAGCTTTGCATCTTCTATTTTCTTACTCGCCTAAAAAATTAAGCCCATAAATCAAAATCACAATCACCAATCAGTAGCATACAAATTAAATAGGCAAGACAATAAAAACAATACATTGATGTCAGGATCGTGATCGGATTCGCTCAAAGATTTGAGTTTAGCAGAAGTTTCTTTGACTAACTGCAGAATCCGTTGCCTTGTATTATGCCTGATAATGTGATCGAAAAATCTAAGTTAATCAAGTAATAACCGATACATTGATTTACAGAGGAAATAATTGACAAAAACAGAGACAGACAGTTTGTGCCGGTGTTCAGGAGTGTCCTTGGCGGTTCCAATGGCATCGACGAGACGACGGAAGCCAGCAACGGCAGTGTTGATCTGGAAAATACCGGCGGCGACCGCTTGCGATGGGCTTTTGGACCTGGAAGAACTGGAAGTAGGCCTCTTGCCATCTTGAATGTCTTGGAAGCTCATGATTTTCTGCTTTCTGTCTGAATATCAGTTGAGTAATTTGGAATTGGAATTGAAATGGAAATGAAATACAGGTATGCAAAGAAAGGGAAGAGCAGGGCTCCGGGTTACTGTGCAAAGAGGAAGAATTGGCCAACCAGTCAAAAGGTCGTACTTTTAAATACTCCTGGTTGGTCAAGGAAAAAAATGGATAACTACGAATTAGTCACTAATCTATGAAATATCTAATGAACCAGTACCCAGCCTTTAACTTTTTGCTATTTTTAGCTCAAACTAGTAGCCACTCCTTGTTGTTTAAAACCAAATATTTCATTAACCAATTGTTAAAGTATGGCACATTCAAGAACGTTATCTGTAAGCTCACAACAACTTTAGCCACATAATTATCATGTTTTTTAAGATTTGATATCAAATATCACTAGTTATATATATATAAACAAATTTAATTTTATGTATAAAAAAAATTACAAATTCAATATAAAAAAACCATAAATTATATTATCTACGTCTTTAAATTCACAATCACTACCATCTTCGATCCATGCTAATATTTTAATCATACAAACCCTATGTGAGAGGAAAATGAAGAGAATAAATGTAACCTTCGTGAAAATCTTTAATGAGATATATATATATATATATATATATATATATATATATATACCATAATACTTATGTAATTGTACATTAAGTACGAGTGCAATTGTAGGTGTCATTCTACCTATTTGGTGGTGATAATTATATACACTTATGTGAGAATTTTAGGATGAAGTTTCGGACAAATTAATTAATTACCACTCGTTATATATTAAGTACTTCGAACATATTATATAAGTGAAATAGGGGTGTGTATAAAATTTTGTAAATATAGGAATATTTTCCTTGGAAATATCAAAATAAAAGGGAAAGGAATTTTCAAATTTTAGAGGGGAAATTTATGAAGATTTATAAAGGAAAATATGTTTAGTTACTTGAACCAAGTTAGTTATGAGGTTTAGTTAGCCTAGGTATTTAGTTAGACTCCTAAGCAATGCATTAAATGAATTAAATGGCCAACTCACCCAAAATTGCCACCTTCATCATGACTCACCCACTTGTTTTACACTTTGTCTAATAAATTCAAGACACCTATAGCCTTAATTTATGCAAGAAAATGGAAGGCATGTATATATAGGGAAAGAGAGGGAATGACGGAAAATTTGGAAAAATTAGTAGTCGCCAAAGAAGAAAAGAAAAACCAAGTGTGAGGAAGAGAAAAACAAGTAAGAAAGAGAGAAAGAAAAAGGAAAGGAAAAGAAAAGAAAGAAAGAAAAAGCTAAGGAAACCTAACCTTATCCAAACTAAGTAAGTGAGTTACCTTTTGTTTGTTTATACCATTTATTTAATCTTTATGCAATTGACTAAATATGTGTTTAGGTGGTGATTGGTTATGTTGATTGATTTGCATTGTAATTCTTATTGGTATAGTTGGTTGTATTGATTGGTTGTATTTGTTGCTTCCTAAAATTTAGAAAGCCTTGTATATGGTTAAATTCATATGTGTGGGGGATGTGAATAATAGAATTGGGCTACACAAAACATGGTGGATAAATTTGGAACTTGTGTAGACTTGAATAAATTAGAGTAAGAAGGAAAGAAAAATAAAATTTTAGGGTTCTTTTTTAGTAAAATTTTGGGCCGAGAGTTACACGGCCTCCCACACGAGTGTGTCATTGCCCGTGTAATGAAGAAAGATGTTTTTCTTTAGTCGACGAGTTACATGACCTCCCACATGGACATATCTTTGACCGTGTAATTCATCGGTCATTCGAAATTCACCACTTTTACTTCGTACTTGCTTGGTTTTCGTTCTTTTTCACCAAGATAACGTAATTAATGGTCAATTAGGTCCAAATAGATATAAAATAAAAATAGAAAAATATACTTTAAAATGAGTGAAAATAGATTCAAATGCTAATAATTATTCAAGTCATAGTAGAACAAATTAATGATTAGAATTATGATAGGAAACAAAAGAAAAATACTCACATACACAATTAGACCCATGACTAAATCAATACCATTCGTCGGTCTTCGATTCTAACAAAGAGAAACATGATGATAAGGGGTATGAGTATGCCCGAAACCCCGGTGGGTTAAACCTATGAAAATGTATAAAGTCGGATCTTGTACGGGTTGGATATGTTTAATATGGTACCGTAATTGTGATATCACATACATCAATTGAAAAAGAAATGAGAACAAAATCAATTAATTAAGAATCGAGTTGTATGAATAGGTTTGATAACCTAATCGAATAAAAAAAGTATAACGGTCTAGTCTGTATGCGTACTTTAAGCCGTGTGCTTGCACTCGTTAGGCGATGGATTCTTGTCGACAATGGCTACAACGAGGGATAATTTCGTTGTTAGCATTCGATGATTTTAAAAGCATTTCATATCACGTGCATCACCCCACTTACCGAGTTTCGGCTCATCTCGTTGTTATTTGCATGTAATGACAAATAACGGTGATCGTAGTACCAATAAGAACGCCGTTTGATCCTCCAAAAGGGCTCGGGGGTGACACAAACTTTAAGAGATTTTGTTTTGTTTGTAAATTTTGTGGTTGGGTGTCGATGAACATTTTGATGGTATTGTAAATAAATTTGTAATTTCTTCCACTCTATTGTTAATATTATGTAAATTGTCTTAGACGCTTTTCATTGTATGATAAGTCCTTAACATATGAGCACGTACGTGTTTAAGGTTAATTCAAAAATTAATCGTGTTAGCGTGATGCGCTCCTCGCCTAACCACTCCCTTTGGGTAATTGGCAAGCGGGTCGGGGAGGAGGAGCTACAACAAGAATTATTAATTCTTTGTAACATGATGGGATTCTAGTAAAAATTTCATTATATACATAAATTCATCATTGTAGTTGATAAAAATGCCAATAGCTTCCATTCGTCGTCAACACAAATAAATTTCAATTTTTTTAAAAAAATCTATAAATAAATAAAAGTTATTTGTATGTTCAAATATGTTAGTTTATATGGTTTAGTTTATTATCCAGATATCAAACAAAGACCATGTATTATCAAAAAAAGTGGACACGTGTAGCTAAAGTAAGGTCTGATTATTAGAAAATTCTTATATCTATCTAATTTGACAAATTTAGTTAAAATTCAACCCATTCTCACTAAAATCAACTCCTTTATAACTTTTTTTTTGTCATTTACACCATTGACATTCAATCCATTATTATTTAAATAACCAAAATCAAATAATATGTCAATCTATGTAACTTTATTATGTTGATTTTTTTTAATAAAAATCACACTACCTAGCTTTTTTTCAGCTTAGATTTTATATCTAGACATTAGATGGATGGATATGATCATATGAATATACTTATAGATTTATAGATATAGAAGGCATAAAGAACAGATTCGAAATGCATGTGCTAGTTTATAATGTTTTGTATTTGAAGGACTGAACTGAAACGTGTAAGAAGATAAAATGACGTAGAGGTGGATGCAAAAGTCAGGGACAGTGTTATAAATTAAAAAGTTATATATTCGGTCAAGTATAAAATGCGTAGAGTATTAAAAAGCACATTAACCGGGTAAACGAGAAAAAATTTCTAAAACGCGAAGGCACGAACTTTATGTGAAAAATTTCATGTCCATCTCGCCTACACAAATCCAAGGTTCGACATCGTCATCTTCGCTTGAATCTCCTTCTCTAAGCCCTAACAATCCCAATCATGGCTCTCCTCCACAATCTCGCTCCCCTCTCTCACTCCAATCACAGTCTCAGCTTCGGCCTCAGCCTCAGCACCTCTCTGGTAGTTCTAGGGTTTCTTCCTCAGTTTCTTTAATTGATGTGACAGTTTATGGTGTTTGATTCTTATTTAACTTATTTATTTATTTTTGTGATTAATTGAATTAATAGAATAGCTTAGGTTTCGTTTTCTTAACTGAGAGTTGGATTTTTCACTTAGAATTTATTTATTTATTTGTAGAGGAGAAAACTAATTGAAATTTAAAAAAAAAAATGAAAGATTTTAATTTTTTTTTTTTGTATGAAAATGCTATGAAATTGTCTACTTACCGTCTATCTTGCTGTATTTGTTTTTGCAATGCTCTCTCACTTTATTTATGTGTAATTTTAATGTTGAAAATCAGATTGAGATATAAAACGCTGCAAATCAGAATTATAACCAATCCGGATCACATTATAACTGAGTATAGCATATCTAAGTTGTCCTGGCCGGCATCAAGATTTGTTCTTATACATGTGGCAGAGTCGTCAGAAACTTACCATCTTCATGTTTGATTAATGCAACTTTTGTGGCAGGCTCATCGGCTCCAGTTACAGAAGATTATTCTGCCGGATCTTCAACAGAGGTAAGGTACCATTTTGAAGTTCAATCTTAGGATCTGCTTATGACCTTATGGAATGCTTTCTATTATAAGCATTTCTTGGATGAAGTGTCCCCAACTTGAACCACAAAAAGATAGTTTTACCCAGTTTTTAGATATTTAAGGAACATAAATGAAAGGACATATTTGTAACAGTGACAATAGTGGCTAACCACCACAGCTGACAGCTTGTGCTCGTTCTTTTTGTTTCTTTATTCAGGTGAATGAATTAGGGACACCAAATGGTAAAGGAAGTTGGGCCCACCAAAATGCACACGCAAATTCTCTGTCTCACTCAGGTGGTGAAGGGGTTGGATCTGTTCAGTCCAAAGGGAATATGTCAGGAAACACTGCCACTCCTCAAAGTCAACAAAGTATTGGGTCTATTAACTCTCGAGGAGGAAGTACACATTCTTCAGGAAGAAGAGCCCAGATGTCTAATGCTAATCATTTGCTCAATTTTCATTATGACCCCATTGCTCGACCACGGCCTCAACCAAGGGCTCCTCCTCCAAGACGGCCACAAAAGAAAAAGCCTTACAACAAGGATTTGTTCCTTCAGGCTAATTACAAGTTCATTGTGTTAGATACTGGGAACTATGCTCCTGAATCAATGGATCCAGATAAAATGCTTAAATGGGAGGACATAATTTGTGTTAGGTTTGCCACCACATTTCCTGTGCAGTGTCCAATTTGCCTGGAATATCCTCTATGCCCACAGATAACTTCCTGTGGGCATATTTTTTGTTTTCCCTGTATTCTTCGTTACTTGTTAATGGGCGAGGAGGATCATAAAGGCGATTGCTTCAAAAGATGCCCCCTATGTTTTGTGATGATATCTCCAAAAGATTTGTACACCATCTATATTGAGGATGTCAAGCAGTATTGCATTGGTGAAACGATAGAGTTCATGCTTCTAACTCGACAAAAAGATTCATTTGTTCCATCAAAGAAAATTGAACCAGAGGCAGATATTGCACTGTGTTGCAAAGATAACATGGATCCCTTCTCGAAGTTCTCTTTCACTTCAGATGTGGAATTGTCAGTAAGAAAAGCAATATCAGATTTGGATGGTTGGTTAGTCAGAGCAGATTCAGGTCTTGTGGATGATTTAGAGAAGCTTCCATATGTTTGCGCTGCAATGGAGCAGTTAGAAAAGAGGAAGAAGTATTGGAATGAGCAGAAGGTGTGCCATGATGATAGATTGAATGTTACCAGCAGTCAGAAAGGATCTCAGGGGCTTTTGTCAACTTTAACTGCTACTAAAGGTGAGCACAAAGCCTGTAGTTCCAGATCTGCATCACCATCTATTGATATCAATAACAAAAATAAAGGGTATGATAATGTGATGGGGGGTGTGGTCGAGTCACTGGAAGACCAAGATGGTTCTTTATCATCCTCATATGAAGAAAACAAGAATTTCCAAAGACAATCAAATGGTTATAGGGATGTTAAGGATAAGGAATCATACAATTTCTACCAGGTTGGTGCTGTTGAGATTGTATTTCATTTCCATCTTTACTGCTTATGTACCTCTCTGTTTTGTTAAGAGGATAGAACTGTAACAAATTTCCAGAGTCTGATCGAGACCACTATGGGGACACGGTTTCCAATTTATAAGTGTGTCCAGGATTGCTTACCGTAGTCAGCACTGCTCATCAGTTGATAACTAGCATGGTTTTATTAATTTTTACGAACATGTAAAAGAAACTGTTGGATTGCGGGCTTAACATACTCTGGCAGAGAGTACGCTCTTTATTGGCTATTGTCCCATGTCTCTGCAAGATATCTTGATTTGCATAGACTGTTATCTGTAATAGGTGCAAAATGAAATGAAAGAACAAAGTGGAAGCAACTAAGTGCTTTTAATGGTATTTTTACATGTGCAGTCAATGAAAAGGAGTAGGCTCGCTGTTAATTAACTTCTTGATGGAATTACAAATGGACAGTACTGTTGTTTTAAAAATGAACAGAAGATAGTAACTAAAACTGGTGAATACAGGAGTTGTATGCTCACCAGAGTGTCAATGATCTTTTAAGAAGTTTTCTGCTCGTTGCTTCATATGCTTTTAAGTATTCATGGCATTTGTTATTGCTCTAGCATTCTTTGCTACTGTTGAAGTGTGGCATGCGATGTGAAGTTGCTGTTACTTATTCCTGATGTCTGTCTATTCCAGGCAATTGATGGTCAGCACCTCATTCTTCACCCATTAAATATGAAGTGTCTTCTGCACCATTATGGAAGCTATGATTTGCTTCCACACAGGTTTGACCTAAAATAATTTTTTTTCTCTGTACTTAATTCAGATATATTGCTTATACTGTGACTGTTATTCCCTGAGCTTAATTCAGGTATCTATGGATGTGCTAGTTCCTGTGCAATAAATGTGTTACAATTTGAGAACCTAATCTTCAATAGCTAAAAAATACTGTATTTCATAGTACTTTTGCTTGCGGCATACCTTCTGTAGGGACACTAAATATGATTGTACAAACATTTTTAACTTTTACTTCCATCAAAGTGCAGCATACCTGCTGCAGGAACACTAAATATGATTGTACAAACATTTTTAACTTTTAATTACATCAAAGTGCATGCATATTTTACCCTAAGAATATCAATTTGCTTTTAATAATGCATTGTAGCTTTTGTTTTAATCTTCTAAAAATTGAAATTCCAAATCTTTTCAAGATGAGAGAATAGTTACAGTAGGGATTACGAAGATATGCCTTCATGCTTGTGCTGATGATTCTTCATATTGTTCTGGAAGAATCAAAATACATCCTAGCACTTCTTCGCCCTTGTCAAATGTTCAATGTATAGGTTTCTCTTCTCAATTGTAGTTTTTTTTTTTTTTTTTTTTTAATTGCAGAGTAAGTGGAACAATCTTGCAGTTGGAGACAGTTACGCAGTCAGAGGCCATGAGAAGGCGCTACCGTTATTTAAGTCACTTTTCCTTAACAACAACATTTCAGGTACCTCTTCACTGTTGACTTTCTACGTTTATCATCATTTATCCTTATTATTTCTTATTGTTGACCTTCTATTTTTCAGCTGTGTGAAATTGATTTGAATACTGTACTGCCTCCTGATGCCCTGCTTCCGTTTATGGATGAAATCAAGAAACGTGAAAAGCTGCGGAAGCAAGTTGCCAACAAGGTATGTTTATTTGGGAAGTATAAACATCTTTCAACCTCGACATAGATCTCAGTAACTGAAACAGATTAATCTGAATCTATTGACCTGCCAGTGGTTCCAGCAATTGTTTTCTGATGAAAGTATTCTGAGTCTCTTCATTGTTATCATGTTTTGCATCTCCTTTTAACTTCAGTTGTCGAATGAAACCCTCCCTCCCTCCCTCCAAGCACCCCCATCACCACCCCCCCCCCCCCCAAAAAAAAAAAAAAAAAAAAAACCCACCACAACAGCAAAAACAATGCAAAACACCAATATTAGTTATTTTATTAAAAGTTTAAATTTTTTGGTGTGGATCACGTGCTCATTCATAACGGTTACGTATGAACTGTATTTCGAGGTTATTCATGGTGAAACAACCATTAGTTGTGCTCTTGCTGTTGGTTTTGTCATTTGTGACCTATTCTGTTTTAGTTTTCTTGTGAATGTGTCACAAGAATATGCTTTCCCCCTTAGGAACGGAAGGAGAAGATCAAGGCTGAAGCTGCTGCTTCTGCTTCTATGGCCACTTTCCCCAGTTTTGGGCAGTCCTCTTATGGTGCTTCCCCTAATTTCTCCATGGAAGACTTTGAAGGTAATATTGCACTCTGTGAACATGCTGACTAGGCTAAATCTAAGAAGTAGGTAATTGTGATACCTGTTAGCAATGTCAAGGTGACAAATTGTCCATTTTGAAAGAAATAAAGAAAGAGACTGTAGGTATATTCCCATATGGCCCTTTCTGCTGTATGGAGCCTTACACCATAGCTTAAGCCTTAGATTGGATACTCTAATGGTCGAAATCTTAGTAAAGACATTTCCTCCATCCTCAATGCATAACTTACTTAATTAACCAGAAAATTCCAAGTTGACCTAGTTTTATTGCATGCCTGTGAGATTGTTACTTGAAATTTCAAGAGGATCCTTGCATTTTGCTCTAGCTTTCTATGATTAGACATGGTTCCTAGAAGAAAGTGTGACATTAGGTAAACTAGAGCCTGTTTCGTGTCATTGACAAATTGAGCTAGTTATTTCTGGAATCAAACCGAACTCCCTTTGCCAGTGGTTATGTTAAATGCCGTCATGGCACATAATCTTTTCAGTGAATTTTTTTCTGAATTTATAAATTTTCTTATGGCCAGAACTGTTTGTTCAGTGTTTCACTTATGTCCCTTCCTCTTCTTATGTTTAGCCCTGGGAATTTCTTCCTCACCAATGTCATCTAGCCCTCCAGTTGCAGGAGAGAGGATTCTGTTCTCAAACGTTGCGAGGCTTGGTTTTGCTGCTGGACATGATTCTCCGTCCTTGAAAATCGAGGAAACTGTTCCTCTGCAAAACAACAAACCATCAAATGATTCTTCCAGTTTAAATGGTATTACTTTTTGTGGAAATTGTTGGTCTGCTTGTTCTTTCTTTGTTTATTTTCTGTTTAAGATTTGAATATGGCATATGCATGGTTCATGTTCGGTCTTGTGGCCATTTGGTCTGTGCTTGCAATTTGTTCTGCAGATCGGTCACTGAATCCATTTGTTTATGTAGATTCAAGAAATTCAGGCCCGTCATCGTTTGCCAGTGTAACATCCAGACCAAAATCTGAAGAAAATCTTGATGCACCCAAGATGAACGAGGTAAGTAAGAAAGGGAAGAAACCCAATCGAGTCCTCTTATCAACAACTGGTGGTCGGCGCTACTGAAACTTAGGCTTGAACTTTCAAGGCAGTTACATTTTATCCCTGAGGTCAACCTTGTGCATGATTTCTTTATGAATGACTACCGATACTCTTAGATGGCTCTAAAAGAATAAAATGACAATCTTCCTGTGTACTGTGCATGCTTTTTTCTATCCATTTGTGTTGTATAGTTAATTGTGGAGTAGGGCATTCTGGTACTTATATTTCGCTCAAAAGGCAGTCTTCCCTTGACGGGTTACCAATTTGAGGGGAAAAAGGAAATCAGATGGCCGTTGAAAGAATCTCACATGCGATTAGTGGAGTTCCTATTTGATATAAGTGAACCTCAAAATTCTTGACCTGGGATCAATTTGGCATAGATTATGTGGGATGTTCCTCTTGATGAGTGGCCGAAGTTTACTTTTAAAAATTATGGGATCTACTGCTCTGCGAATGTTAATATAGTGAGGTATAATTTCTCCCATTCCATAGCCAAAATGTTGTGCTTTTTATGTGACAAATATTCCATTTAGCAGGACGCACTTTTCTACGGATCATTGCGTATGTGCTTCAAGATGCTCCCATTTTTATTTTATTTTTTTTCGTTTGAACCATACAGCATGCTCGTATTGACTACGGGCAAATGCACCAGAAATTATATGATAATGACAAAGAGAAGCCAAATGGTACTGTATCACAACTTCAAGCAAAAATCATAAGATTGGGAAGAAAAAAGACAGAATACAATCGTCCAAGCCATGGCATATTATTAGCAAAGGCTCAAAAATCGATGAAGTTTACTCTAGCCAGCCATAACAATTAATAAATCATAAGCAATAATTAGAGGTTAATTTTCTGGAGTGAAAGATAAAAGGTATGGCTCTACATATTTTTCTTTGAGAAGTACGGAAAAGGATACAATAATGCGGGTGTGTGGGTAATTTTTTTTTTTTTTTAATGCTGGAAATATAAAATAATTATTAAGAGCAAATGACTATTTCAATATTTCATCTAAAAATCCCACACGTATTGGATCAGCTTGCACAGTTTTGAAGCTGTGGTCCAAGTGTTAGGCAGAAATCTCCCTGTCAAAGCTAAATCTTCATCAAGGAAATGTTATCGAAAAACAAGGGGAGAGGCATATCTCGCTACACAGATTTTTCTTTTATCGTACGTGTCACATTATCAATTCATTTAACCTCAATCAACACAGAAATTTAGTCTCGATAGTGACAGAATATAGAGTACTATCAAACCAAGATCTCAAAATCCTTTTGACCAGCAATTGGTCGATTTTCTGAACTCTGAAGTGAATCGAGAATATATAAGTGGTAGATGTGAACCTCGATTCCTATTAGCGAAAAAATGAATCCAAACGATGGAAAACTAGAGTTTTCTTAAAATTTTGCATATTTGGAGCCATTTTTTTTTTATGGTATTTAGACATTCATCAACCGAGTATAATTAAATGGTCTAATCTCACTAATATAGAAATAAATGCCGAAAGCAACAAAACAGAAATGATGCAGATACAGCAGCACACACTACCGAAACTATTTAACATGTTCAGAAAACTATAATTATACGGTCTAATCTCACTGATATTTTGCACCCAATACAGTCAAGAATACAAGGGATACTGTATCAGTTGCCGGAAAAACAACAGTGTCTTAACTTTTCATTGTTTTCTGTCCTATCTTTTCTATACGACCAGCCCAAGCAAAAGGAAATTCAAAAACTAATGGTTTTGCAGGTGTTTGTGGTGGATTTTGAGCTCATAATTATTACTAATACACAAAATAAGCACAGCATTGCAACAAAAGAATCCTAAGGAAGAGAGAGAGAGAGAGAGAGAGTTAACATAGAGGGAGCAGCTTGGAAGTGTATTACATTATTCTCAGAATTAAAACTCTTGAGAAGTTCTACATCTTCTCTCTCTTATTCTCAGAATTAAAACTCTTGAAAATGCAAACCTAAAAAATCAAGCGTCTTTCTGTAAAAAACCAAACTCTTCGCAGTCCACCGTCTTTTGAGAAAACAAAACAAACACTGGATGCATTTTTTTCCCCCAATTTCTTCATCTTTCCAACCCCAATATCTATTCCTTTTTATTCCCTAGATTCGAAACCCTAATTGTGAACCTACATCTATTCCTTCTTCCGATATTTTGCATTCTCTGTTGTTCTGTCTAAATTCTCTTTATTTGTGAAAATTCGAAATTAAACTCTAACTGTAATCTTTTCATCTCTTATCTCTTTCAAGCCAAAATCAATTTTGAAGAAAAAATGCACTCAGATTTGTCAAGCAACAGTTCTAAAACTGCTAATCGAAGAACCCACAACATGCAAACTTGTTACTGTGATTGTGGACTTCGAAACCTTTTGAAGAAGGCATGGACAAAAAAAAACTATGGGAGGAGGTTCTTCAGCAGTCCAAATTATAGGACTTCGAAGGCTTCTTGTGGGTATTTTCAATTTCTTGATCTGAAATAGTTTGTTCATGCTCAGCGTGCACTACCAAAGCTTTTTAGAATAGCAGATATGTTTGAGAAAGAGAACGAAATTAAGGGTTTCAAATGTAGAATATACGAAAAGGGTCTGATTGTGTCATGGTGTTTGTTTGTTGTTATTTGGTTGGTTGGTTGGTTCATGGGTGCTGTTAAGGTACTATCTAGCTAGCTAGCAGCTGGAATGATCTTGGCATCGTCTGGATTAACTTATCGTGAGCCCTAATTGAAGGACACGTTTGACCACCGACTGTACTTTTTAGCAGTCAACAAGAAATCTTTCATAATCATTGCCAACTAGAGCTGTGAGACATTCAACTATAAGGCACCCAACAGCAACAGTACAAACTGGGACTATTGGTAGAGAAATAAAGAAATTCAAAGAGATACAAACAAGTGTTTGTAGTTTAATTTAAAAGTTCATTATTAATTTATGTTAATAGAACACTTACATATATACCTCCACAACTTGAAGGTTTGCTGTCGATTTTCGACATGTCCTTCCTTGATTTAGTAGTAGAAGAGTTCGATGGTATTACCGTATTAATTTGTTTTGATGCAGTACGTTGTTTCTGTCGCTTGAACACTGCATGCGAAGAGCGACAGAGATACACTTGCATATGTGCAGTACGTTTTTTTTATTTGTGGCATAATAAAACATATCTCAAATAATTCAGTACTGATCGCTGATGTTTTTTGTTTTTGTTCTTTGTCGGGAGAGGTATATATATGGCTTCTTCTAAAGGTCCTGTCTGCACTGCACTACGACTTGAATATTCTAATTTTTTAATTAAAAATTCTTTTCTGTGCCCTTCAAATTTTTTAGTTAGAATAAAAGAGTGATGCTACAATTGGTTGCTTTTTTTTTTTTACAAAAAAATAATAAAAAAATATATAGCAGATATGCTATTAAGCTTGTCAGGTGGAAGATCGCTTACACGCTAATTACCTTTTTCCCGAAATGATAATTAATGTCAATCAAGTCCAACTGATTGCTCATGGCATATAATCGCTTCTCCATAGATTTAACATCAGCATCGTCAAAAGCAAAAACAAGTTTGTAAGATAAATTAAATATATATGTTCAAATATATAATCATAGAGAGCGCATTCAAAAACAAAATTCATAACCAATATCATGGAATTTTAAAAACTGAAATCAAATTTCTAAAATTTATGAAATATAAAAGATATTTTTCAAAATTAATCCAAGTTTAAAAATCTCTATAGCTTTGATTTCGGAGAGCATTCAATTTCATGAATAGATAGCTTCTTTCATTTCTTACCATATAAATTGTAAAACTAAAATTATATAAAGTCAAAGTATAAATTGTAAGACCAAAATCAATCCAACTTTTTCAATACTATGGCATACTCGGCCATTAGTTTTTTCTTCCAGCCAATTGTCTATCGATATCAGCGTTTTCCTTCGTTACATTTCCATACAAATCATTATTTTTAGTTGACTTCGAATAACAATCTTAGTTTTCTATAAATTGTTCTTGTAATTCTTTAAAGTTTTCAATTGATTTGAATTGAAGTTTCATCAATTGGTATCAAAATTGATTATTGCACTTATGAAAAACAACTTAAGTTGATCAATTATGACGGAAATAGGTTCTACTTGAAAAAGATAGAGAAATCAATTAACAACCTCACAAAGATAATTACTGAACTTATTCGAAGATGTGATTTTATGTTTCTACAACATGATTAGGAGATTGGTAAATTGAGAAAGTTTGTTAATAGAATCAGAAATCCAATACATGAAAAAGTACTAGATCAAGTAAATGGTACTGTGGATGAAGGTTTGGGTGGATTAAATGATAGGGTTACCAAACTCCTAGGTATGAATATCTTAGTAATCCTTTCAATGCTGGAACGATGGACAATAATTTTGAAGGAGTTGGTGGAGAATACAGGTACAATCACAATACTCGCATGTCTAGGGTAGACAAATACACTTAAATAAACACTTATAATTAAAAATATTTATTATGTGAAAAAAAAATGGAGAGACTACTCATATTAATATTCAAAAAAAATAAAAAATTACTATTACTATTAATATAATTATTGCGTAAATTTCTATTGTTATCTATAAGAATTATAATTATAATGCATTTAAATTATAAATTATAAAATATTTTTATTTATTATGTCGAAATAATTTATCTGATCATTCAGCGATTTAATTGACTATCTTTTAATTTTGACAATTACTAATATTAATGTACAATTACGACTCAAAGTTACAATGTTATTTTTTTAAAAAAAATATTATTATTATTCGCTTTGTAACAAGTAAGTGATTATAAATGATTAAATATATTAACTAAATAAATTATAAGAAAATATCTTATGTTTTTATAATTTATTTAATTGTTCTGTAATTATGATAGTTATGAAAATTGTTCTTAGAAAAGAAAAAAATAATATTTAAATTGAAAATAAATTATTTTTAAGTGATTACAAACTAAATAAATAATTATTATTATGGTATCATAAAAAAATATCTTATTATTTCATGAATTTGAAGACATTATAGTTTATTTATTTTTTAATATTAAATACTTAAAAGTTAATAAAAACTTTCTTTTTTTTTCTTTTTCACACGATTAAAAAGCGTAAGCTCCCGTCGTTAAAAAATAAGGTTTAGCAACGTCCCATAGATGTGGGGTCAGGTGCATGGCTTAAATGAAAACGACATAGTTTGTGGTTAAAGCTTGCTGTGCCTGTCCATGGGGTCGTTTCCTTTCCGGTCTCTGTGAATTCTCAGTTCAACGAAAGGCGGAGAATCTTCAAGACTGGACTATTTTTCACTTAAGAGTGAGCACAAACAATAAAAAATGAGAACTCAGAAGAACAGCAGCAGCAACAACAAGAGATCATCGATAATCCATCTGGTTTGCGTTGCTGCGTTTTTCTCTCTTGCTGTTTTCATCATTCAATCCTCTTTCTTCACAAGTAGGTTTTTTCATCTTCTTCTCTTTTTCTTCCTTTTCAATTTCTTTATTATAATTATTAAACCCTAATATATATTTGTCAATCTTAGCAGGTAATAATGGAAGTCCAGATCTCAATAATAACTTCAAAAAAGAAATACGGATTTTGTCTGATTTCCAATCCTCTGTTAAGCAATGCGTGGTCAGCATTTCCTTCTCTTTTTTTTTTTTCTGTTCTTTAAATTCGGATTGGTTCTTTTATTGTTAGGTCTGAGATGTGAGGATGATGATGATGTAGGCAAACAGAGGGTTTGGTCTGACAGCGAGTATCATCGACCATTGCAAATTGACTCTCAAGTTTCCACAAAGCACTAACAGCACCTGGGTCTGCTTCTGCTTCTGCTTCTCTTTCATTTTTAATGCCTCAATTAACGTTAGAACCTGCTAAAATTATTTTTCTTCTTATTGTTGTTGTTGCAGTATCATCCACAATTTAAAAAATTTGAACCATTGGAGTATAATTACGATGTTTGTGAAGCAATTCTATTGTGGGAACAGGTTGGTTGGGTTGGTGTCTACTCTTTTCATTCTGCTTTATGGGAAAACATGAAATGCTAATCTATCCATATAAGTGCAGTATCGTAACATGACTACAGTGCTCACTAGGGAGTATCTAGATGCTCGCCCTGATGGTTGGTTGAAACATGCTGCTTTACGGATTGCTCAGTTGTATGATCTTTAACATTTTTTTGTTATTTCATCTTTTGCAAAATTCTGGCTGGACGGGCTTTTTTTTATGGCTGTTTTTGTTTTATTCCAGGGGAGAAAAAGACTGCAGCAATCGAAGTCTTTGTGAGGAACATCTTAATTTGATTCTTCCTGCTAAACCTCCCTTCCATCCTCGGCAGTTTTGCACTTGTGCGGTTGTTGGAAACTCTGGAGATCTCTTGAAGACAGAGTTTGGAGCAGAGATTGATAGTCATGATGCTGTTATAAGGGACAACGAGGCTCCAGTTAATGAGGTAAAAATAGGCAATGGGGAATGCTAGAAATTTTTTCTTTGTTTTTTTTCGGGTGGGGGAGGGGTATTTGGCACTCCCCACTTTCTTCTTTTGATAAATTCTGATTTTGCATTTACATGTACTGTGTAGAAATATGCCAAGCATGTTGGGCTAAAGAGGGATTTTCGCCTTGTAGTTCGGGGTGCTGCTGCTAACATGGTGAAGATCCTGAATGGATCGAGTAAGCTTTTATCTTTTCCTGATGCTCCAAAAAAAAAAAAAAACACTGTTATCTCCAGTGGTTATTTGAAAATATTTTGACTTGTGCTTCTTATCTTGTTTTAACAAGAACTAAAAAAGATGAGGGCATATGACTTTGATGCTCAATTGATTCATATTAACCACTACAATCCTTTCGTTTGTTGTTGACATTGTTGTTGGTCTAAATGCAAGAGGCAATCGGATGTGGGTTCTGTCCCTTATTGTGGTTATGTCTCATATAAAGCATGGAGGATATGCTTGTACATAAATCCTTCAAATGCTTTTAAGGAATGGCTGAAATCTAGGTTATATTAATTGGTTCATATAATCTACAAAACTATGATGGCTCTGAGAACACAGACTGAAGTCTCATGATTGCTTGCTGATGTAGGGTGGGAAGAAAACAGCAATAGATCAGCAGAATTAAGGCTAGAAACAAGCAGGACAGAAGTTGGAACTAGGTATTATAACATAGGGTTTAAGAAAACCTTGAGCTTCTGAAGTGTATTGATGAAAATCATAATAGAATGCCAGTAAATTTGATTTACAGCGTAATTATACTAGGGTTACATTAAAATCTGTAACTTCAACCTAAATTGAACTCCTAAACTTGTCTTCAAAAGCCATCCAAATATTTTTAAAACATCACATCCTAGTTACATGAATCCTAGCTAAAATAAAGCATGAAGTAGAAATAAAATAAATAATTAAAAGCTCCTGCATCACTTGCTAAAAAAAAAAACAAAACATAGAGGGTTTTCTTTTTTTTTTCCTTGATGAGGAAGGAAGACAAACATGGAAAAGAGAAATTGCTTTGAGGATCACAGGAAAACAACATGCTATAAAATAGTTCTAGCTCCACCTATCTCTTCTTTAGCTGTGTATTCTACACAATTTTAGAAGACAATACTTATAGGTTTTTCCTGCTGCAGCTGATGAGGTACTTATAATCAAAAGTCAAACACACAGAGACTTCAATGCAATGATAAAGGTAACAACCACCTCTTGAATGGTTAATTTTGTCTAATTTTCATATAATAAGATGGTTTCCATGGCTAAGTGAATGAAACTGTTTCATGTGTTTTCCGTAATGGTGGAATACTTGAATAAAAGTTAGCCAGCATCATTTATTAGATTCACAATCCCAGAAACTTCAGATTGATTTCATTATTGTCTTTTTCTTACTAGATATGTCTTCATTTGCATACCGAGTTCCTTTTTACAAGTAACCCTTTTTTACATTGTGGTTATATGCTCAAGACTGTGAACACTTCTGACACATTTTTAATATTTTCACCTCAGCGTATTCCGAATCCTGTTTATCTCTTCCAAGGAATTGTGCTACGCAGAGGTGCCAAAGGAACCGGAATGAAAACTGTCGAACTAGCACTTTCAATGTGCGACATTGTGGATATATATGGTTTCACTGTTGATCCTGGCTATACTGAATGGTAAGTTTGATAGTCATGTTATTTTACTCATGTTGGTTAGTTTAGTTCTCAAAGTGATTATTTTCTTCATGTTCTTGTTAATTGTATGCCCTGTGTCGGCATAATATGTTCTCAATTGTACATTGAGATCACAATGTCTCTCTTTTTCCCTTCTGCACCATTTTGCAATTCCATCATCACCCCCATCGTTGTCTTCCTTTTCTTTGTTTTTTTTTTTTTTACCCTCAATAATTAAAAAAAAAGGTTTTCCCTATATTTACATGATATGTGTGATGTGATATTTCCTTTTGCTGTGTTTTGTGCTGACTACAGTCTTGATATTTCTTGTAGGACAAGATACTTCTCTACACCAAGGAAAGGGCATAATCCACTTCAGGGACGAGCGTATTACCAGCTCCTAGAGTGCCTTGGTGTATGACTACCTCCTTTTTTCCCAGAAAAAAACATTATTCCTCATCCATTCCTCTAGGTGATAGCTTATGCATTAAGCTATATATTTTGAATGTGCTTTATGTTTTGTGCATTTCAGATCATTAGGATCCACTCTCCCATGAGAGCCCAGAGAATACAAGACTGGTCAGATGTGCCAAGTCGAGAAATGATAAGCAGAGCTCATGCTGCTGCGTTGCGCTTGAAGAGGGGTCATGCTGGTGGGTTGGGACAGTTCGGAAGTTGCAAGGTGTGGGCCAATGTGGACCCTGACAAAAGTGGGCCCATCTCAGGATCTTCAGACATGAGTGTTGTGAGGAAAAACTCGAATTACAGTAAATGGGAAGTTATGCCTTTTGCAAGTCTAAGAAAGGAAGCACAGGATCACTATGCCCAGATGGAAGGTGCCTCTCTGTACAAAATGGATGGCAATAAATTGGACGATTTAGTATGTGTCAGGCATTCCTTGAAATCCGAGGCATGATCGACATCTTTTCTTGGTGCAATGCAGTAATTTTCGCATCAGAGCAGACCTCAACCGGTTGGGTTTTACCTCTTTGGAACTGCCATGGAGATGTGCGATTTGGAGATAGAATTTGTTGATTGAGCATTTTGTTTGATCACTTCGGTAAAGGATTCTCACAGTATTGCATATTCTTACTGAATATTTGTGGAAGCAGTGGCATTTTAGTATACTCAGCTTCTTCATGTAAAAAGGAGACATTGTTTACTGATTTACTGGTCAAATGCATGTTGCTTTGTGAGGTTTCTTCCCTGAGGAAGCAAGGAAAGGCACAGTCAACCAAACTCAGAAAATGTCGTAATGGGTCTAATATTCGTAATTTCTTTGTTGGGATTGACATCTATATTCAACAATGGAAGATATGGTGTGTTCTTAGTTTTATGGAGTGTCTCAAGAAAGCATCGCTTCTGGGTTTGAGCTGTACCTTTTTCTTTTCTTTTCTTTTCTTTTTTTGAAAAAAAAAAAGGTTGTTGTAGAGATGTACTTTTTTGAAAAACGATTTTAGCAACTGTTTTATAATGAAATTTAGTTGCATTTATATTGCTAATGATGTTATCTACACTTTTTGTGCAGTATATTTTGCTAGGAGGTTTACTATGTGGACAAATTCTACGATGCCCTTCTCTTTCCTTTTGCATTACAATTGTAATATATATATATATATATATATATATATTCATATACAGAATTCACTTATAAATTTACCAGTGAACACATTGCATTATCCAAGAAGTCAATCCCTTACAGAACGACGACATTGTACGAGCAAATTCTTCCCTACAATCCTTTCATAATTATAAGAAACTATCTTATAAATTTAGTCTAATACAATATCTATAAAATAAGTTTTGTTCGGTTTTCATATATAAAAAAAAAAAAAAAAAAAACCTTATAATCAACTAAAAAAATGCACCCGCTGTAATCGGAACGTAACCATACAACTCCTAAGTCAATAAAGTCATAACAAAATCAAGTGAAATTCTTAAGTCATAAAAGTGATAATTTTTTTTACTTTTTAAATAGTTTAAAACATTTATTAATTATAATGTTATATCAGTATTTTTTAACATTATTTTTCTAAAATATCTTTTTTTTAAAGAAAAAATCTATCTAACCTTTTTTAAAAAAAAGAAAAAATCTATCTAATATGATCCTACATTACAAAACAGAAATGTTTTTTTTTTTAAATATAATATTAAAATTTTTAACCAAACAAATATTTTAGAATAAATATAAATGAAAGCGAGGATGTTTTTTTTGTAAGAACCCACGGAATATATTTTATAAGAGTTTTTTATGTTTATCGGTCCACCATACGAATAAAATGGGAAACTTCTTACGCATTATACCTAATAATTTCTCCAATGTTATATTCGTTCACCGATTAGGCTAACGGATATTTTAATTACGAGGGCACGGCGCGGTTAGCAAGCGCGCACTTTCCTCTTTTTCTTTTTCTTTTTTAGGTTCTACCATATGAAAGTGAAGGCACCATGCAGAGCAACTCAACTCAGAGCCCTGGCTACTCTAGCAGCTTTATCACGCCAAACTTTCCAAACATGCATCGACGCTAGAATCGTAAAAACAGGTTTCGATCCAATCACGAGCCGCTTCAATTTCATGATCAAGGACCTTTCTGAAAGAGGACAATTATCTCAAGCACGCCAACTGCTTGATCAAATGCCTAACAGAAACTCATTCTCTATAGATATGATTATTTCTGGCTATGTAAAATGGGGCAATCTTTCCGTCGCTAGAGAACTTTTTGATAATAGGTTTGAACGCACTGCTGTCACATGGACGACTATGATTGGTGCATATTCGAAGAGTAATCGTTTTGGGGATGCTTTTAAGCTTTTTACTGAGATGCATAGGTGCGGTTCTCAGCCTGATTATGTCACCTTTCTAACTCTTTTAACGGGGTGCAATGACGTTGGAGTGGCGAAAGAATTGTATCAGGTTCATGCACATATTGTCAAACTTGGTCACCATCTGAACCATAGAGTTTGCAATACGTTGCTTGATTCTTATTTTAAAACATGTAGCCTAGATTCAGCTCGTCGGATCTTTATGGAAATGCGTGGATGGGATTCTGTTTCTTTTAATGTGATGATAACAGGGTATGCAAACAATGGGTTGAATGAAGAAGCGATTAAGCTTTTTGTGGAAATGCAAAATCTAGGTTTCAAGCCTTCCGATTTTACTTTTGCTGCAGTTATAGGTGCCAGTGTTGGATTAGACGACACAGCATTTGGGCAACAAATCCATTGTTTTGCGGTGAAGACGAATTTTGTTTGGAATGTGTTTGTGGGGAATGCATTGCTTGATTTTTACTCAAAACATGATTGCGTGAATGAAGCTAGGAAGCTTTTTGATGAGATGCCAGAGTTGGATGGTATTTCTTACAATGTGATCATCACGGCATATGCATGGGTTGGAAACGTAGAAGAATCAATCGAACTTTTTCGGGAACTTCAATTTACAACTTTTGATCGCAAGAATTTCCCTTTTCCGACTATGTTAAGCATAGCTGCAAATTCACTAGATCTGCAAATGGGCCAGCAACTTCATGCCCAGGTAATTGTGTCAATGACTGATCCAGATTTTCATGTGGCAAATTCTTTGGTTGACATGTATGCTAAGTGCGGCAAATTTGAGAAAGCTGAAAAGATACTTTTGAAACTGAGCAGTAAAAGCACAGTTCCATGGACAGCCATGATTTCGGCCAATGTTCAGAGAGGACTCCATGAAAATGGCCTGAAACTGTTCTATGAGATGCGCAGAGCTAATGTAAGTGCTGACCAGGCTACTTTTGCCTGTGTCTTAAAAGCCTCTGCAAATCTGGCTTCAATTTCAATGGGGAAACAGCTACACTCTTGCATAATCAGATCAGGTTTCATAAATGTTTATTCTGGATGTGCGCTCGTGGACATGTATGCAAACTGTGCGTCTGTTAAAGATGCAATTCAAACTTTTGAAGAAATGCCAGAAAGGAATGTAGTTACTTGGAATGCATTATTATCTGCGCATGCACAAAATGGAGATGGCAAGGGCACACTTAAATCTTTTGAAGAGATGGTGCGGTCAGGTTATCGACCAGATTCAGTTAGCTTGCTTTGCGTTTTAGCTGCTTGCAGCCACTGCAGATTAGTTGAAGAAGGATTGAAATACTTCAATAGCATGACCAATGTCTATGAACTAGTTCCTAAGAGAGAACACTATGGGGCTATGGTTGATGCACTGTGTCGGAGTGGACGGTTTGATGAAGCAGAGAAGCTCATGGCTAGAATGCCATTTGAACCAGATGAGATCATGTGGACATCCATTTTGAACTCATGTAGGATTCATAGGAACCATGCACTGGCTAGAAAAGCAGCAAGCCAACTTTTTAATATGAAGGTGCTTAGAGATGCCGCCCCTTATGTCACCATGTCAAATATCTTTGCAGAAGCTGGTCATTGGGAGAGTGTACTGAAAGTGAAGAAGGCAATGAGAGAACGTGGAGTGCGTAAGGTTCCAGCATATAGTTGGGTTGAAATTAAACACAAGGTCCATGTATTTTCGGCAAATGATGACAAACATCCACAGATATTGGAAATCCTAGAAAAGATTGAAATGCTGGCAAAGCAAATGGAAAAGGAAGGGTACAAGCCTGATATCAGTTGTGCCCATCAGAAAGTAGATGACGAAAGCAAAATTGACTCTCTTAAATATCACAGTGAACGCGTAGCAATAGCTTTTGCACTGATCAGTACTCCAGAGGGATCGCCAATCCTGGTGATGAAGAACTTGCGAGCTTGTACCGACTGCCATGCTGCCATCAAGGTGATCTCAAAAATTGTTGGAAGGGAAATTACAGTCAGGGATTCAAACAGGTTCCATCATTTTAGAGATGGTTTTTGCTCCTGCGGGGATTATTGGTGAATGTTGCCTGGGAATTGGGGAAGTTCTATTTCCCTTTCTCAAAGATTGCACAAGCAATGGTATTGTCGAAGAAAACACAGGTTCTTTTGGAGGGGAAACCCCCTCCCCTTAATGCAGCTCTCTGAAAAAATTCCATCTCTATCAGGTTCCTTTTTCTCCATTTCTTGCCGCTTCGCATGAGCCATGAGAATGAATTGTACGATACAAACACAAAGGATTTTCTATGTACTGAATTGTATGGAAGGAAGTCAGCATTCAGAGAGCACATATTCTACAGCTTGAACTGGTATCATGACTATAACTGGTTGCCCCTTTTTTTGGAAAACACAGGGACACTAAGCCCAAAAGCAACAAACTAACAGGCACCCTGTATAAAGGGGAAATTGGGAATAATCAGCCCAGAGTTTGCCAACCAAGAATTTTGGCCTCCCTGTATAATTGTGCTGGATGTAGCCTTCTTTTACCAGAAATTGCAGAATGGGTTAACTTGCTACCCTCGTGCTCAAGGAGAAGAAACATTGTAAATTCAATTGTATATCCCCTAAATGAAAAGAAAATATGTATCTTCATTCTGTGTGTGGGCTAGGATTTACTTTCTATGCGTTGTTCTTCACACTAAGAACCGTTGAAGCAAGCAAGAATTTTATTGTGTTGCCATTTCCAAATCTTAAAGGTACATAAGAATCGAACATGAATGCCACATAGTAGAATCGAACAACAAAACTCTCCAAAAATTAAAATAAGAATCTTGCATTAAATCCATGATAACAACTAAATAGCACGAAAAAGATTTTAAGACAAAAACCCAGAAAATGAAAACAAAAACAACACTAATCATTCTTGTTAGTACTCTTCTTCTTCCTGTTAACAAGATCATCAGGAACAACCTTAAGCAACTTCCTATCCTTAGACTTAGCAATCTTCTTGAGAGTTTTGGGGTTAGTAATCTTCTGCAACTTAGTACCAGACTTCAATATATTCTCCTGCTTCCTCTTCTCTCTCTCTTGTCTCATCTTCCTCTTCTCCACTTTATGGTTCCTAATCTCCTCCTTCAGCTCATTCTTCCTCTCTCTGTACGCTTTCTTTATCTCCTTCTCCCTCTCCCTCTCCTCGTAACTCATGCCCCTCTTGCTCACATGTTTCGCCGACGCTCTCTGTTTCCTCGGTTGCTTCCATTTGCGTCCCGACACCTTCCCTGCTATCACCCCATCGTATGTCGGCTTTCCCACGGCTACCGGCATGTCTGGATTATCTGAGGAAGCTATTGCTGATCGCTTTGCAGGCGGCGCGTCGATCTCCATCAAGGCATCGGTTGTTGCCGTTACTGTTGCGGCTAATTGAAGTGCTTCTTCTTCGCGTTTACGCTTGTAGGTTTTCCCGCCGAAGCCTTCGTCAAGGCGACGAAAGTCGATTGTGCAAGCCATGGCTGCTGTTTTTGTTTTTTTTTTGGCTGAAACCCTAATGAGAAAATGTCTAGTTTTGGTTTTATACACTAAGCTGGAAAGGTTACGGGTTTGGGTATTTTATACAACTGGGCGGGTTCAGGTTTGGATATTACGGGATCGGGTTGTCTGACACGAATCCTAGGCGCTGTCCGTTAATACTTAGGTCCGTTTGTGCGAAAAAACTTTTCTGTAGAAAAATCAATTTTGAAAATGTTACTGTTAAAAAAATTATTTTTTTAAAAAAATATTTTCTGATATTTGATAACTACATAGAAAAATTATTCAAAAATATTTTTTATCATTTTTTTGATACAGAAAACTAAAATAATTGAACTGATAATTTAGTCTAAAAAATAGTTTTACAAATTATTAGTTATCATTTATGAATACTTATTCATTTGATTTCAAAAGATTAATATTAAAATAATTTATAAATTATTATTGATTATAATTACCAACTAAATTTTACAACTGATTAAAATTAATCACAAATTATTGATTTAGTTGCAAATGAATAGTATTAGTTTTAAATTTTTCACAAATGATTGCAATCTTGCAATAATCATTTTCAATAATTTAAGTATATTTTAGACAATGTTTGAGATAATAGTAAAAAAACATTGAGATATATTATTGAAATATTTATTATAAAAATAATTTTAAGGTGTAAAAATGATTTTTAAAAAATATTTAAAATATTTATAAATCAAAAAATCAAATGTTAGTAGAAATAGAGAAAAAAATTAAATAATTGATAAGGAATAATTAAAAATTAATTTGATATATTTTAAATAAAAAAGAAACAGAGCAAAAATTGTTAAAATATATCAAGAGAGGTGAGTAACGCGAGAGCGAGACGACTTGTAACGAGAGAGAAAAATATTTTTTCATTTTTAACTCAAAAAACACTTTTCTAAAAATACTTTATCATTTTCTCGTTGATTTTTTTCCTAGACATGAAACAAACATAAAAAAATGAATAAAATAAGCTCTTGAACCTTATTTTCCTCCAAACAAACACAAGCTTAATAATTCATAGACACAAAACAAACACGACCTTAACGAGTGATAGACACAAACATAAATTCCCTTTCACAAGACTCTAGATACATGGTTTTTCATTTTTTTAGATTTTACAATTTTTTTTTACGTTTTTCATTTTATTTTATTTTTTCGGGTTCTTTACATTCTAGTATTCTTTTAAGAGGTTTTCAAGTTTTTGAAAATATTTTTTTTAGATTAATTGTTGTTTTAATGAGAGATATTTTTGTTTACAACGGCGACAAAAAAATTCTAACAATTTATCTAATAAAAAAATGTACAAAAGAAAAGAATATATATATATATATATATATAACCCTTACTAATTTACAAGGAGAGATAGATTGGGGGTCAAGAAAATATAGCATATTCGAGTCCTTTCCTTTTTCAAAACTTTAACCCTCTGTTTGGATAGGGTAGAAAGTGGGGGAGAGGAAAGAAAATAGGGAGGAAATGAAAAGTTTCCTCCGTTTGGCTTGCAAAAGAAAGCTGGGGAAAGAAAAAAATATTAAACAAAGCTAAAAAGGGTGGGACCCATTTTTCTCCCAAAATTGGGAGGAAATGGGAAGAAAAACGGAAGGAAACTCATTTATCTCATTGTTCTTCCAGTTTCGCCCTCGGCGACCATTCCTTCTCTTCCTCTTCCTCGCACTCTTTCGCTCTCGCTTAGCAACGACCCATCATCGAACTTCGTAAACCCTATCTTCCATTTCCGCCCTTGCTCGTCGTTCCCTGCTATTGCTCGGCCGATCTCGCCTCTGCCTCCGCCTCTGCAAATCCACTCTTTCTCTCTCGCCGAATCCGTTACTAAAACGACCACGAAACTCGTCTCTGCAAACCCCATCCGCCATTTTCGATATATGCCCGCCCTTCCCTTCGTTGTATTGTCCGATCTCGCCTCCGCCTCTGCAAACCCACTCCTTCTCTCTCGCTTAATCCGTTACCAAAACGGCCACGAAACTCGTCTTTGCAAACCCTATCTACCATTTTCGATATATGCCTCGCCCTTCCCTTATGTTGTATTGTCCGATCTCGCCTCTGCCTCTGCAAACCCACTCCTTCTCTCTCGCCGAATCCGTTACCAACAACCCATAATTTGTATTTTTTTTCTAGTTTCTTGCGTCCGACAGCGTCGCCGTGGTGTTTCCGAGCAACGAAGGTTACACCCATTCGCAGCTCCTCCAAAGTTTGTACCGTTAGCAGGGGCGAGTATGATTTTGCTTGATTTTGTTCTTGCAGGTATTATTTGGTTTGAGTTTGTTCCGTCATTCAATTGATGGGTTTGTTTGCAATAATATGAAGACAAAGAACTAAGCTAAGGTATTTGGGGGCGTTATTTGGTTTGGAAGAATCGAAAGGGTGCGAGATTTGCTTGTTGAAGGCATTCCGAAGTTTGCCGTTTGTTTCTATGTGAGTTGTTGAGTCCATAAAATTACTTGCTTTCATGCTTTCTTGCATTTGCAAGCACTTTAATTACTTGAGCGACTGGATATTCATCTCCTACAGATTATTTGTGATCCGGCATAGTTAGGCATCACATTATGAGATTTCGTCCATCGGCCAAATTATTTTTCCATCATTTCCTCCTCCTCCGATGATTGTTGTGTCGAGTAGCTATTTATGTATGGGCCAAAGAGAAGTAAGAAATTAAAGGGATAGTGTTAAATGAGATTTATGTTTTCTTGATGAAACTCTTTCATAGGTTATTACGCTTGCGCCTTTAATAATATTAACTTTGAAAGGTAGAGATAACTTTTTTGCAGCCATTTTAAATTCCCCCTTAAGTATATAGCTACATGAGTCGCTTGAAGGCCATTTTCCGAAATTCCAAGCATGAATATTGTGATTACAAAAATTTTTCATTTTCACGTAATCTACTATTGACTTTTGTTCAATTTGATAGAACCATCAAACGCATCCTTATTTTGATATCTTGCTTATTCTTGCCATTAACGTGTCAACTCGCATATAGAATTAAGCTTCATAATTGATATGCCATATTTCAATTCAAAACGTCTTTTTAACTTCACCAAAATATATAAAGCCGGCATGTTTTTTGGCCTAACTTTTCCGTTTTTTATATGTGGTTTTAGAGATGAAGATGAACAAAATGATTTTGAAGAAAGGATTGCATTGAAATTAGCTAAACGAGGAGGAGGAAGATCTTAATAGAATAAATTAGGAGAGTAGAAAGCGCAAGGAAGCCATTATTTAGAAACATAGAAATCAGCGATTCTGACAGAATCGAATGTTTTTTGTTGTACATGCTTGCTTGGATGGGTGTCACTTAGATATGGTAACTTGCTTGTTGAAATTACATATTGTTATGAGCAAACATGATTCGAATTATCATTTCATGTCATTTGCATGTTCCAAGAAGTACATGCAATTTTTACAACTTAAACGAGTTATAGTATTTGATATGGGATACACATAAATTCATCAATTAAATTACTATTCTTATCAATTTTTTTTATAATTGATGAAAAATATATTGATAATTGTATATAAAAAAAATTATATAAATAACCATTTAATTAATAAACTTAGTGATACTTTTTGACATCCCACTCAAATTACTAAAAAGGATAATCATCAACTCGAACTCGTTAGTATTAATATATATTGACAATGTCTCACACGTGCACCTTCATTTATTTTTTGTTCCATCAAAAAATGAAATAAAAAACTTAATAATTTTGTCCTCAACATGTAATTGATGTTTTTTGAAAGAGAGAATATGAAATGTAATTATTGTAAAATGGAAGCTTGGACTATCCCTTTTCAATTCTTGTTAAATGCTTGCCCCATGCAAATATGTATCAAAACACTAGGTAGCTCTAACACTAGCTACTACCTGTTATGTCATTAAATATCTTTTCAGTCAACTAACACTTTCAAATACTAGAGGGTTCTTGCATTATGCTTTTTTTTTTTTTTTTGCTTTCGTTTTTTTTTTTTTTGTGGTAATAGTCGACCAAGTTATGTATGTGTGTGTGTGTGTGTGTATTGTTTTTTGTTTGATGGTTCATGGTTTGGTTTGCTATTTTAGCTGTAATCAATTTGTCCGTTTATTTTTATAAATGTGAATTTGATGTGTAATATAGATTGCTTTGGATCGGTCTTTTAAAATTCATTTGAAATGTTGACTCATTTGCTTTTATGGATATTCAATTATAGATAGGAGAATAGTGAGTCGAGGGTTGTCAATTGGTTTTGATTCATGATAAGCCATATCTTCTGCAACTAATAGAGGTAAGATTTTTTTATATATTTGGCTATTATAAAACTATATTTGTGTTTGGAATCTATCAACATATATCATTTGATCTGTGTTTCTATATTATGTCATGCTACATATATGCACTCTTTACTTTCAAGCGAGTTTATGTTTTCATGCCATTAGTTTAGATAGTAATATTACAATATTTTGCATGTAACGTAGATGAAAATGAATGTCATTGAGAACATGCATTATAAAGGACAAAGATGTAATACAGTGAATGAGAACTTGCTACAAGCAAATGGTGATGTCCTTTCGGTCCCGAGAAAGTTGTAAAACATTCGAAAAAAATTAAGGAATGTCGAGAACGGCATCGAAGGATCATTGAGAATTGAGAAAGAAGATGTCGAATGGCCGTTCTACAACTAATTTATCATCTTATGCATGCATTACACCTAATTAATGCTCAAGCATTTGTAGTTCGTAAACCTATGCCCAAAGGAAGTGTTGTAAGAGATCATCTACGGTAAAAATTAGTAAATAGGTTAACTTCAAATGAGACGTCCTGTCTAGATATTGTACGAATGAGTCCCCAAGCTTTCTTTCGCTTATGTCGGATGTCGAGAGGAAGTGGTCATTTGAAGGACTATAGGCGAGCAACGGTAGAGGAGCAAGTTGCTAAGTTCCTCCACATTTTAGGTCACAACTCGAAAAAATCGAGAGCTCGTATTTTATTTTCATCGGTTAGGTGAAACTATTAGTTGAAATTTTCATAATGTGTTGCGAGCGAGTGATTTCCCTTGAAAGTGAACTCGCTTAAACAACCACTTGGTTCGGAGGTTCCACATCGATTAGAAATAGTAGTAGATTTTTTCTTTTTTTCAAGGGAAGAAACCTTCTTTCTATTTTACTTAAGCAACTTTTCTAAGTTATTTATTTATTTAACAATTATATGATATATGAAATCATTTATACATATAAATTTATACAGGATTGTATTGGGGCAATAGATGGAACACATATTCGTGTTAAGGTACCAAATGATATTGCAATCGGATATCGAGGTCGAAAAAGATTGGCCAACACAAAATGTATTAGTCGCTTCGACTTTGACATGAAGTTTACGTATGTTTTAGCTCGAATAGGATGGAACAACATCCGATTCAAGAATTTTAAAAAATGCTCTAAATAGGGAAGACAAACCGATAATTCCTCGAGGTTAGTTTAATTAGTCTAGAGTTCTACTCCTATGTTTCGAATGTAACTATATATCTTCTAACCATATGTAATCATTTTTCATAGGAAAATATTATTTGGTGGATGCGGGTTACATGTTAAAAAGTACGCTACTCACCCCATATGAGGTGTGCGATACCATTTAAAACAATATTCTATACATGGCCCTCGAATTATAAGGAGTTATTCAACCATCGTCACGCCTCCCTTCGAAATGTAATTGAAAGAGCATTATATGTAATGAAAAAAAGATTTCCCATCATCGCAAGTGGAACGAACCACATTACTCATTTCATACAATGACAGACATAGTGCTTACTTGTTTTATATTGCATAACTATTTGATTGGAGTAGATCCCGATGATGTTATCTTTGCTGAAGTCGATAAAGAGCTACTTGAAAGTGATAGTCAAGATAACCAAGAAATATATGATGGACGCAATGCCGATCATGAAGTAAGACAAGGGGCACTTTTGCGAGATTCTATAGCGATCAAAATGTGGAATGCCTATGAACAAAATTTATAGAATGCAACTAAATCAATCAGTTGAATGCTTTTCCCGTTATTAAATTTGATGATGTCCGTGTTTTTAACGTGTATTGTTGTATTTTTTCCGAGATATATTACATAAGTATGTATGAATTATGACACTAATTCAAGTTAATAAAGTGTTTAATTTTAACACTTATGATCGTTTGTTGTGTTCTTAACGTATTTCCGTGCAATGCCAAATATATTACAAAATTCTTGAATTAAAATGGATGCTTTGCAGGATGGAAGATGCGTAGGGGAAGCAACGAAAGGAGTTCACAGGATGATGGTTCTACCAAAAGCAATATCTATTGGAGTGTTGAAATGGATAATGTATTAATTGATTGCATGCTTGAAGAGAAAATCAAAGGTAATCGACCGGATGGACATTAGACAACAACGACTCTTAGATAATATGTTGCGTAGGTCTAAGGGCTAAATTTGGGAATCACATCCAAAAGAACCATATTAAGAATAGACAAAAGACATCGAAGATAACTTTTAGTGAGGTGAAAGACCAAACCCATACAAAATGAGGCCTAAAACCAACCCCCAAAACGGACCCAACACCTATCGAAAAGCCCCCAAACTCGACCTTGAAACTTTTACCAACAACCCCCGAAAATCATTACAGAGCAACCCCTTTGGAAAGGCCATTTGAACCACCAAAGAAGCTCCACAAACACCCCCAAACCAGACTTCAAAACCACCCAAAAAAACCCTAAAACCCATAAAAAATGAGGCCTAAAACCAACCCCCAAAACAGACCCAACACCTATCGAAAAGCCCCCAAACTCAGCCATGAAACTGCTACTAACAGCCCTCGAAAACCGTTACAGAGCAACCCATTTGCAAAGGCCATTTGAACCACTAAAGAAGCTCCACAAACAACCCCATACCGGATTCAAAACCACAAAAAAAACTCACCAAAATAGACACAAAATATCCCTCAAGACATCCCCCGGAACACTTTTTGGAGTTAATGCAAAAGAAAAGAAGAAATAAAAATTATTTGCGATTTGTCTCATTTTTTGTGATTCAATTGACTTTCGATGATTGTTCGCAATGTTACAATATATTCTTTTTTTTAATTGCTTAATAGAAATTGTTTATTCTAAAAAAAAAAAAGCGGAGAAATGATGAGTAAAAGCAACTAACTTATTATATGCATAGCTAATAATACATGTTATACATATTTAAATTAATTTTATGTTGATAATTAATATAAATTGGCTATTGGATTAATTAATTAATAAACAGTTATCGGTTATGTTATGGAGACGATTCATTATCTATCTTATCATTTCGGATATATGTTACATGCTAGATTTTTTTTATCATCATTTGTGTTATTTTCATGACAAAAATATTCATACAAATTTATTATAAGTATTTAAATATATAAATATAATCACAAGGGTATTATAGTAAATATGCAATCATATATTTTTTTCATTCCTCTTCCAAACAAAGGAAATGTATTTTCTTTCCTTTTCTTTCCACTCTTATCCAAACAACAAGTGAAAAATGATTTTCCTTTCTTTCTCTTTTCTTTTCTCTCACTTTCTTTCCTCTCTTTTCTTTCCTCCCAAGAGGAATTATCCAAACAAGAGGTAAGTCAATCTCCACGTGTACTCCTAGAGTACTGATTCCCTCCTTTATAAACTATTTTTTATAATCCGTATAATTTCATATCCGTGTATAACTTAAAAGCTTTCTTCAATTTCACGTTATTTTTTCAACGTATTTTGTTTATTATTTAAAATTAGAAAAAGGAAAAGAGAAGTAGATAAGATAAGAAAATTTGGCTAGGTTAGAATAGAAAACTGCTAAAGAAAGTATAGTCAATGACTGATCAAGGGATTATTTAATTGTTCATAATAACATAGGAATTCATTTGATAAACTACAAGGATTAAGTTATAATTAACTCTGAGATGGCTACAACAAAAGCGATAAATTCCAGAATGTCGCGAGGGTAAATATAGCACCATCTTTGGCCCTAAAAGAGATAATAATAATAATTTTCCTAACCTTATTATTGGCTAAGATCTTGCAACTAAGAACTTAAATTATTCAAGGTACAGAATTGGCTACATCTGAATCCTAGGAAGGAAACAATTCCCTAATCTATGGTAAAATCAGATACTGAATGAATATCGAGCTCAGAAGATTAAAATAGGAGAGAATCAATGATCATGATCACACCATTGCCAACGCATTCCCATTGTAATTCAGAAATGTAATAGAGAAGTGGGTCAATGATGACTTCATCATGTCGAGGCAGAACCATTATCAGGTACATACTCCCACTCTACTTCAGAATCAAAGAAAGATGAGTGAAGACTCCTGACACACTGCTCTGCTTCATCGTCATTCACAATTAATGAGATATTAACCTGGTAAGTAAAAAGAAAGGTGAGCTAATTGTCACGACAATCATCACATTGCTAAGAAGAATCAGGGTCCCAGGACTAGTGAAAAACCAGATGCACCACCCCCGGATAAGGTGGCTCCTGGGTCCATCGAAGGAATATAGTGTCCAAGAAGGGTGCTCACAAGCCTACTTTTGAGTTATGAACTTGTAATGTTCAATGCATACTGAAAAAAAAAGAAAAAAAGACATGCAAGGGAAATCATAGTAGAGGTGTAATACCTTTGAGGCACCCTGTGATATCATCTGAACGTTGACTCCATTGGTACGAAGAACATTGAAGACCTGCCATAACATCTATCCAGTGAATAAACGGGAAATAAATAGAAAGATGAGGTTCAAATCCCTCACCACAACAGTACCAACAATGCAAGAAAATTTATTGGGAAAACAGTTGTTGCATAAGACTATGCTTAAATATAACAACCAAGTCTCCTTTGAAGCTTCCTTCCAGGTCATGCAAGATCCCTGCTAAGCTCTACGACTGAAAAGCAGTTTCATAAAAATTTATTCCACAAGGTTATCATTTTGAAGTTGCAGCTGGTCCTTGTTCAATCAATATGGAAAGTGTTATCGATGTTAACAAAGCATTTACCATGATTCACTAACCTAACATGTTTGAACGTCAAGAGAATGAGGGGAACAAAAACTAAAAGGTCCAAGAGAAGAGACATGATTCTTATCACTAAATCTAAGTAATCTAGATGATACTTGAATAGATTGTAGTTAGATAATAGGAGGAAAAAGAAAGATTCCTATGTTCACCCAAAGAATCAAGTTTTCAGAAGACACTTCTATGATAAAAGTGCAATGGAGCTCACCTTCTCTAATATCAGAGAGGACCTCTGGACATTCCCAATGAGAGAGATTATTGACCTATGCTGCAGGAGATTGACTATAGCAATTTTCTCGAGCTCTTCAACAACATGGTCGAGTTCCTAATCAAGGAAGGTACAATAACAGATGAGATTGAATGCTAAAAGTAGACGCGGACAAAATATCCTGCTGGAATATTCATATACAGACTGTAAAAAGAACAAATCATAAAAGATGCCATACGCTTGCCTGCTGAATCAGTTCTCTACTCCAAAGCTTTGATGGATCGAGTGTCAAGGAGATACTGACTTCGCTAGTAGCTACAACATCCACTGATATTCCTAAGTCTTCAAAGATTGAAAACACCTGAATGGATAGAAGTTTATAGGGATGAAAAAATTGAAGCAACAGCTGGTATATCTGAGGACAAGAGGATCAGAATCAGATTTCAGCTGCTAACCTTAGCAAGAAAACCAAATTGGCCAAGCATCCGGGTGCTAACAATATCCAACATAGTAACATTCCGTTTCAAAACGATGCTAGTTAGCACTGCCTGAAATTAGGACAAAGAAAGATTAATTTTATTTGGAGTTCTTCACATTTCTATCATTTAGCATCATCTAATACAAACCTTACTCATATCTCGTGCCCTGGTGATGAGAGTTCCAGGAGCATTTGGATTGTAAGAATTCTTAACCCTGACAGGAATATCACCCTCCCTAGCAGGTCTCATGGATTGTGGATGCAAGACCTGCAGAAAGATGCATACAACAAGGTTAGAGAAGACATGCTTACTTTAGCCATCTGTTTCTACTTCCAAAACAATTTGCTCTTATTAACATTTGGAGCCTCATTAATAGACTAATTATTACTTGTTTAATAACTCCAGCTTGACCGTGATCAATAAACCAAATGGTGAAAAGTGTGCAAATTACGAAAAATATTGTACGGTCAAGAAGCTAGTCAGCAAAAGCCAAATTGAGAGGAAAGGGAAAAGGAAGTGTAAAGATTCATTACTCGCGTGTGGTTTATATAAGACATTTGAATTTAATCATACATCAACCATGCAACTAAAGATGGTAAGTTGTACAGTCATGCTCCACTAGGTCCGGAGCCATAAAATTATATTACCTGCGCACCAAAATATGCTAGTTCTGCTGCCTCATCAAATGTCAAGTATGGCACAGGTTCAGCACGTGGATATATATTAGGATCACATGTCAAAACACCATCAACATCCTTCCACACCTACAATAGATGAAAGAATTTTATTAGTCTGATTTCAATTGAAAAATGGAATTCCCACATAAATATATTCAAGAAACTTTAACAACTTCAGCACGGTTCTATATTTTCCAGAAAAAAGTATTTTCTGACATGCTAACATTTCATTCATAAATGCACTCATGGATGAAGATAGAGAGTCGCAGAAAGCCAGAGGAAAGAAAAATGGTGTCAAGCATGCAAATCTAGTGGAGACACACAACTATCTTTTCACAATATTTGGATGGATTAAGGAGAAACAGCGAATATTAGTTCTAGTTGGATTCTCGACCTCTTCTTCTCCATTTTCCTCTTTCACTTTTTTTTCATAATTGTAAAAATAGTCTTTAGATCTGGGTTTCCTATCCTTCTTCTTGGATCTCAGTTTCCTGCTTTTTTCCCTCTTGCTTGGAAAAAACCTATCTTTGATGTTTAGGCTTTACATTTGGGTTCATCTAGAGGCGATGGTGCTTTGAAATTTTCACTGGTAGTGATGCGACATAAAGGCTGGTGGAGGTGATGGTGGAAGTGGTGTGATTTCTTCCTGTTTTCAATGAAGCTATGATGCTTAGGAAACGGACATGGAGGTTGGAGTGGCTGTGTTTGTGGTTTGGGAGTGGTGTTGTTGGTTAGATTGGTGGTTTTATGGTATCTGAGGGCTAGGTTATGAAGACTTTGGTGAACCATCTGCAAAGTGGTGTAGGTGCATTGGAGTGTTAGCCGGAGTTTTTTGTGGTGGCAAAATGTGTTTTATCTTGCTTCTTGCTACTATTACTCGAGGCAGCCATCAGAGTTTATTCTTGGATCTTTGACCAGTGTTGTAACGTTGTTCAGGTTTTGCACAGGATCTTGTGTTTGTAACAGTCAAGCTTGCTTATTTTAGCTTTTTATATTAATTAATCTACTTCAACTTAACAGACAAATGATGACTTAATATTGATGCGGTTTGTGGTATTTGGGAGGGAATTGATGGCAAAATTCCTTGAAGTTGCACCATCTATTGCAAACTTCCAGTGTCTGCAGTTACCTGAATCTCTCGCAAACCTAATGCTTTTCCAATGGTTGTGGCCGTCAAATCACTACCACCACGACCTAATGTAGTAATAGCACAAGATCTCCAGCCCTGCAATTAGAAATCACAAAACATGAAGAAAAAAACATACATTAATGAAGCTGTCCAGAAACTCTCACTAAAAAAGAGTTCATTAATTTCACGAACGAGGTGGCCTGAGCAATTAGCTAGTGGAAAAACTAACCTTTCCAAGGAAGCCGGTAACAATAGGAATTGCAGGATCACTGATCCAATCTCCATGCAAACTCTGTGCAACAGCCGGATAAGTTGCTTCTAGAATGTCTGCATTCGTGAAGTCATCTGTTGTGACAAAACCAATTTTGAAAGCATCATACTGCAAAACAGAAGGGAGGAAATGCAATACATTATAATGCTGTTATCCGGGATAGCGTTCATTTCACAGCAAGATTCCCAAATATAGATCTGATGCTGTGGGAACACTGTCTTGTTTATTTAGAAAATAACTGCAGTACTGCAACGCACTTTTATATTCACTTTCTCTATCTAACAGACACCAAATCTTCATTAGAAGGAAACTATAGATCTACTGGCACCTTTGATCCAACTGTAGTGTCATATAGCAATCTGTATATTTTTCACAACATAAAGAATACCATTCTGAATCGTTTAGAAGAGATGTGAAGGAGCTTTGAGCAAAAGCTCCATTCCTCTTTGAAACCTAGTTACCAAAGCATAGGTGATTCTTTTTCTTGCTTACCACTACGTACAATTGTTCCATAAAAAACAAACTATAAAAGGTTTAAATATTCAATTAAAACTTAATAAATGAAGTGCAGAGACATATTACATTGCAAACCGTTGAAACTTTTAATTGCTCACACAATTGATCTACATTTTTTTTTTCTCACAATATGAGGCTACCATGATTGGTAATCTATTATATAGGATTGAGAATTCACATTAAACACGTGATTTTTAAAGCCTATCCTATCATCCAGTCAAATGTCACTATCTGAGAAAATCATAAATTTAATTAGGCGTTCATGCGCTCCCTTGACTTATGATAGATAGTTCCATCAGTTTGATCCATAAAATATTTAAAATTTCTATCAAGCTGTCTGTCTGTCTCCCTCTTCTCTCTCCAAGTTCTCTGTCCAAAATCTAGTACTATGTTTATAAATGAAAGAAAGTGGATTAAGTATGAGCAGACTCCAAAAAGATTGTTCAGTGTGATTGAATGATTAATGAAGAAGCAATTATTGCACATGGAGATCAATTGGTGTTTGATTTAATAAATCAAGGTACTGTTGTGGACATGTGGATTCAATACACAGCTCAGCGAGAAATCTTTACAAGCAATGAAATAAATGGTTCAGACTGAAATGGTTTTAATAAAAATGGAGAGGCAAGAAAGAGAACCACATACTTGGCGAGCTTTTGCACCGATTTTATTCATATATGCTGCAAAAATCCTCGTAGACATGCACTCCCCAAATGAAACAAGGTAGTCTCTTGTGCGTGGAGTCAACTCTTTCATCATAGCAATTCCCTTCAAAAGTTGCTCTAATTCCTCCAAGTGATCTGCAAAAGGATTAGTATAAGAGGTTTCCACTCATCCATGAGACAAACAACTGACACGGGAAAGAGTATGAGTCCTAGCATCGATGGCTTTGTAATAAGAAATACAACTTGATTCTACGATTTTCTATTATGGTTCTCTGTATAATAGTTTGTAAAATACAGAATACATCGCTACATATGTATCACTAAAAAGTAGAGGAACTTGCATAAGCCTTCTCTGCTGCAAACTAAGTTCCAAATGTCAACAACAAATGAGTTTGAATAGATACTTACTTGCAATAATCGACTTGTCTACTTCTAGTTCCTTCACAGTCCTGATAAGACAAAATAATTTCAATTGAATTGTATGGTTTCGGGAACAAGAATGAAAATACAAGGAAAGAAAAAATAAAATCCTCACCGGAGATGCAATTCCTTTATGAAACTGAGCTCTTCAATACTGTCTACATTAGTAACACCACAACTAACAGCCTTCTCTCCAGCCTATAGTTAAGTTGACACTTGACAATTTTAACTCCTTTTCCCGCTCCAAATAAAAAATAAATAAATAAACAAATAAAAGAAAAGGCAAAGAGCGAGCAAGCATACCAGCAAAAGTTTGTTAGTCGTCTTTCCCATGGCAGAAAGAACAATGACAGGCCTCTCGTTTGGAAAGCTAAGAATAAGTTCAGCTACCTCTTTCATCCTCTCGGCAGAGGCCAGCGAAGAACCACCGAACTTCATTACACATGTTAGTTGCTTCTCAGCTTGATTATCGATTTTGTTCATTTCAAGTACATCAACACTGGCTGCCTCACAACTCACTTTCAAGACCCTGCGACTTCTAGACAGTACCGAACTTGTAGCCACGGAATTATAATTAAGTGGCCGGACGCGTAAGGATTGGCAATGCATTTTATTCATCCTCCTCTTGGAGAAGACAGGAGAGGCAGCTTGAACAGTAGCAGAAAAATGAAGTGTGTTTGCCATAATGTATTATTGTTTCTTGGATAAAATGTTGTTTAGAGTCGATAAATTAGAGAATTTTCTCTGTTAATTGAGACTAACGTTCAACTCTATCTATCTGTCTGCAAAAACAAATTAATCACCAAATCAATCAATCATTTTATAGAAAAATCCAGCAGAAAAACGGATTGATAATTGAAACAATGGCAAAATTGATAACGACAGAAGCAAAGAAAGAAGTACCTTAGAGAGAGAGCAGCTTCGTGAGGAGATGGAAAGGCAGCGGGACTCAAAATGAATAAAAAGCGAATGGACTCCTTCAGAGATCCAGAGAAGCTATGAAACAAAAACAGAAAAGCTTCGAGGCTCTGAAGGAGTGCGTGAGGCAGAAAAATGCGATTCGAAGACGAGAACCAGTACGGCGGCGCCCCTGTCTTTACCTTCCTCTTCCTAGCATGCGTACCATTCAAAACGTGTTTTTTTTTTGGTATGTTGTTACGTTTTCGGCTAAATTGTAACGTACATCCCTGAATTTTAACCAAAAAACAAATTTTGCTCTAAATAAACAATTTTCCGCTTTTACTCCCTAACAATACGATTTCATGATTTCCCCTTTCTCTAGGATTCTGATGACAAATTATTGAAAATGCCTATAACAAACCTTCTAGTTCCTCTCTTCTATGCAGTTACAATAGAAAAAAGATTTTATCTTCTTCTTCTTTCTGATTAGCAGGTAGGCAACAAAAGAAAAAAAAATCAAGTAAAATCCTATGAACCCCAACAACAAAATTTAAATTGAAAATCTCAATTCAATCTATCCTTGGAAAATCCCAAATTCAAAATGAGAAAAATAAAATAAAAACTTTAATCGTAACTATTACAATGTGTAATGTCGATGATAGTGAAAAGATAATAAATTAGAAGTCTGTTATTATATGTTGTTATTGCTAGCGATGATGGAGAAAGAATCTTAACTCACAATAGAGATAGATCATCTTTTTTATAGTGAGCAAAAAAAAAAAAAAAAGAATTGTTGGTGTTGCCGGTTATCATTGAAACTGGAATAGCGATGAAGTCGGTGGTGCTGACGATGGTGATTTCAAAAGAGATTAATCAATCTTTGAAAATAAAAGCTCGATGGTAATAGGAGTTTGGTGACTGGTTTTTTTTTTTTTATATCAAATGTAGGGAAGAGATAGGAGAATTTGAAAGATTCTCTAGGGTATTTTGTCATTTTTTCACCATGACACTAGAGAACGAACAAAAAAATTCATGTTGTTTATATGGCAAAATTAGAGTTTTTATTTTTTCCCAAGAAGTGTTTATTCTTTGGCTAAACTCTCGAATATTTTACAATTTAACCTTTGTCTTCTAGCACCATAGATATTCATTTTTCATTTTTAGGTATTTGGTATGAATGTTATAGTAACTCATTGTTTTGAGTTTGAAAATCTATATATTAATCTTTTTGAATCATTTTGATTTTTCTCCACACAAATAAACCCCCGTTGAATATATATATATTTTTATAAAGGACATAATGAGTTCAATTATACCGGATAAAGGATAAACAAGCAATTTTATTGATATCGTATTTGACAAAATATAACAATGAAAACCATAGCTTACTATTTTAAAAGATAATTGATAACAACAATGGTATAAGATGGTCTTTCAAATAACAATTATTGCTTTCAATGACATGGATGCTAATAAAAACTCTTCAAAATTTACAAATTTGTATTGTCCAACCAATTGCATGCATTGCATGGACATTGGACGGCGCTTGTAATAAATTTGAGAATAATATATATATATATATATATATATATATATATATAATTGAGCAATTGCAAATCAACGAGAAAATTGATAATGTTCTCAAATTCTTTTGGTGAAAGATCTAACACCACTATAAATCTTTTAGTCTTGATGTTGAAATGACAAAGAATTATAACATTATACTAAGAAGGAACAAATCTAGCAATGCCACACACTCGCATTGGTAACTAATCTTTTTTTTTTAAGTGACAAAACTAATATTTTTTATGGTTTAAAAAATATACGTTCAATATAACTCACTTCACCGTATAAATTAAATTACCTATGTATTTATAGATGGTTTTAAAAAGATATTCAAATTTTGATGAGTTAAACAAGAACTGTAGCAAAAAAAAAAACCCAAACTAATAATACTCAATAACATTGAATGGTTGCTATTTTTAGTTTTTTTTTTTTTTAATATTCACTTGATGTATACATAACAATTTCATTTTTGTTCTCTCTCAAGTTTGTTAGTGGTGTATAAACCATAACAAATAAGGATAACAAACAGCCGGAAGATGACCACATAAATTTAAACATGAAATTTAGATCAATACATTCAAAATAATATATATATATATATATATAATCTAAAGTTTTAAAGAAGAAATGAGTAGAATTATCGTTAATGAGTGCAATCGACAAAACCTAAAGATTTGATTTATAAAAAAAAAAACTGAGGTTCTCTTAGATGATAGAGAGAGGGCATATTTCTGTAAAAAATTAAATTTTCAAATTCGGATTTCAAAAAAAAAAAAATCAACAAGAGCAAGCAAAAGGGATTACCATGCATGTTTTCAAACAACAAAGAGCAAGTTATAATTGGGTTCAAACACGGAAGGACTAATAGAATAATTTACTCTTCCGTAATTTTAGAAACCCTCCCTCCCGAATTCGGTTGAATCCGACGGCCCAGACAGTAGATTGTGCTAATAAATTTATTACGTTGACATCTGTGATGATCGTTAAAGATAAATCAACGGTGGAGAGAGATCCTGTCATGAAAGCGGCAGTGACAATAGAATTTGTTCAGGCCCATTGATTTAGCCGCAGGCGTGTAGTCAAAAACTGAAAGGTTGAAATCCAACATGGACCTCAATGTCTGCCTGCCTTTATCACTCGACTTCGGTGGGTGCTAGAAAAGGCTCTCCTATTGCTGGCAACCAATGGGCATCAACTGGGCGCACGAAGAAAGAAATTGCCAAGTGCGGTGCTGACTTTGCCGGGCCCCTTCTGCTGCCCGCCCTTCCTCCAAGACTTGACACCCTATCAAATTCTAGATTTTTTTTTAACAGATTTTTTTTTTTTTTTGACGTATATATATGAACATTTAAATGATGGCACGACACATTCTATCAAATTCACTGTAAGCAAGTAATATTTAACCATGTCCTATTATACTAAAATCATATGTAATAATGGTATAAACTTTTAGGCGGGCGTGATTTTTATATGGTATCCATGTTTTTTTTTTTTTTAACTAGATGTTCGTAAATTCAAATTATATCATTTTTATTCTCTATTATATTTAAAATTTAATGACGCATTGGTTATAGAGATGACAATTTATCTTACCTCGACAAAGTCATGTCCTATCCCGATTAATACAAAAATTTTTCAAATTGATTGAGGAACGAGACGGGGGTGCCCCACCTCATATTTATTTTGAAAGAGGATGAGGCGAGAATGGTATTTATCCACCTCGCTCTTTTTGTCCCGTTTCATTCTTAAAATTATAATTATACTTTATATAAAAACAATTATAACTATTGATTTTTAAAGTTTATTTTCTATATGAATTTTTTATATATACATATAATTTAAAATTTGATAATAGAATAGACGGGACGAAGGGACGAAAATAAAAAATAAAAAGAAAAATTAATATCTTGTGAGGATCCCCATTCTCATTTGAGACGGAGATGATATGAGAAATATTACTTTGCCCGTGATACTGTGAGGACGGAGATGGTACGAGAAATATTACTTTGCCTGTGATACTGTGAGGACGGGGCAAAATTTTCAAAGTCAGGGCCGGGCAGGGATGCCCTGTTGGCATTCCTAATTGGCTCACGCAAATTTACATTATAGCATGGGTTTTCAAGCCATTGTTACCCATAACTGATCAAAAGTGGTTCACAGGAAACAAGAGTGGCCGATGATTAAGCCGAAAGAGGTGAAAATGGCAGATATGCAATTACACAAATTCATGAGGAGAAGGGAATGCAAGATTTTTAAAGCAGGTCAACCCTCCATCCACGACTAGGTTATGACCAGTTATGAACTTGGCTTCATCTGATGCCAAATACAACGCAGCTTGGGCCACATCTATTTCTTCACACTTAGCCCCTTTCAACTCCCCCAGCCCATTCACAATCTCAACCAACTGTTCTTGGGTAGCACCAGGATAAATCAAGCCTATCTGGGCCAAGGAGAGAGTGGTAGGAATCGGACCTGGTGAAATGCAATTGATCCTAACCCCGCTTTTGCATAGCTCGCTGGCCACAGACTTGACAATCCCAGGGATTGTAGATTTTGATACTGAGTAAGAATGTGAGCCAAGCCCACCCATGAGTCCACTAATACTAGATGTACAAAGGACACAGCCTGAGCCAGCAGGTATCATAGCTCGCGCCGCGTGCTTGATCCCCACCACAATGCCTCTGACATTGATTTGCATGACCTTGTCAAATTCATTTATATCAAGGTCTGCAATGCTTGGTGGAAAAGTTGGCCCTGTTACACCTGCATTGTTGTACATAATGTCAAGTTTCCCATAGTTTGTCATCGCAATCTCCACTGTTTTTTCTACTTGAGCTTCCGCTGTCACGTCACATTGAACAAATTGGGCTGCAGGACCCAGCTCATTGGCAGCTTGTGGGCCAATCTGTGAATCGACGTCAGCAATTATGACTCGAGCTCCATGCTTGATGAATTCCTGGGCTGTCGTCTTGCCGATGCCACTCGCGCCTCCGGTTATTAGGGCAACTTTACCTTCTAGCCTGCTTGCAAGGAAAAAAAAAACATGTGTACAATAAACAATATGCTGCTACAAAATTGTGCTTGGAACTGAATATTGCTTTTATCTTGATAGACAAACGAAATGCTATATAACATATCAATTACTGTTGTATAATAATAAAAAAAAATTAAAGAAAACATAACGAATAGAGACAGTGGAAAAAATTGAGTCAAATTACTATTATATATGAGTGGATAAAAAAAAACTGTTTTACAAATCATTACTTAGATAAAACAGATAACGAAATTGTCTTGTGATTCAATATTGGAATTCCGAAATTTGAACCAAGGTTGAATCTAGCATCAATACTGGCAACACACAAGAACAACATATTCGCTTATTTTTTTTATTTCACAATCATGAATATTCATTAATAGGCTGATTTTTATGCATTAAAACTAAATCTATTTGTTTGGTCAGGTGAAATAAAGCTTCCAAACAAAAGAGTTTGTAATCTAGTATTAATAGTCATTGAAACAAAATATCATAGATTCAAATCGTAACAAAACTATCTATTAAAAGTCTTGAATAGATGTATAGGTTAAAACTTACATTTGATTTACCATCACTTTTGAAATAATTTGTTAATAAATACAGTAGGCACGTCTCCAATAAGAGTTAGAGAAACCAAAGCCTTGCACGATCTGCGGAATGAGAACATGCAATGATGCGAAATTTATGGCAATTTTCCATGCAAACATCACGTTTGCAAAAGCTTGCCGGCATGGAGGAGGTGGGTAGTCAACTCTATTTGTTTTTTTTCCCTAAATGAATGAAGCAGCTAAGCTTGCCGGTATGCGGAGGGGGAGCCTACCAGACTTTGAGCTATATATATGATAGGGATGCATACCTAAAATCCCTTCCACAATTTGAAATATCTATTTAGGATTTATTTATTTATTTATTTTTGAAAAGACCTTTAACCATATGGCAGGACTCCAAAAGTATTTTCCTCCCTTAATAATGCCTGTTTATGCATATTAGAGGAAAATATAAAATTATATCATAATACTTACCTTGTATCTTAAACTTTTGGATTGATTTTTTTTTTATATACACAGTATCACAGTTTTATTAACTAAACAGAAAAGAATTCCAATTCAATCACCTCATTAATTTTCTAAGCTAATTAAAATTAAATGACCAAGCATCGGCGGTTTGAATTTTTAGGTTGAAAATTTTCTTTGACAATGCATATTAAAAAATTCAATGGATATGTATATATTTAATGCTGATAATTTGTGTTTATGTCACATGATATGACACATTAACGAAAAATGGAAATTCTTATTACTGTCATGAGATTCACTCATCCAGTAAATTAATGAGACTATTTTGGAAGTGATTTTGGAAAACAAATATTACTATTCTACTTTAAAATGCACTTCATTAGCTCATATTGCTAAGTAATAGAGAATAATGGGGTGATCTTATTGAATATTCTTTCCAAATTCACCTTCCAAAAAATCCTACGCGTGCATTTAACATGAGTCTCATTAGTGAATAAATGGATCTCACCAGTTAATTTTCGTAAATTCAATGGTGGAAATTTTCTGAAAGGTGAATTCTGGAAGAATTTTCGATAAAATCAGCATTATTTATGTATGTGGGACTGTTCAGAAAAAAAAATTCCTATCACCACAGACTATAGCTTAATGAGGTGGTAAGCAGTAGATGATCAAGCCTAAATCCTGGTGGTGATTCAACCAAAAATTCCTTTAAAAAAAAAATCATCCAGAAAAGAGAATCTGACCGGAGGGTGTGTTTGAAACTTCTGAAAAAAAATTTAAATCTGCTTCAACATCAACTATATATCCAAATTCATATGGTATTATGAATCAAGAAATTAAACTGTACTTACAGCAACTTTAGGGTCATGACATAAGAAATACCCTATGTGATTTATAAATAGCTAGCGTATGAAGTTGATGAACTTACCTTCTACCACCACTAGTGGAATAACTTCTTCCTTGCTTACTCAGCACATCATCAGCGATAAACTTGAGCCCTCTGTACAGTTTTCAATATATGTTAATGACATGCTGGTAACATGTATTGGTACAGAAGAAGCAAAAGTTTTTGGTTAAAATAGGAAATACCTGGCTAAATATGGTCTGATGAGCATGTCTGCAGCGAAGACCCGATGGAAGAAGAAGACTTCGTTGGATCTATCGAAAGGCTCAGAAAGGTTTAAGTGGGAGAGAAAGCAAATTAAACGTTATTGCAGTTATATCAGACACGCATTTCCATGCAGAGAGAGAGAGAGAGAGAGAGAGAGAGGTAGGGAGGGAGGGAGGGAGCGAGTGTGACCATGGCTCATGGCACTTATGACCTGTCCTATTTAATGATTCTCCAATGGAAGTTATTGCTTCTTTGTATCAATTTCGTGTTTGTTGCATCATTACCCAGAAAGAAAACGGAAAAAAAAAAAAAAAAAAGAATGGATAACTACAAATCCATCCCTGACCTATACATAGACTCACAAAATCAGCCAAGCCAACCATCAAAATTTCGTAACCTTTTATATCAATACTCAAAAAACCCTCCAAGAAGATATTTCAAAGAAGACCTTTAAGTCAAAGCTAGGCTCCCATTTTAAAAATTACCATGTGCGTCGCATAGTAAACTTTTACCTAAAAAAACCATTAATTTTTCATAGAAATAATCTACGTTCACCGAAATATGTTTATTTTTAATACACTAGTTTTGTTATAAAGGCTATATATTATTATTTAGTACAATATTATTAGTTTCTATTTGTTTTAATGATGATGATATTTAGAGTGGTGATGAAGGAATTTTTAACTTTGTGTTTTTGAAGTAAACTGAACGTAACTATTTCAATTAATTAGCACAAGCAATGAATTTTGAGCCAAATTCTACAAAAAAAAAAAAAAAAAAAAGTTGAAGGTCAGGGATCGATTTGTGATTTACTATATAGGTTGGGGACTGATCAAGTAGTTATCACAAAAATTAAGAAGGGATAAAAGGGAATCGACTGCGGTTGTGGTCTCTGTTTTATTCATATTTGGGCATTTGAGTTAATAATAAATCATAAATGTCAAGTTGAAGGGAAACAAATATTTAATACTATAGATATCTTAATCTATAAATATGTGAAATGGATACCCTCCCAGATGGCAATTACTAGGCTATCATTTTATTCTCAGTGAAAAAACGAAAGTGAGGTCATTCATTCCTAACTAAGTTTAAACTAATTGTTTTTATTCAAATTTCAAGCCAGCTGTAGCACGGTAGAAATGAATGTGTAAACAAAAATAGATAATAATAATAATATATATCAAAGGGAGTATCATCAATAAGATTTGGATTCTCACGCAAGCTTGATTGCTGGACCGACCATGCATTTTGATCATATTTATTTATCACCCTTAAGATCAAATTTAATGAGAAAGTGAACTTTTGAAAAGACTACCCTCGAGCCTCTGCCCTAGGCCCTCTTTCCTCAATTTATTTATTTATTCTTTTATTTTGGTTTTAAATTATAAGGGTCTCTCTTTTACAACTTTTTGGTTTCAAATGTTTTATTATTAATAGAGACATCATCAAGTTATATCCATTTGAATTTTTTGAACTGAGGTAGTTGTAAAAAAATATTTTCTTATAGTTTTTTTTTTTCCAATTCAAATCCTGAATGATAACAATATGAAGCGTGAACATACTTACTTTTCAGCTGGGATAAGTTTTCAAAAAATTGCTCGCTTTATTTTTCCATACGCTGAAAAGGATTGGGTGTACAATAGATTTTTCTTTTTCAATTTTTTTTTTTTTTTTTTTTTTGGGCTGAAGCTGGATGATTCTGGATTTTGTTATCTGTGAATCAAAAGGGAATAAGAATTAAGAAATCATCTTTTTGGATACGTGCGTATTTACGTTTTCTAGATTTGAAAACTAATTAAAGAAATATATATATCACAGATATTCATGGATTGTGTTGGGTGTGGATTACAGACAAGTATGGGCTGAAGTTAATTATAAAAATCGTCCTAAAAATCATCATTCCAACAACCAAGAATCTTCGGTAAGGAAAAACAAAAATCCGTTATGATATTTACTCATACTTCCTATCCTAACGATACTTGGTCCCTTGTGACCTCTGACTAATTATAAATTACTTTAAAAAAAAATTATTTTAAAAATTGATTATTTAGTTTTTTAATTAATATTTATTACGTTTAATTTAATATTATTTTATTATTTTTTATCATTTTTTATTTTTTAAAATAAAAATCAAAATAAATTACAAAAATAAAAAATTAAGTTTTAAAAAAAATAAAAACATGAAAATTAAATAATTAATTGTAAAATAAAAAATTTTTATTTTTATTTTCTAGAAACTATTGAGAATAATTAACAATTTACACTATGACCTTTCGTTGATCAAAAGGCTGGTGTGATATGACACATTTAATCTTAAATTGTGGAGAAATAATTGTGAAAATTTAAAAAGATTCACGTATACTCTGATACTCCTTGTAAATGTATAAAAAAATAATAAATATTTTATACACAACATAATTGCGACAATCAATACCGCCTATAACGGCCCGCTACAAGTGATCATGACTGTGATTTAAAACATGCAGTTTTTTCGAAAGAGGTGACTTTATGTAGGGATCTTCAAAATGTATTATTATAGAGCCAATAGAATTTTGAAGTTTTGGATAGCTATAATTTTATTATATGGGTGTTTGCTGTTCACTGCCCTAGTGGAATTGGTTTGGTTTTCTTGTAACCTGCAATGATAACTGGGAATGAGTCTAGATCGTCACCATGTTTTACAGTGCAAGAACCCAAAATAAGACAAGTTTACCGACATGACTAGCACCTATGGCCATTGGATCAGTCATATTTTGATTCAGTAGTAAAAAAATTTAGTTGATATACTAAGTGACAATAGAGAAATAATAAAGTATGATTCAATCCGATAGAAATTGTATCTATCAATTATTGTTTGTGTGAAAAAATTATTTGTTTTCTAAGAGAAATTTTATAATACATAAAGAGTAGACTCAGTAGTATGTACATTAGTTATTCCATGTAATCTATTTTCAAGAGAGAGATAGTACACATTGAATTACATCCAAATTTATAAAAAATAATAAGAAAATTTTTCACGTTGGTTCAAATTTTTTTTAAATTTTCTCTTTTTAGTTTCTTCTTTATTTTTTTGTATCTATCTCTCTTCTCAAAATAGATTTATTAAATAAATATTATATATGTCACTAATTACTTCTTGTATTATAAAATTTCTCAGCTTTTTAATTCCATGAATGGTCAGCGTTTTACGGGTACTTTAGATTAACCTTAAAAAAAAAACCATTAGACAAAACTCTAAAATCAATAATAGTAAGGATAAAATATAAACCCGGGGAGTCTGTCTGTCTGTCTGAGACCACAAACAACATGATTCGAGAAAATAAAGAAGAAGAAAAGTAGGATCACAAATCACAACTTTGTGGTGGTGGGTCCCCTCGTGTATCAACCCTGTCTTCATCAATCGTAGCTCCCCCAAGCTATAAAAAATGCACAAACAAACCCACCTAAAGAGATACAAAAGGATTGTATTGGTATTAAATTATGATCATAATTACAAATAATTGGGTGATTAGAGGAATAACGAGGTTGTCATCTTATTGAGATTGTGGAGACAACCATCAGACAGCTCGATGATCCTACGAGCTGGACTGTCAGTTGTCTCTTGATAATAAAATTCAATGTCGATGGTTATTAATTAAAGTTCTTAGATCATTAAATTAGATTCACGCTAACCGTAATTATAAGCATTCTGTTGATAATTAATTGTCTTCATCATTAGTTTAAGAATTCTTTTTAATAGCGCTGGCAATGATCATACGAGTCGTTTTACTAGTTACCGTGCTCAACGATTGACAAGATCTGAGTTTTTCCTCCAGAAGACTTTTTTTTAAAAAAAATTCTATTGTAACAAAAATGATTGTTCTATTTAGTGTTGGATATACCAATCATCAGGTGGTAAATTTTGTGATTCCGTTGACTTTATTTTAAGGTTTCATAATTTTTGTCATCAACTTTCAAATTCAAAATTTTCATCAATCGATTGCAAGGAATTTTTTTCGAACGTTATCTGATTTTACAATTACATGTCATGATTGTCACCATCAGATTTTTTATTTTTTTTTTAGAATATGCTTTCATGAAATTTTATGTTTCTGATTAGGCGAGATTTTTTACGGAATTTATCCATTGAACAAATGACCTGGCAACCAATCTCTCTCTCTCTCTTTTACTGAGTTAGATGAAAGGGTAATTAGAAATTAAATACAGGAAAAAAAATAACATGCTTTGAATAATTGAACGTTAAGACAGTAAATTACCTCGCACTCCTTATTGACTAGTTGAGATTGATTTTAATAATCTAAAGAGTCACATTATTTTGAATTTTTTCAAGAGTAAATTACACCTTAAACCTTGTAGATAATTAATTAATCCTAGTAGTTTTTTGAAACTATACGTTTAATTCTTTAAAGTTGTTTATGTTTTAATTTTTTATCAATTTCTTATTTCTTTTGTTCCTTTCTTTCTTGAAAAAACAGAGTAAAGAAAAGAACCGTATAAAATAGAGAAATTTAACTACAAAAGAAAGCACATGTAGAACAAAATCCTAAAGACTCAAAAACTCAATAGACTGTTTGATTATTTTTCGATACTACACTGACTGATCAATTAGTTTTGATAAACTAGGAGGATTAAATTACAATTAACTTATATTTTTATCGGTGCCTCAGGTTTGGAACCAAATCACCGCACAGCCCAAACCAACCATCGAAGGCCTGGTATGGATCATGAGAAGATGATCTTCTAGTCCTCCAGGCCTGGGCCCATGATAGATGGGTTTTTGTTCCCGGAAATCCAATCCAAAAAATCCTAGGAAGAAAAACAACATAAGACAGGACAGGACGCATTCCCACCAGATCTACAACTACTGCCACTGAGTCTGACTGCTACCACTTCCATCCTTCCTTCCTTCCATTTTTTCTTACAAAACATAAACATAAACATATCTTCACCGATCCCTGTCTTTATCTTGCAATCTTATAGAACCAATTAATTGAAATAATATCTTTGTAATAATGCATTTCCAAATTCCTGACCCAAATCCAATTCACCATTGAATCCATTGATTTGAATCGTATATAATTATGGGCTCCACCCAGTCCGCGCAAGCAGCTGAAGATGATGAAGAAGAAAGCGAAGAAGAAGAAGAGAAAGACGACGAAGATGATGACGAAGAAGAAGGAGAGCTGGAACAGCCTAATGCGAGAGAAATCATTGACAGTAACAATAATTTAGTTAAGAAGGTTCTACAACAGGAGCCAGAGATGCTGCCCTGTTACGCATCAGCATCGCCTCTCTCTCCTCAGCTCTCATCTTTAGGCACCCCAAGGCTCGGCCCTTCTATCAAGGTGTGGGACCCTTACAATGTCCTCGCACCGCCACCGCCTCTGCCTCTTTTCTCCTCCGATGATGACGTTGGCGTTTTGGAGGTGTTTTTGATAAGTCATGGAGAGTGCGAGCTCAATTTGAGGCCTGATTTAGTCGGTGGGAGGTGCCACGTGGCTGCTCTGACTCCCAAAGGCCAGCGGCAAGCTAGGGCTCTTGCTGTCTTCTTCAACTCTGAAGGGATCAGCTTCCATTCCGTTTATTCGTCGCCCTTGAATCGTGCTAGATCAATGGCTGTCTCTGTTTGCCAGGTAAATATATAAGATTTTTATTCTCTTTCCGAGTAAAAATCTTGATTTTAGTAGGCATTCTGCTGTTGATGATGGAAGTATATATCTGCTTGCATAGTGACTTTTATCTCTGCATTTCAAGCTATCCAAAATTGAGTTGCAAATAGCTAGATGCTTGGTAATGGATGCCAATGTTTGCACATTATACCGACTGACAAACAAAGGGCAAACGGTATTGGTAACATTGTATTAATATTTTTAATGGTAAAAAATAATTGCATTAAATTCAGTCAATAGTCATTGAAAGTCTAATCAATTGTTTATTCTTGCATGTGATCATCTGTCCATCAAAATTCCTTTCTAATTTGCGGAATACATTTCTGTATTATATTGAAATCTGTAATTTTAGGACCAAGGATGATGATAAACTTGAGAAAGAAGGGTTAGGGTTGCATTTATTTTGAGTGAGGGATCCAGATTGGACCTGATTCCAAGAGGAATCCATCACTGTTAGAGAAAGAGAGGTACTTAATGGTTTAGATTTAAGGCTTCCATAGGTGATGAAACTAATAAAGATTTTGATACCAGAAAAATTAGAGGGTATGTGCCAATGAATTTCTGGTTAGTTTAAATGATGAAAATGGATGGAATGAGGGTGTGGAGGATGGCAATTGTGGAAGTGAACGACCACTCTTAAGATATAAGAAAACACCACTTAGAAAGAATTGATCAATTTGATACTGTTTTTGGTGGGGATGGTTGGGAGGGGGTGGTGGTGTTATGGCAGGGCATTTCTAGAAGATTTTGGTTAGTTTAAGTGATGGATAAATGAAATGATAGGTGATGTTCCACCCTTTTAGAGATACAGACAACGAGAATGATTAAGGGTTATTTCCACCTGTTTAGAGATACAGAAAATGAGAATGAATAAGGGTTATACTCACAAAGTCTTCATGGATAAAAGAATCCCGCACCTTAGAAATTACAACTTGGGATAGCTCACAACTCAGTGGAATCCACCAAAGAGATACAAAACTAATACAAGGTTAACAAGCTCAATTTGATTTTACTCAAGTTCAAGTCCTAGATGTTGATTTTAATGAACTCTGACCACTTATTGACTACACAAGCATTCACGTGATCTTTAACCTAACTGCTGAACTTCTATGTGCTGGTTGTGACATAGAAGGTATAATTATGCAAGTTAAAATTAATTCTAGGCAGAGATTTCGGATTTCCTGACAGTCTGTACTCTTGGGAGTAACGTTGGCATCACTTCCTCCAGAAAGCTCCAATTCGCACTCTGTTTTAAGCATTGGCAACCAGACACACGTAGCTTTCTAGTCATAAATGGATTGGCTAGTGTTTTCTGCAGAATTAATAATGTTTTTCCTTCAAAGTTATTCCTAAAATCTGAGCCTGTTATGAGAATTTTCAGCTGTCTTGAACCTTTTTCAGCACCATTTATCTCATCTTTTTTTTTTCATTTAAGTTTTTAAATATTAAGAATGCTCCTGCATCAGATTTGGGCATAGAAATGATAAGTTTTAGTGGTTTTTTTTTAATAAAAAGAAAGAAAGAAAGAAATGAGAGAAGTTCTAGTCATTGATTGTGTTTGTTCACTTATGATTTTGAAAATTTATCCCCTTGTTATTATTTCCAGGTACATCAACTTCAAAAATACTAGAAAATTTTTCCTTTGCATCTTTTTTACTTGTGTTGCTTAAATTGTAATGCTTTCGATATATGGTTTTGGAATATGAAAATGATAGCTTTAGTTATTGACTGTATTTGTTTGCTTGTGATCAATGATAATATATCCCCTCATCATTGGTTCTTGACAGCTAGGAGCAGCTTTGATATTACTAGGAATATTTTCTTCTACATCTTGTGCTATACAGTTGAGCGAATTGTCCATATACAAAAATCTTGCAGGAAATGAATTTCGTGGAGGAACAAATACAATCCTCGGATGCCCTCATGGAGATGAGTCTGGGGCATTGGGAGGGTTGCCCCCGTTCAGAAATATATACACCTGAAGTTCAGAGCCTGCTTGAAAATTTTCAGCCTGACTTTTGTGCACCATCTGGAGAATCACTTAGGCAAGTGGAATTTAGGATGGTTCAGTTCCTAAATGGGACGGTCCTCGGACTGCCTGAAAAGCTGAGATCAGATTTCTCGTTGCACAATCAGAATGAGAGCCAAGGATTTTCTCATGATAGAGATGGCCCTTCTCTGCCACCACCTTCACATTGGGATATGCAGCATATGCTTCATAGGCACCGACAGGGCCTCACAAGGAAAAAGTCTGGTAAGAGCAGGCTACAAGTTGTGACTACTACTGGCAATCACGAGGGTGAGGATGAGATCTCTCTTAGGGAAGCCAGCCACCAACATGCTCTCCATGATTTGAATATCAGAAACTCATCCTCCTCCGTCTCTTCATGTGTGGGTGTTTTCACGCATTCAATTCCCATTAAGTGTCTACTCACCGGCCTCCTGGGCTGCAGCCCAGTAATGATGCGTAAGATCTGCATAGAAGATTCTTCGGTGACAGTGTTACAGCACTCATGGAAAACAGGTTGGCAGATTAAACGCTTGAATGATACTGCACATCTAAGACTTCTCTAGGTGGAGAATTATTGGCTCCTCATTTGGAGTCATTGATGTGATAATGAGCTGTTAATTATTGAAAAGAAGTTGTTGTTTTTTTCATTTATAGATTGTATTGCGGCCCATGATTTCACATTAATTGATGTTGCTTCTGCATCCTGTTGTAACTTCGGTATATTTGCTTCTAGATTTGCCAACTTACATCGAACAAAAAAGATTGGCGTGGAAGTTGGATTTTGTATTGGATATTCTTTTGATCTATAGCATTTACGATTGTTGTTGTAAAGTGACAGTTTCTCTCTCTCTCTCTCTCTCTCTCTCTCTCTCTCTCTCTCTCTCTCTCTCTTTTTTTTTTTTATGTGGGAAGAAAGAAAACAAGTTATTTTAGCGTGGAGAATGAACATACAATATTTGGCTAATTGGTTTTATAGATCCCCTAAACTTTTACCGATAGCTTATTTCATTCAAGAGGAACTTTGTTTCATACATGGCTCCAACGTCATTAATTTGTTCTTCATTAACGATTTCACGCATCATCTCAAAGTTACCTAATCATCTATTTAATCGAGTAGAATTAGAAAGGACCCATCCATCATAATATCCAAGCAAATGTGACGTATCTCGGATAGCTACAAACATCCTTTGCCAACCTCATCCACAAAAGCCTTTAGATTCTTATCCGAGGAACCACCTTCCTTGACAGCATCTTTTGCTAAATCTTTCCATTTCTTAGCGTTCTTTCTGATCTCTTCTCCCGTCTCTCCATTTGCCATAACCAAATCCAAACACCTCTTAATCTCATCACCTTCAACTACCCCTTCCTCATTGGCCACCACCCTCGCCCCTGTTTTCCACACGTCTTCAATCAACTTGGCATTGGTTCCTTGATCTGTCCAGCGTGGAAATGCCACAACTGGAACCCCTGAAATTAAGCTCTCCAAAGTTGAGTTCCACCCACAATGTGTCACAAAACATCCAATCGAAGGATGGGACAAAACCTCCACTTGACAACACCATGGTACTACCATCCCTTGTTTTTCCAATATTGCCTCTCTACATGCTCTCAATTGGTCTTCTTCTTCTCTCTCTTCATTCTTATTCTGTTCATCCCTTATAACCCACAGGAATGGAACACCACTCTCTGCCAACCCACGAGCAATCTCTTCCATTTGTCGCTTTGATAACACCAAAAGGCTTCCAAACGATACATAAACCACTGATGATTTAGGCTTTGAGTTCAACCATTCAGTGTAATCCTCGGAACCTTGGAAAAGATCCCCTCCAAAAGATTTATCCAATGGATCTTTTCCATCCAAGAAAGCAGATGGAATTAATGGCCCGATTCCAACCAAATTGAACTTTCCAGTTGCATTAAGAGCTCCCAATTCCAATGCATCGAAAGAGTTGACAAGTACCTTTGGGTTGGTTTCCTGACAGAGCTGCCCTAGTTGTTCTCTAAAAGACTGGAGTGCCGTAGTATAAGTATCTGAAGGAAGTAAAAACGAGGGAAGGTCGCGGCTAGTAAATGGTGGGAGTCCTGGTAATTCAACAACATACGAATTCTCACTGCAATTACTGAAGATATCATCATAACCATTGAAGTAATAGTAATAGATGTCAAAAACAGTTGCAGGCTGAATCCAGAGAAGGGCCGCAGGAAGGTGATGTGCACGTGCCACCTCCGTCGCCCAATTTAGAAGCATCGTGTACACCAAACAACAGATGGGTTTTCCCTCTTTTGCACTCTCCACGATAACGTCATTGAGAGTTTGAGAGCCTCGACGTTTGAGCTCAGACATTTGATGATCTCGGTCATCTCCAGGCTTGAACCCATCATCGTAGCCATCCGAAAAGGTAGCGAATGACAAACCGTCAGGAAACACAGTGTTCGACATACGGCGTTGAGCAGAGAGAGCGGTAGCAAAAGTGACCCGAGCACCAATACTTGTCAGACGCTTGGCAAATTGGATGGCAGGATTTATGTGACCTTGTGCAGGATATGTCAGCAGAAGGAAATGAGGTTGCGCCGTCATGGTGATCGGTTGTGTAGCCGAGGAGACCATGTTGGGGTGGGTACTGGTACTGAGTTGACTATAGGTCGAAGGCCTGGATAGTATTTCTTGCACGCTGGGTAGAAATCAGGAAGATAAAACCAACTAGCTAGTACAGGGAGAGAGCGAGTGCATGTATGATAAGGATTGAGAAAAGTTTAAATAATAGAGGATGGATTGAAAATGTGACGTTTGTAGTGACGATTTGGAGGAGTAGTTGTGGACTCGGTAAATCCTAGTGTTACATTTTTGTCCTTGCTTGGAACTTAACCTTTTGTTTTTGTTTGTGATAATGGTAAGCTCAGATTTGGTCTGCCTGATTCATCAGTTGTCATAATTAATATTTATTGATAGTGATTTTGCATATAATACAATACTCTAACGATAATGACCATTAAAATTTTAATTATATTTTATATATTCTTAAAAAATTTTAAAATATTTAATTTATCTTTTCAATCGTATAAAAAAATTGATCAAAATACCTTAATTGAAATGCAAAAAAAATTCTAAAGATTTCAAAATAAAAAATGACTTCAAGTGTATTTTTTTATATTTTGATAAAAAAAATTAATTAGAATAACAGATTGAATATTTAAAAAAAATTAAGAATATATAAGATGCAATTGAAAATATAAAAGTATATGAGAGGTTTTAAATGTTGCATCTATTTATTCTAAATAAATAAGTTATAATTTAATTATCAGTAGTATAAAAAAATTCTTATATTCAATTTTTTTTCAAAAAAAAATAATGGTATGGCACTCAGCTTGCTGTGGACATAGGATGGACTGACGTGCTGCTGAAGGCTGATACTTGATGCCTAATGCTGGCACTTGACGGGTCAATAAAGCCGAACCTGTCCAGAAAATGCTCGGAATTATTTTCTAATTTTTTTCCACTACGGATCCAAAAATTACTCTTGTAAACCTTATAGATGAGTTATAATATTTCCCGTTATTGTTATTGATGAGTCATAAAATTTGAATTTTCTTACAAATCTCGTCAGTGCTAGGTTTTCTTATAATTATGAATTTTTTTTTTTTTACAACCTTATAATCTTCTGACACGATATACTTAAAATATTTCTTATATATATATCTATATATTCTACCACATAAAAGGATTTATTCCCTTAGGTAAACACAATTTCGAATCACGCTAATATATATAAATATTTTCAAAAAGTTGTATATCTTCGATATCTAATTGATATGTTCGATATATTAACTTAATCATTAAAGTGGCTTTTTATTGGATATTGCAGCATCTTTCGACGCCACTGATACTAAGTTTGTGTTTTATACTTACAAGATTTGAGAGGATGTCGTTGCTATTTTTTCAATCTCTTTAAAAATCAGATATATCAAATACAATAAATCTAATGTTGAAAGCTCACTCGTGATCGGCTATGGTTTTCGCTATTGTAATTTCGGTCCCTGTAATAATTACGGCGGTCTTGATTTTGAAGCTCATATAAACATGTGTAAATTAAAATTTACGTGTGGGAAAAATAACAGGGAATTATATGTATAAATGACCGTCTAGCCATGTCAATTTGTCATGGACTACTTTAGATCTTCTTGATTTCTCGTTCTTTTTGTTTTTAACATGGTCGGCTTGACAAAATGAAAAAAAAAATACATAACATACTAAACACAAGGAAACTGCTCCAACGAAGGCAACACTCCAAACAAAAATTAAGCCATCATTCATCAAGATACCAAACCTTAATTTTCTTGAGTTATTTTTCTAAGACTGACAGTGCTAGAGATTTAAAGAAATTTGTGAAAGAACGCTCTCAAATTTGAGTTATTTTTCTAGTACATCAATGAGCATTTTAACCACCGTGAAATATGATGATTCATGTACCATACATGAGCTTATTCTTAAAATGACGACTGTAGCACCAAAAATTAAAAACCTTGGGAATAAATATTTACGAGTATTTTGTAGTACATTTAATACTTGAGTCTCTGCCTTCTATGCACCATGAGCCATTTCAAATAAAACACAACACTTTACAAGATAAGTAAAATGTAAATAAATTGATCAACATGCTTGTTTGAGAAGATACTTGATTAGGAATCATAATGGACCACGTATAAAATAGGTATCCGTTTTATCCAATTCAATAAATATTCATTAAATAATAAATAATTTGTGTTATGTGTATAGATATATAGTTAATTTTTAACAAAAGTAATGAATATATATATATATATATATATATATATATAAAGCTAAAAGTATGTTTTATATAATTTATCAAAATCAATTTCATAGTAGTTTTTTATTTCAATTATTGACGTCAACATATTTCATATAACCTAGGTGGTTTCTTTATATATATATCAAACATTATTTTTGTTAAAAATTAACTACGTAACTATACACATAACACCAATTGTTTATTATTTATTTTTTTATATATTTTAAAATCAATATTTTTCACATAAAACGATTGAAATAATATTTTGAAAAATCCTCCCAGTTATTGAAATACATTTTTATACTAATATTATTGATTATTTGGTTAATAACGATATATAAATCAAATAATTTTACTCAATAAATAAATTCGATTTACGTTGATCACAAAAAATAAAACTTTTACTCGTATTACACCATGTGAATTGTTGACCTTGTACACGTAATAGTTATCCAACCACGAGCATAGCGTGAATATCGAACTAGTTATCATTTACTACAACTACCTTCTTCTTTTTTTGCCGAGCTTCTAGATATTTATCTCAATTTTGGTGGAGTTACATGAAAGATGTGTGTTTTTTGTTTTTATTAATTATACAAGTATTACTGATGAACACTAACTTCTGTAATAAAAATAATCCTACTAATTTATATTATATGTTTGAATATGAATTTATGACTAAAGGTATTAATGCATGAGTATCTTATTTTATTTTATGTATTCGTGTTTGTTTCACTTTATTCGCATGCTCCATCTGTTTTCACATTTAATAAATTAAAATTTTCTGATTTATAAGAACAAGTCCAATTATATTTAGTTGTTTTGAATCTTGATCTAGCTTTTCAAGTTGACATGTCGCTAAAATTACTAAAAAGAATGACATTGATGAAAAAACTTTCAATGAAATTTGAAAAATATGGAACAGATTAATTTAAGGTTTGTGCAAATGATAGTTCCAAACAACTAAAAAACTATTTTTTTCTAAAACCGTCAGTTATAAAGATTTTGAGAAAGTTGTGAAAGAATGCTCTCAAGCTTGAGTTATTTTTCTAGTATATTGAAGCATTTTAATCATCGTGAAATACGATGATTCATGCACGATGCATGAGCTTGTTCTTGAGATGATGACTTTAGCACCAAAATTGAAAACCTTGGGAATAAATATTTACAAGAACTTTTTAGTGCATTTAATACTCGAGTCTATGCCTTCTAAGCAATATGAGCCCTTTCAAATAAAGCACGACACTATAAAAGATAAGTAAAATGTAAATAAATTGACTAATATGCTTGTTTAATAAGAGACACGACTACAAATGGCAACTGATCGGATATAAAATAATTATTCATTTTATCTAGTCCAATAGGTGTTTATTAAATAATAACTAATCTATGTTATGTGTGCGGATACATAGTTATATAAAATACGTCGAAGTCAATAATTAAAATAAAAAACTACTATAAAATTGGTTTCGATAGATTTTAATTATATATATTTGAAGCATTATTTTTGTTGAAAATTATCTATGTAACTACACGCATAACACCTATTATTTGTTATTTATTTTTTATATCTTATAATCAAAATAAAATAACTGGAATAATATCTTGAAAAATCCTCCCAAACATTGAAATATATTTGGTATGCTAATATTATTGATTACTTGGTTAATAAAAACATATAAATCAATCGATTTTACTCACCAAATAAATTCAATTTATATTAATCACAAAAAACAAAACTTTTATCTATATTATATCATAAGAATTGTTCACTCTGTGCGTGTAATAGTTGTCAAACCACAACGTAGCGCAAGAATCCAACTAGTTATCAAATCTCAAGCTTTTAACTTTAAGTATTTATCTTTTTTTTTCCTAGAGCTTCTAGATATTTAACTCAATTTTGGTGCAGTTACATAAAATATATGTGTTTTTTGTTTTTATTAATTATTCAAGTATTACTATTGAACACTAACTTCTGCAATAAAAACAATCCTACTGACTAATTATCTATTTGGAAATACACATACAAACAAATGTTTTCTCTACTTAGGTACGCTCTCTTTCTCTCTTTTTATTTATCTTTATAAACATTATTTAATACAGAATCCTTCTTTATTTATTTTTCTTCATAAATTTTATTTTTAATACACAATTCAGGTGCAATTTTCTTTAATTATTTACTGAGAATTCATGTACATTCATTTTATAATTACAAGCAGTGTGTAATTTTTCTGTTCATTTTTTATTACAACTAGTATTAATCTATTGGTTTGTTGAATTAAATCTATGATTTTAATAAATAAAAATTATTATTTTTTAATAAATCATAGCAATGTGTGGGTAATCCGCTAGTTTACCAATAAAACTGCAACCATAAAAAAAATAATAAAAAAAAAATATATATATATATATATATATATATATATATATTGACATAATACTATTAATTACTTTTAACATAATATCAATCATCCTCGTGGTGTCATCGCTACTGCCGCTGTCATTGATATTATTGTCAAAATGCCACTATTCAACAATAATAATTAAATAACATAATATTTTTACTTTTTTATATTTTTAATTAATAATATGCTATTATATTTCTGAAATTAAGTATGCATAATAAATTTTTTTCTCTATCTATATTTGTTAAATTTTTTTTTCAAAAAACAATAACAAAAAACAAAAACAGTTTTTTTTTTGAAAAAAAAACAGAAAATGGTACTAAATGGGTTCTAAATTTTCTAATTTCTTACAAATGTGTTAACAA